AGAAACGAAGCGGGAGTTATAACGGACTTGCCCGGTCGGACATCTACAAAACTGCCCACGCATAGTATGTCAAAACATGCAACTAAACCATTTTCGGAATGCAGCGATGTTGGCCCAGTGAACCACACGCGTACGCACATAAACATGCCAACTCTCACCTGGGGGGAGGGCTTACATCAAAGAGTCAATCGGGCTACCCTCACTGGTTCGATAGACGGTATGGATGCATGAATATGCACATGCCAATTCCAAAATAAGTAATTACACCTTTATTAAAAAAGGCGTGCTTGATGGGCAAAAAATATGACTTTACCCGGACTCGAACCGGGGACTTTCACGGTGACACCGTGTTTCACGAATATGTGTTAACGTGATACTCTAACCAACTGAGTTATAAAGTCACGTAGTTGATGATTGCGTAGCAAGTGAGCTATCTATTCTCTCAGGAGCACACTGACGTCGCTGGACTCTCGCTCCAGTCTAGGCCCCTCAAATTGCGCTTATGCTTTGGGTATATAGTACATAGCTATTTATTCGACATCATCCTCTGATGCATCCTCCTCGTCCTCATCGTCGAATGCAGGGTTCACATCGTCTTCCTCCTCAAACTGAGGACGCCCACGGAGACCCTTCATCTTCTTCACTTGCAGCGTAGACAGATCCTGACGGCCCAAGTGCACACGGCCCACCATGTCGCCCATTTCATCGGTATCAATGTTCTTACGCTTGCCCTTACCCTGCGTATTCTTCTCTGCGGCGGTCTTAGGGCGCCTGAGTGCCTGTGTCATGCGATCAGCGCCAGCGGGCAATCGGCGGCGTAGTTCAAAGTCAAACGACGGACCACTAAGCGATAGCTCGATCCGTGGCGTCTTCGTCCCAGAGGCAATCATTTTGATAGTGTATACACGGAAATGAATGAGGCAGGGGGGACAACGATGCACAGCGCTGCTGCCCGTGACCTGCGAGGAGATACCGGCAGCGCGATAGAGGCTGGCAAGGTCGTCAGCCTTCGGATTGCTAGCCTTGTTCTTGTCACCGTTCGTAAGGGGCGAAATGCTGACAGAGATGACATGCTCGAGGCCACCGAGGGCAATGTGATTAGGGTTCATCTCCTCGCCGCGGTAAAAGTCTAACAGAAGTGACTTGAGGTGCAGGTATGCGCCTTTTGGCTCGGGATCAGCGCCGGCGGCCGCAAGGCGGTCACCCTCTGTGCTCTCTGCCGCGAACTCAGGGCCAGAAAAGTGGAAGATAGGGCGCATGCCGACGCTGGGCTTGGGTGTCTTGAACTCCTTCATGCTTGTGGCGTCCACAATGCCCATTTCCAGCATATCAAGGACTTGGCCGTCAAAGAGGCGGACCCAACAGAGGTTGTCAGGGCGCTTCTTCTGACTGCTTCCAACAACGAACAAGCTCGCGTCGTTCTTTTGCCCCCAGAATTCGATGCTCGACGCGTCCTCGAACGGCAAAACATCGTTGTGCTTGTTGAAAGGCATGGCGTCAGGCTTTTTCAGCGCAGCAAGCTCCACGAGAGCGAGATTTACCTTCTCGGAAGTCTTGGTACCTTTAACAAAGATGGCTGTCTTGGCACTCTCAAACTCTTTCGACTCGCGCTTCTCGAGCGCGCGCTTCGAGCGAGCGTTCTTGGGCTTGACGGCCTGCAGCATGGTGTAGTACAGTGATGCAGCAAGGAGCCACCGAATGTCTTCGGCCGGCGCAAAAAGGCAGCAAAAAAAAAAAAAATTGACGGCCGCGGTGAAGCCAGCGCTGTGCTCCACTTTTTTTTGCGCCGCCGTGGTGGAGAGCGCTTGACGGACGACGCTATGATTTCCTCGGCTGCATGGGTAGCCCGAGGCCTAGCGGCACGGCATCCGACGAAGCAGCAGCTTGATGAGGCGGAGCTGGAGCGTGTAAGCAAGCTCACAAATATGGAGCTGGGTGAGGCGGAGCGTCAGCTTGCGCAAGCCCAAGCGGCGGCGGCCGACGATGGCTGGGAAGATGTCGACGACGAAGACGACGAGGGAGAGGCGATGGAGGAAGACACAGCCGCGCAGGACCCGAACGATCTGAGTAAGTACCGGCTAGATGAGTACGATGAGGAGCCGAGTCAGAGTGTGGCGATGGGTGCTCTGAGTGGCATTCGCGGCTTGCAGTACTTCCGCAACAACGATGAGGACCCCTACATTACCCTAAAGAACGATCCGGCAGACGAAGAAGAAGAGCGTCAGCAGCTGGAAGTACTCCCTACAGACAATATGCTGTTCACAGCCAAGACAGAAGACGACGTGTCGATGATCGAAGCGTACATTTACTCGGCGCAGGACCAGAACTTGTATGTGCACCATGACCTTCTCCTCCCCTCGTTCCCATTGCACCTCGAATGGCTTGATTATGCCCCGGCGCCTGTCTCGGAGAGCGACTCGCGTGTCGCTGGCACCATGGGCAACTTTGTGGCTGTCGGTACAATGGACCCTGAGATTGAGATTTGGAATATGGACGTGGTCGAAGGCATGTACCCAGATGCCGTGTTGGGCCGCAAGGACCTGACAGAGGACCTTAATGCCCCGATGGGCACAGGCAAGAAGAAGCGGCGTCTGCCCAAGGCGCGTGTGCCAAATGCCTCGTACCATGTCGATGCTGTGTTGTCGCTTTCGTGGAACAAGCGTGTGCGCAATATGCTGGCGTCAGCGTCGGCTGATACCACTGTGAAGATCTGGGATCTGTCGCGGCCCATGGTCGGCGAGTCAGCGAGTGCACTGCGCAGCTTCTCGGGCCATGCCGACAAGGTACAGAGTGTCGCGTGGCAGGTGGGTGCGCCTGGCCTCGCGGCGGGCACAGAAAACCCGGGTGTGCTGCTGTCTGGCAGTTACGACAAGACGATCCGTGTGTACGATACGCGTATGCCTGATCAGGCACTCGTGGCACGACTTGGTGCCGATGTCGAGGCAGTCCGTTGGAATGGATGGAAGGACCATACGTTCCTTGTGTCGTTGGAGTCAGGTGTGGTGCAAGGCTTTGATGTGCGTACATTGACGGCAGAGGGCACAGATGCGGCTCTGTACACGCTAGTTGCCCATGATGGTGCCTGCACGACCATCGACGTGAGCCCGCATATCCCTGGCTGTCTCTTGACGGCCGGTACGGACCGCCAGGTGAAGTTGTGGAGTATGGACGATGAGGATGTAGAGAAGCCACGCAGCATCAACCTGGTCACGGCGCGTGACTTGGGCATAGGCAAGATCTTTACTGCGAGCTTCTCGCCGAACGATCCGCTGACCGTCGCCGCAGCTGGGTCGGGTGGGAAGCTGCACATTTGGGATACGCTCTCGAACCCAGGCATGCGTCGCTCGTTCGGTGATCGATTGCGTCGTATGGACACGTATGCCTCTCGGCATGCAGCGGCAGTTGCCTCGGTGGATTTGGACCAGGCCGAGTCGCGTGGGGCAGGCGATGTACAGGTAGACGACGATGCCGAGTCGGACGAGGACGAGGACGAGGCGATGGACGAGTAAGTAGCGCACAAGGTAGTCAGGTGTGGAGGGCCTCCACCTCCACGCTGAGCCGAGCAGCTTCGATCGACCTAGTCTTCTAGAAAAAGGGGCTGATTTTCGCGCTTTATGGACGACGTGGACTATTTTGAGGACGCGCTATTCACAGTCTTCGAGCACCACCAACCGGCCCATGGCGATCCCGGGACAGAAGAACAGTACCAAAACGACGCATTGCCGGCGTGGTGCATAAACAAGGCAGCCGAACGATGCCTTGTCTATCGCATCCCTATGGCCAGCAGCTCGAATACCAAGCTCTTTGCGCACCACCAGTGGGATGCGGGCGTCCACCTGGCGGACATGGTCGTCGCAAATGCACCCATTGACGTACGTGGCCGTCGCGTCATTGAGCTGGGCGCAGGGACAGGACTTCCGTCGCTAGCTGCGGCGGCCCAGGGCGCTGCCTACGTCGTCGTGAGCGACTACCCGGATGCCGACATTCTGCACAACCTCGAGGTAAACGTAGCACGACTACAAGCCCAAGCACACGCACAGGGCCTGCCCCCTCGTGCACTCCACGTCGCGGGCCTTGCATGGGGCGACAAGGCGCAGGAAAGGTACGTACATGTATTCTCACCAAGCAGCGCACTGTGCGAAGACGGACAGTATGATATAGTACTAGCTGCGGATGTGCTATGGGTATCATCGCAGCACGAGAATCTGCTGCACTCGATCTGCGCTCTCCTTCGGCGCGATGCAGCTGCGCGATGCATCGTCGTGGCGGGCTTCCATACTGGCCGACCAGCCACCGCGCGGTTTTTCGAGGCGGCGCGCACGCGAGGACTCGCGTTAGATGTGGAGGCGCCGTTCCACGGGTGGTACGAACGCAGTTTCCGCGGCGAGGAGCGGGCGTGGCAAGGTGCGGAGGACATGGGCGATATTAGCGAGCGTGGGCAATGGGTCGTGGTAGCCTGCTTGAAATGGGCCGAGGCGAGTACGTCGCCTAGGTCTTAGGCCTTTTTATCCGCGATGGCTCGGCCGTCATATCCTCGACCAACGCGCGAAGACGTGTCTGTTCTCGTCGGGCGGCTGGGTCGTCGTACAGGACATGCGAGGCTGGCAGATCGACGGGCGTCGACGATATCGGTTCATCGTCAGGTGGTGCGGGTGGTGGCGTCCATGCTGTATCGGACCATACAGAGGACTCTGTGGTGAGCGACGAGGCGCCGCCAAGACGCGTTGGACCATATCGTCGTGGCCGAGCACGGCGCCGCGGCACCGACTCGCCATCGCCTGGCGTGAACGAGTCAGAGAGCGTCCGTGTAAAGGTCCGCACGGGTGCCACCTTTTCGTCGGAGACAGTACGCTGCCACGTCGTTGGCTCGGCCCGCGACGGTGGCGACGTCGGATTCGCCGTCGGATGCAAGAGCGACTCCAGCCACGCTATATCGACCAGAGGGATGTGCCACTCTGTCGCTTTTTGCGCCTTGGGGCCATGACGTGCCTCGTCTGTACATAGTAAATGCGTCGTCTGCTTCGACAGTACGTCATGGACCTGTGCGCCGAGCGCCTGCACAGCAGCGCACGTATGAAAGTACATGGGACTTTGCCGGTCCACGCCAGACATCGCAATACGCCAACCCCGTGCTTCGGTGAGAGGCAGAGATCGATGCGTGGGACGCAGAGCAGGGTGGATGGTAGGCGCCATGACCCGTTCTTCGTACAAACACAATTCAAGCCAGTGGTGCGTTACGTCGTGTTGCGCGGATGTAGAAGGCATCGATGTGAGGGGCCGAATGGCGTACATAGCCTGCGCTGCCTCATCCACGATCGTGCCGCCCGCCTTCTCGACAGCTGTTACGACGCGGCGCGTCTTTTCGTCGTCGTCCATGTCAACATACATAGGCACAGCCGCAAAGAGGCCCGACGTTGCGGCTGTCGTTGTGCCTGTGGCTGGCCGCTGCGCAGGGTGTAGTGGCGGCGGCACAGATGCAAAGCGGCTTTCGCGCGACCATGTCACTAGTGAGCCGCGTGGCTGGCTTGCAGGCGCCGGCGACGTCGTGGCATGCGCCGCGACGACATGCGATAGCATGTCATTCGCAGGCCTGGCCGTTATCGTTGCTGTGACAGGCACACTCTCTGTGCGCTGCAAATTCGGCCGTGCACGCGCCTGGTCCATGCGCGAACGAACACGAAGTGCCCACACGTCAGGTGTCGGCGGCTGCAAGGCATCGTACTCGGCTTCTGGTAGCAACACACCTGTCGTCGCACAATCGTCCAGCCAGGCGCGATGTACGAGATGCAGTTGCATAGCAGCCGTCATAGCAGGGGAAAGCGCCGCAGCTGAAGCGCCTACTTGGGCCGCCAGCGTACGCTGCGCTACTACCTGCTCGACGCCTTTTCGTGGTCGGGTGGAAGCATCGCCACACACGATATGTGTCACACTCCCATCCCATACCAGCTTAGGTGCCCACGTGGCACCGAGCCGCTCCATCTGGGCGATCAAGGGCGCACGCTCTGCCGAGGCAATGCCGCTAAGCGCAATGCATAGGCCTTCGAGAGGACGTAGGCGCCATTCGTCTGCCCAGGCCTCCCAGGCCATATGATCATCGCCAGCGAGCCATGCTTCGCGGATTCGATAGAGCCATTCGGGACGCACCACATGCATATGAAACTGCACAGCAGCACGGTACTTATCTGAGCCAGGCCGTGAAGCGACGAGGTGCGTCACGTCGCTCGTCAAGTTGGCTGTGACGCGCGCGCCCATTTGCTCGGCCATCGTCATCAGCTCGCGCTTGTCTGGCAAGCCTGTGAAACTCAGCACGACGCCACGAAGTGGCATCGTACTAGTCCCGCAGAAGTCGGCTGCTGCATGCGCGCCACTCGTCACGCCACGATCACGCGTCCGCCGGAAATGCGCATCGTCTTCGGCGCCAGCTAGATCAGCTTCGGTAGGTGGCCGGGCCGTAGGAGGGCGTAGTTTGACATTTGGGATCTTAATGGACCGATGCGTACGTTGCCAGCGATTGGTGCTCATGTACGTACGTCACCGGTGAGCGCACTCTACGTCGAAGACACGCGTAGCGCGACGCATCCCGACGCCACGCGGACCTCCACATCGAGCATGCGTCGCCGGCAGCGCCCCCGCTGTCGTCATCGTTCTCGTTGCCTACGCTTGCTCCCATGTCAGCGGTGCCTACGAGGGTGGTGCTTGACTATCTGCTACACCATGGCTATCTAGCTACGGCAGCGGCGCTGGCGGACGATACGCAGGGCACGATCGACGTGCCTAGGATGGACGCCACGGCCTCGGATCGTGTACGGCAACGTGCAGGTACGCCAATCCCATGACTCACACAGCAGCGATCTATCGATCGATCGAGCAGGGACAGATCGAGAGAGCATACGCTTTGTGCCAGTCCCACTTTCCTACCGTGCTAGCCGATGATACCCCATCTACCTCTACGCCACCTGCGTCCTCCACGGTCACGTACACACTTGACCCCTCGCTCCTGTCCCTCAATATGCAGCTACAGCAGCTGGTCGAGTACCTTCGCTCCCTCTATACGTGCGAAGATGCGGACGACGAGCCACTTGAGACGGCGGTGCGGTGGGCTGACACACTGCGTACACGCATCGATGCGCTCCCACCAGATGCCCATGCCGCCTACGCCACTGAGCTTGAGCAGCTGATGGGTCTCTTTGCGTACCGCTGCCTGGACGATGTGCCAGAGACACTGGCCCCCGCACTACACCTCTCACGACGTTCTGCGCTAGCGCAGCAGGTAAATAGTGCGATCTTGCAGGCAGAGGGCACCTTGCCTACGTCGCTTCTATCGCGTGTGACGCGGCAAGCGGCCTGCACATGGGATCACCTGCATGATCGGGCCGTGGTGATTCCGCGAGATCACCCTTCCGTGGCGCTTATCGGCCCGACAAGATGCACATCTGTCGCTGACGGCGTCATACCACCGCCTCTCGATTGGCTCACGCAGCCATCAAGCATGGCCTTTGACCGTCCATAGTAGGCTGTTGGCTCTCTGTATGTTTTGGCACCTACGCTACCTGCATACCTACCTCGCCGCAAGTCCAATGTAACGGCCTGCTGTCCGAGATCCAAAGCAAGCGAGTGTGTAGGGGGCCGTGCACGTGCCGCGTGACTTGCCCCGATTAACAATTAAAGGAAAAAAAACTCGCTTGGCCGATAAGCGTATCACATACGCAGTGAAGACGAAAAAAGCACTCGGTGCCAGAAATTTCGTGCACACCGCGTTTGATTTTTTTTTCTTCGATTCCAAGCTCATCGTTCGGGTGGGTGGTCGCCTCTATACCATCATGTCGTTTCGCAAGCGGTATATGATCGTGACCAACCCTGATGTGGGCCAGACGTCGCCCCTGCTTGCTCTCACGGAAGAACTGGCGCTGCGTGACAACCAGGTGGTCTTTGTATCAGGTGCGTCAGCCTTGAAGCGTGTGCAGCGCTCGCAGCGTGCTCTGGGCTTCCCTGTGCAGATGGACGCGCAGCCGAGCATTGTCCAGCTGCAGACGTACCCTATCGCGTTCTTCTCGCTTGGCGAGAGTCTGCTGCTATCGTACTTGGACCAAGCGCTGATCCAGCCGGAGCGATTCCACCGGCAATGCCGGCGTCCTCCTGGCGAGATCATGAGTTTCATCGAGCTGTACATCGATCTTGTGAACGATTCAAGCGACGAGTACCGCGACTTGGTCTGGCGTGTACGTGATCTCGTGGAGCAGGTGGACCCGGATCTGCTCGTCGTCGACAATTTCAGTCCGTTTGCCGTGGATGGCATCCGGCTGACGAAGCGCCCATTCATCGAGACGGCCCCTGGCGCCGTGTCGTCTGTGGCGAGCCATATCCATGTCCTGCAGCAGCCGCTGCCGATGAGGGGGGGCCGCTCGTCGAGCATTGGCTTTGTCGGCCTGCTGAGCAACCTGTACTTTATTGTTCGCTGGCTGCTCTTCGTTTTTTTTCATGCATGGTCAAAGCGCCGCCGTGCATTCCGTCACGAGGTGTTGGGCCTCACGGATGTGCCTGTGCTGGACGATGCCATGTTCCCTCCGCCGCCTGGCAAGTTGCCACAGCATATTGCATCCATTACCTTCAACGTCGAAGGAATGGATATATACCCAGCCTCGGCCTACGAGCGCTCTGTGTTTTTCGTAGGCCCCTGCTTCGCGCCCTCGCAGCGCCATATGCCACCTGGCGTGACTCTACATGCGCTGCCTCCTTCGGCTCCAGCCGTGAGCGATGCACAGATGGACGACCCTGTGAAGCTATGGCTAGATGAGGCACATGCCCAGGGCCGACGTGTGCTGTACATCAACATGGGCAGCATCTTCTTCTACATGCGCCGCGACTACGACCATATCCTGGCATGCCTCGAGCGTCTGCACAAGCGGTTCCCGACATTGCTAGTCCTGTGGAAGATCCCAGATCACCCACAGCGTATCCAGCCCGTGCCCACGGCGGACGAGGCGGTCTTGCCTTCGTACATTCGCCGCGAAAGCTGGCTGCCAAGCATCCATAACGTGCTTTCGCATCCCGCTGTCGCTGTGATCATGCACCATGGCGGCGGAAATTCATACAACGAGTCCATTGCGTACGGCGTTCCGCAGTTCTGTGTGTCGCAGTGGGTCGATACCCACGATATCGGACTCTACGTACAGAACTCGGGCGTGGGGCTGTGGGCCGACAAATCGCCTGAGTTTGATCCAGACGATATGTATGCCAAGCTCTCCCGCATGATCATCGACGAAGGCCACACGTTCCGTCATACGGCCCTGGCATGGCGCATCAAGGCCCTGCAGGCCGGCGGCACAGCACGCTCGGCAGATATTATCGAGACGTATGCTTCGTCGTACACATTTGAGCAGGGATCCAGCAAGGGACCTGTGGCGCAGAGCCACTAAGCCATATGCGCGCCAACTCATTTCCTCTATTCATTCGCATATAGCTCTCTTTCTTTCTCTACCATACACACTGCACATCTATACATACAAACATTCATACCCTTCTCCATCATCTTCCATAACCACGTGCCTTGCGGGGTGACTAGTGTGTGGCACATGTACGTATAACCTCCACACGGCCATCGTCGCTACGTTCTTTCCATCACCGCGATGCTCGTGCAAGAACGTGCTCGGCGATCGACCGCCGGCAATCGCATGCGCGATCTGCTTGAGCAGGAATTTGAGGCGGAAGAGATGTTTGTCGAGGCGGAGAATGATGTGGAATTTGAAGAGCGTGAAGGTATGTCGATGCCCTGTCTTACTTTGTGCAGAAGAGCCCGACTATGTCGACTCGGACTTTGATGGGAACAGTACCGAGGAAGACAGTGCTGAAGATGTGGAAGCGGAAGAAGTGATTGCACGAGAGGAAAAACAGGCACGGAGAAAGGTACGCACACTTATCCTACTCACGTATCTAGGCGACACGTCCCGCTGTGCGATCTCTCACCTCGGCGTTGGCAGCTCCCGCGTCGGCCAAACCTGCTATGACGCCCAAGCCACGGCCCCCACGTACTGCTCCTAGTAAGCTCCCTCCGGGAGGCGTTCGTAGTAGTACACGACGCTCGACGGTGGAAAACAAACGTGCCATTGAGCACCGCCAAAAGGAGGCCGAGGCACGGCGTGCGACGTTCAAAGCGCGACCTGTTAAGCGAATCAAGACACTAACACAGGATGCATTGATTCGAGAGGCTTTGGAGATTGAGGAGGAAAATACACAGAGTCTTTTGCACTACTTGGAACAAGAGGAAGAGCGCAAGACCAAGCAGCGTCAGGCCGGCAAAAAGGAAATCCAAGGCCCTTTCCTCCGGTGGATCAGTGTGGGTCTGAACCAAAACGTGTTTGCTGCGCGGCCTGATGTCCCTGATACCAAGCCGGCGGTCGCAGCTGAGACGTCTGCTGCTGATTCACAGACGTCTACAACCACTGCTGATGTCCAAACGTCCACTACGGCTACACAGACGACTGCTTCTGATGCACAAACACCAGCCGCTGATGTGCCAACATCCGCGCCTGATGCACAGGTATCCGACAATCATACGCAATCATCCGCCGCCGATGCGACTACGTCAGCTGTGGACACACAGACGCCAGCCCCTGATGCGACTACGTCAGCCACAAATACACAGGCGCCCGCTACTGACACGCAGACATGGGCTGCCCATGGGCAGGCGTCTGCCGTACCCAAGGCAGAAGCTTCTCCATCAACCACATGCAACAATGAACCACCCACAGCACCAAGCGACACTAATTCCGCTACCACGCAGCATGCTCCATCGACGTCCGTGACGGAGGCACATCCAAGTGGCTCTACAGGATCGATATCGACTATCACTGAGACGCCTGGCCTGACCCCCTCAACTGTGGCACCCACTACCAACGACATGGCGCCGGCACATACCCAGCCCAGCCCAGCGACGCCGACGCAGTCTATCAAGACAGCAACGCCATCGAAGCTGGCCGAGGTGATGTCGTATGATACCCAGTCCATGACCGATACGTCATCGGAAGAAAAAACCGCTCGGACCATTCTCTCACTAGAACAATTGCCCCCGGACTCTACCTGGGTCGACGAGTTCAGGTACCTGCTGGGCGACCAGTGTGCATGGAATCATATGCCCATTGTACCATCGCGCAATCGACCATTCCGCCCTCGGCAAAGTACGTGTGTGATCACAGGCCTACCTGCGCGATACCGTGATCCGCACACGGGCATTCCCTACGCGACCATAGACGCCTACGCGACGTTGCGGCGCGTGCTGGAGGGCGCGTATATGTATACGGGCTCGCCTCGTACGAGTGCAGCGCTGAGTGCTGGGTGCTTTGGCTTAGCGCGGGGCGATGAGGGGGCTGGTGGCGTGTTTCGTAGGCATGACACATAGATAGATTATCTGCTGATGGTTCATCGCGGTAGAAGATCACCGCACATGGTAGATAGTATCAATACGTGGTCACACGCGCGTGTTCTATTTTGTGGGCGATTCCATCCATTGTACGCGTCGCGTTGTGCATATCTCTTCAAGTGGCCGTGCTGTATCACGCGTCTTTGCGACGCGCGTGCAAGTGGTCGATCTAAACGACAATTTCGGTTGGCTGGGGCAGCGGGTTTTTTTAAATTATTCGCCAACGCGACGCGCTGGTGTGCGTCGCATCCGACCCAGTCGCGTCGCGCCGTGTCCAGCGGATTTGCCACATATAAACCAGCGCGTGTTGGTCCTTTCCTTCCTACCTACACTTTCCTATTTTTGTATCCCTTTCCCATGTCCGTCGCCACGACTCCCTCGAAGCAGATGGCTACAGGCCTTGCTAAGATTGATGTGAACGCTTCGCCTACCAAGGCGAAGAAGCTCGATCTCGTGAAGGAGGAGAAGGAAGAGGAGCAACGCTCGGCTCTCGACAACCATGTGTATGGCCGCTTTGTCGGCGAGGTGGACCTCGACGAGTCGGAGGAACCCATCCTCGTGGAAAACAAGCGCCGCTTTGTGCTGTTCCCGATCCGCTACCACGAGATCTGGGCGATGTACAAGAAGGCTGAGGCCTCGTTCTGGACCGCTGAGGAGGTCGATCTGTCGAAGGACTTGCACGACTGGGACAACCGCATGAACGACAACGAGCGTCACTTTGTGAGTACCGTCCTTGCGTTCTTCGCCGCGTCGGACGGTATTGTGAACGAGAACCTGTTGGAGCGTTTCAGCAACGAAGTGCAGGTGGCGGAGGCTCGCTGCTTCTACGGTTTCCAGATTATGATGGAGAACATTCACTCGGAGACCTACTCGCTGCTCATCGACACGTACATCCGCGACACGGCGCAGCGCGAGTACCTGTTCAACGCTATCGAGACCATTCCCGTTGTGAAGCAGAAGGCCGAGTGGGCCCTTCGCTGGATTGCGGACAAGCGTGCCTCGTTCTCGGAGCGCCTTGTGGCGTTTGCCGCCGTGGAGGGCATCTTCTTCTCGGGCTCGTTTGCGTCGATCTTCTGGCTGAAGAAGCGTGGTCTCATGCCGGGTCTGTCGTTCTCGAACGAGCTTATTACCCGTGACGAGGGTCTGCACACCGACTTTGCGTGCTTGCTGTTCAGTCACCTGAAGAAGCGCTCGCACCCTGACACGGTCAACCGCATCATTACCGAGGCTGTCTCGATCGAGAAGGACTTTTTGACGGAGGCTCTGCCTGTGTCGCTTATCGGCATGAATGCTCGTCTCATGTGCCAGTACATTGAGTTTGTGGCCGACCGTCTGCTGGTCGCTCTCGGCAACCCGAAGCACTACCACTCGACGAATCCATTTGACTTTATGGAGAACATCTCGCTGCAGGGCAAGTCGAACTTTTTCGAGCGTCGTGTGGCCGACTATGCCAAGGCTGGTGTCGCTCGTGACGAGACGGAGGAGAGCACCACCCAGAAGCAGGGCGCACACACTTTCAGCTTGGAGGAGGACTTTTAAATGGCTGCATCTATCATGTCCCTTAGATCTACCTACATACCCTATCTTCACCACCAATTCTATGTTTCGCACTCTCTGCTCCAGTCTGTAGCGCGCGTGCGATGGTGTTCCCGTGCGACGATCAAGTCACGTGACGAAACGCGTGAGGACGCGCGTGGGGTTCTCTGCGTTGTTGGTACTTGCCGCCATGTCGCAGCGGCGCATGACGCTGGCGTCGATTGATACCAACCGAGGTGCTACCGCCGCCTCTGCAATGAACAAGGCACCTGGAAAGATGCCACCACCTGTAGCGGGTGTGCGTGGTCGTCCCTCGCTGGCCATGCGTCGTTCCAGCGTGGCTTTGGGTGGGTCTAGCGCTCTCCATGAAATGCGTCCACGGGCGAGTTTGGCACCAGGCCAGCGTCGTTCGGTCGGGATGGGCCGTGCTTCGTTGGCGCCTGGTGCGCTTCCTCCCATGCCCGTGATCAAAGATAGCCGCATGCGTATGAAGAATGCACGCGCTACGATGGAGGCCAACCTGACGCATTTTCTCGAGTCAACAGGATTTACCATGGCGGGATGGTCCTCCAAGCTGGTGCACGAGCCGACGCAGTCTGCCTTTGTCGGCATGTTCAAGCACATCTACAGCACGTGTATTGATAGTGGATACCAAGTCGGCGCAGAAGGCCGCAAGTTTGAAGAGGAAGTGCTAATGCTCATGAAGGAAATCCGATACCCATTTGTGGACGAGCTGACCAAGACGAAACTCACGGCGGCCGGCAGTCAGCAGAACTGGCCCGTGTGTCTCTCGATGCTCGACTGGATGGTGCAAGTGGGAGTACGTACGCAATAGACTGACCAAAGACCGCCGTAAACGCATCGCACAGTGGTCCGTTGGAACGCGAAGACGAGAATGAGCTTCATGCGTTGTTCTTCCCGTACCTATGGCACTGCTACGAACGTTTCTGGGACAACCAGGATACGTACCCGGAGGAAATGGAGGCGCTCGCTCAGCGTTTCGCGGAAAAGAATGCGGCGTTGGCCTCTGCTGTCGAGGCGTTGGCCTCGGATCAGCAAGCGCTCGATGCAGAATGGCATGCGTTGTCCGATAAGCCCTCGCCCCTTCAACGCGAGAGGCATGAGAACGAGGTGCTGCAGAGCGACTTGGCTAAGTTTGCCAAGTACCACCACGAAGTGCTCGTCCCGAAACTGGACAAGAGCCGCCGAACGATTCAGCGTCTGCAAGCGGCGCTGGTCGAGTATACCACAGAGCTCACAGCCAAACAGGCGGAGCGAACGCGACGGCAGCAGCTGGTCGATGCGCAAGACATATCGTCCGATGAGTTTGAGCGGATGCTAGCGGAACGGGAACGTCTCGCGCGACAACTCGACGAGCTGACGACGCAGAATCGGGAGGCCGTGGAGCAGTGTTGGTCGTTGGAGATGGCACTTACGAAGCAGCAGACCGAGGTAGAGAAGCGATTGACGCATTTCCATACGGGTGCACGACGTGTTGACCTTTTCCCTCTGTCTCTCCCGAACGGCGTCGAGCTCACCGAGCTGGATCTCGTGCCGGCCAACCCATCGACGATGCTGGCGCCTGGTGTATCGATGCAGGCTGTGCGGTCGAAAATCGAGCATCTTCGCGCCATGGAAGCGGAGCGCTTCCGCACCTTGTCGGACGAGCGCCTAGCCCTCCAAGAATCGCTGGACGAAGCCTTGGAAACGCTGCATCGACTTCGTCGCGATGGGCGGAGTGCCGAGTTACGTCTTGAAGCGCTGCGTGCCCAAATGGACGAGGTCAATCAGCGTGGGAGTGAAGAAGAAGACGCTTCGCAGGCCGAGTACCTGCGCCAGGAAGGCATTGTGCGTAGCATTGAGCATTCCAGCTCGATGGCGCTGCAACAGGCGGAAGCACGATGGCAGGGCTTGCAATTGCAGCTGCAAGAAGCCCTTGAGTCTACCGCGGCCGAGCGCGCGGCCATGCATGATGAAGTGTGCAGTGCGCTGCACTCGCTCCTCGATATCAAGGTGCGTGTATCAGAGGGTCTCGATCGCATTGCCGCTGCAGTCTCCGGTACGTGTCGTTCATAGAGGGACCATAGTGTGCGAAAGTGGAGGTTTTCGCCGTCACGGTGGTCCGTCCTCGGTCTCCACACCTTCGGCTGTGTCCGTTCGCTCATCATGGCGTCTGGTATTGGGAACCTCACTACACTAATCAAGCGGTATGTTGCGTCTACGTGGCTGACCACAGACTGGAGGCTGCGACCTCGCGCTTGGAAGATATTGCCATGTCGCAGTCGGCGGCTGCCCAGGACGCCGGCCTGGATCTTACGCCGCCTACACAGGCGGCCCCCAGCACCACAGCCGTCGCCTCGTCCTCGTCAGACACTGCTCTGAATGACACTGCCTCGAAAGGCGAAAGCGAGTCCAAGTCTCTGCCTACCGTATCTGCCTGGGATGAGGACGTCGAACCTGCTGTGAAAGAGTATGTCGCTGCTAGCGAGGCCCTCTCGCCCCTGGTCGCCGAGCATGCTAAGCTCGTCCAGGCTACGATGCAGCAGCTCCGCTCGGTGGTGGTCATGGCTGCGATGTGCTATAAACCCAAAGAGGGCCTTGCCTCAACAGAGTACACGATGCGTTTGGAGCCATTGCAGCAGGCCTTGCACAAAGTCGTTGCGCTGCGGGAAGAGCACCGAGGTGATCGCGATTGGTTTAACCACTTGTCGACTGTCAATGAGGGTATAACGGCTGTTGGCTGGGTTGCCGTGGAGCCTACACCTGCGCCGTATATTGGCGATATGATGGAGAGTGCTCAGTTCTACGCCAACCGTGTCATCAAAGAGTTCAAGGAACGTGACCCTAAGCATGTGCAGTGGGCTCGCGCGTTTATGAATGTGCTATCGACAATGCAGCTCTATGTGAAGGCGCATCATCGTACGGGCATTACATGGAACCCACAAGGCGCTGTGCTCAACACGTACTATGTCCCGGAAGATGCACCGATGCCGGTCATGGCTCAGGCTACATCCTCGGTAGCGTCTGAGCCAGCGCCGCCGACTGCCCCACCTGCGCCACCAGCGCCGCCAGCAGTAGCGCCTCCGGCTGCGCCGCCAGCACCGGCTATGGCAGGCGCTGCAGTGGGCGCTACTGCTGCACCCAGCATGGACGCCGTCTTCTCGCAGATCAACCAGGGCGAAGGCATTACCAGTTCGCTGCGCAAAGTCGATGCGAGTGAGATGACGCACAAGAACCCATCGCTGCGTGCGAGTGGGACTGTGCCTGACGCCGAAAAGGCGCGTCCAGCGCCGGCCGCCAAGCCAGTGAGTCTCAGTGCAAAGAAACGAGGCGCACCACGCAAAGTGCTCGAAGGCAACAAGTGGACGATTGAGAACTTCGACAACGATGCCCATGTCGTGATTGACAACACGGAGCTGGGACAGACCGTACATATCTTCCACTGTGACCGCTGCGTCATCGAAGTCAAAGGCAAGATCAACGCGGTGTCGATGCTCTCATGCTCCAAGACCAACCTTCTTCTGGATACACTCGTCTCGTCGTTGGAAGTGACACGATGCACATCCTTTGCGGCACAGATCACAGGCACGACCCCGACTATCCTCATCGATAGCTGCGATGGCGGTCATGTGTACTTGTCCGAGCAGGGCATGCATGCCGATCTTATTACGGCGAAGAGCAGTGCCCTGAATGTCAGTGTACCAGCGGCGAATGGCGAGCCGGGTGAACTGGATGAAATTCCGTTACCGGAGCAGGTAAAGCATACGATAGCGCGCTCGGGCTCGCGCACCGTCGCGAACAGCGAGGTCGTCCAGCATGCCGGCTAACTAGGCTGTTTCATAGTGGGTATAAGCAGTCCCTCTCCTGGTCTCTCATGTGGAGGTCGGTGCTCTCTCCGTTTCGCCACGACACGACAGTATGAAACGACGTGCGAGTGACGACCGTCTCGACATGTGTGAGCATGTAGCTGCACACGAACAGGCGCTCCGCGTACCGAGTTCCAGCGACCAGGTATTCAAAGACGATTGCATGCTGTGCTTTGACTCTCCGGTAGGTAGCACGGACGACTCTGACCACTAGGATACCGACCATGGCGTATGTGTATGCCTGCATTGCTTCCGAACAGGGTGTGTAGGCGATGCCGAGCGGGCGCATGCCGGTATGCATGCAACCTATGCATCGCATCCTCTTGCGATGTGGGTCCGTCGTCGGCCCAAGCCATCAGAGCCCGTCACACGACTCGCCGTAGTGGAAAAATCCGACGAGGAGATGTACGAGTACGAGCGGTACGCCATGTGCCTGGCCTGCGATCCGGTGCATGGACGGCGTATTGTCTCCACGTCCAAGGTATGTTGCCTCTCTTCATGACTCAGACCTAGATCGATGCTGTGATCGATGGCATTGTGCATGCCACATCGTCGGCGCACCAGACGGAAGTCCAGGCGTGGGAAGAGGATATCGTGGCCTGTGAACATACCCTTACGGTCCCACAAGACGAGCTTACCTCGCCACCTACGCTGGGCGAGGGAGCCACCTGTGCAGCATGCGACTTGACGTCCAACCTATGGATGTGCTTGCAGTGTGGCTACCTGGGCTGCGGCCGTGCGCAGTTCGGCGGCCTAGCTGGGCATGGCCATGCCCTTGCTCATTACGAGGCGACAGGGCATGCATGCAGTGTCAAGCAGGGTACCATTACGCCCGAAGGGACGGCCGATGTGTACTGCTATGCCTGCAACGATGCCCGTCTGGACCCGGAGCTAAGTGTGCATTTACAGCGCCTGGGCGTGCCGGTGGCGTCTCTGTCCAAGACGGAAAAGAGTATGACAGAGCTCCAGCTCGAGCAGAACGTGCAGTTTGATTTCCGAATGGTCGACGATGACGGCGCCGCTATGGTTCCTGCGTACGGCGCACACCGCACAGGTATGCAGAACCTTGGGAACAGCTGCTACATGGCCTCGACACTGCAGAGCGTGTTCGCCTTACCGGCCTTCCAGCGCCGCTTTGACGATGTGATGGAGCACGCCAAAGTATGTACAAAGCCCCCCCACGACTGCCTCGAGTGCCAGGTGCGCAAGCTCGCTGACGGCCTCGCTTCTGGTCGCTACATGACGCAGGGCATCAAGCCTGCCATGCTCAAAGCTGTGCTGGGCCGAGGCCACCCCGAGTTTGCGAGTATGCGTCAGCAGGATGCCGAAGAGTTTTTACAGCACCTCGTTACCTCGCTACAGCGCTTACCAGGCCCCACGGATCCCACACGCACTCTGTCGTACACCCTCGAGCACCGCTTGCAGTGCACATCGTGCCGAAAAGTGCGGTACTCGTACGAACACGTGGACGCAGGACTGGGCCTGCCTGTGCCCCTCCACGAAACCGCCCCTGGTGAGTATGAGCCTGTGACACTGCAGCAGAGCCTCGAGGCATATGCACGTGCGGAGACCATTCAGTACGACTGCCCATCGTGCCAGACGTCCGTGGAGGCGACCAAGCAGACTCGTTTCGCGACCTTGCCTGACGTGCTGTATATTCAAGCGCAACGGTTCCAGCTGATCAACTGGGTGCCCCAGAAAGTCAATGTGGCCTACCAAGTCCCTCTACAGGATGCCGTGGATCTCAGTGCATACCTCGGACAGGGGATGCAGCCGGACGAAGTCGCTTTGCCTGAGACCGATCAGCATGCTGAACCGGCGATGGATGCGGACGCTATTGCGATGCTGACAAGCATGGGCTTCTCCCATGCTCGTGCCCAACATGCACTCCTCGCGACAGGCAGCGACGTCGAGGCAGCTGTAGGCTGGCTGTTTGAGCATGCTGACGATGCATCTCTGGATGTGCCGCCGACGCAGCAGCCATCTGCGTCCCCTGTCGACACCTCGGCGCTTGAAGAGATGGGCTTCTCTGCGGCGCAGGCACGCAAGGCGTTGCGCGTACAGGGCAACGATATTGAAAGGGCCGTCGCGTGGCTGTTTGAGAACCCAGACGATGTAGGGGAAGAAGACAGCGTGGCTGCTCCTGCAGCACACGACGATGCGGCCCGCTACGGAACATCGGAGACGCCGGCACGGTACGAGCTCGTGAGCTTTATTACGCATCGTGGTGTATGTATCTGCAGCAACTAACGACGACAGCCTTCGGTCCACAGTGGTCATGTATGTATCTATGGCGCTCACCTGTAGTACGTCGCACACGTTCGCTCCGGCCACGACTGGATCTTTTTCAAGTACGTACCCACACGCACTCACCGACAGCGACGAAAAGGTATGCGCTCTCGTCTTCTTACATGCCAGGTCGTACATGCCCCATCTGAGGGGTCGTCCAGTGCTGCTGCGCTCTCCGAATTGTACGTGGACGTCGCATGGGATCTCACAGCAGGGCCTATCTGTATTGCCTACGCCGTATCTAGTTGACTTTCTCATACCAGCACACGCCGGATCTGCTCTACACCACCAGGTAGCGGCGTCATTGTCACAGGGCAGCGGTGCCACTTGTCGACATACTCTGTAGCGCACGTATAGCAACATGCATACCCTGTGGCCAAGACACATGGATTCTGAATCGGCGCTGCGCCACACAGCGGGCAGGCATTGTGTAGCAAGGCGGGTGGGGCGGCACCATCGGCAAACATATCATCATCAGCCTCAGCTAGCGTCGTCGTATCCATCACCTTGGCAAGCACTTGCGGGTCTTTGAACGTCGGTGGTGGATTGTACAGTACACCACGTTGACTTGGCAGCAGGACCGACGGCGGCGCGATACGCTTGCTCGACTCGGTGCTGCTATCGCCCCGACGGCGGCGGTTGTTGGGGCTGTACCACCACTCCAGGAACTTGAAGAAGAAAATCGACGCGGGTAGAGCGTACTTTAGCGCATCAAGGATGCGAGCGCCGCCCTTGCGCATCAGCACGTAGGTCCAGAGGAAGGGGTACCGCGTGAACTTGGGGAACTGCACTGCCGCCGCGCCGACCATCAGCGGCTGCTCGTTGCCCATGGAACGACGCACATCGACGCGCATCGCTGCAAGCCATGGCCGCCAGTACGGAGTGCGGCCAAAGAGATAGCCAATGTGGTACCCCAGCATCCAGAGCTGGTAAACCACTTGTACGTACGGGTATGCCTTCCGGAAGAACGCCTCCCACTTCCGCTTGCGTTGTTGCGCGGGTGTCTCGTGCAGTACAGCGGCCTGTGCCGGTCGCGACGAGGGCTCGTCGCCAAACAAGTCGTCTTCGTCCTCTACTAGGACACCGCCTCCGACATGCTCCCAGTACTCTGTGAGCTTAGCACTCACGTAAGGCAGTCCAACAAGGAACATAAGAGAGACATAGATCTCCTTATTGCGCAGCTGCCGTGTAACTGCCAGCTTCTGTGGCGAGACGGACGCCTCGACTCGCTTTGTCGACACAGCTGGGCGTCGGCGACGTCGGAGGCCGTAGAAGTGTTCTGTAAAGGAAGCGTCTTTCGTTAGTCATGCAACAACAAGCATACATACTCCATGTGCGAAGGTAGTGTCGCTCTACGGCCAGCATTAGCAGGGTATATATTTCATCAAACCGGTTGACGACGCGGAGAAGGTACCGCGGATTCCTCTGGGCCAACACAGTAAGTACATACCGGATTGCAGGCTTCAGCAGGTCTGAAAGTTGCTCCTGCGCAATCAGCTCAAAGAACGACGGTCTAAATGGGTCCGTAGCCGCACTGTTCGACGACGTTGGGTCGATATTCGATAGCACGTCCATCGTCGTACGAGTGCAGATCGGTATGTGGAGGCGCGACTTCGTCTTGAACCATGGCAGGTTCGCGGTACGCCTACGTACGTGACTTTGAGCTGGCCGACGTAGCTCTGCCACGCACTTATCTGGTCGTGCGTATCGATGGAAAAGGGTTCCATAAGTGCGTATGCCATAGTCTGACCTAGATTTTCAAGTCGCCATGGGTTTACGAAGCCGAACGATATGAACGCTTTGGAGCTGATGAACGAGGCTGCGCGGCATGTCATGCGCGAATTCAAAGGCCATATCACGCTGGCCTTTGGCGAGAGCGACGAGTACAGGTATGTTATACTCATCCTTATACCAGCTTTCTTATTGACCGCGACTCTGGGCTTTATAATCGTCGACAAAGGTACGTCGACTTCACGGCTCTGACCTCAGTAAACTTGTGTCGCATATCGTCTCGCTGTTCACATCTGCCTATGTATTCTGCTGGTCCAAGTACATGAAGACGCCACTGGAGGTGCCACCTTCTTTCGATGGCCGGCTCGTAATGTATCCTACGTCCAAGGAGGTCCGTGATTACTTCTCCTGGCGTCAAGCTGACAGTATGTATTCGACGCCTCTTACCGCAGCACACATCAACAATCTTTACAATACCGTCTTCTGGGCCCTAGTCCAGGAAGGCCAAAAAACAGAGCGTGAGGCGCATGAAGTGCTGAAAGGGACTGTATCTGCTGACAAGCACGAAATCTTGTTCCAACAGTTCGGCATGAACTACGACAAACTACCTGCCTTTTACCGTAAAGGCACGACGCTGGTCTGGGCGCCTACCTACGACCCTGGCAGGACAAAACCCAAAACAGAGCTTCGCACACTCCATGTCGATATCATCGGCGCGTCCTTCTGGACACCATGCGAATTACGGCCTCCAACGCTAGCTGACGACGGCCTGGCGTATTTCGAGCGGCCTGACCGTTTGGAAGCAGACGGCCTCGGCGCATCCATCTTGAATCCATAAAATTCTTCCTATACAAATATTCTATCCCTGCAACTACTCTTCTCGAAGTACTGTCACATAGATGTCATCGAGATAGCCAAATGTAACCATATGCAGACAGGGGTATGAATCGTTTTATGAGGTGTTGCGCCGTTAAGCGTGAGTCGTGGAAAAGAAAGCTTGATGAGAGCGCATCACTTTACTTCTTCAGATTCAAGAATCGCATCGCACCTCCCTTGCCTTTGATCGTACTGGCTGCCTCTGGCTTGGATACATTGCGGTTCCGAGCTCCAGGAACGTGGCTTGGCATGGCAGAAGGCGTAACTTTTGTAGGTACCGCTGTGCCATGACTTGGACGCGATGTGGATGGATCCGCCATGGCTGCTGACTGACGGTACTGTTGTTGTTGTTGCTGCTGCTCTGCAGGGCGGCTGGCAGCTTTGACGATTTCCTCGTCAATCAAATTCAAGGCAGCACAGAGCACAATCCATTCCACCATATCCTCATTGCCTTCACCCAGAGTTTGCCAAACTGCTTTTTCTTCCGGCGTACGTCCAGAAATGGTCACGCGCGTACCCGATCCACCACCATTACCAGCAGTCGCATTCTTCTGAATACGGCCGAACTCGACGCGCTTCGGGGGGATCAAATGTCCACCGTAAGTGAAGTAGAACATCGTCCACCACATATCATTTGGGTTGGGCTTTGAGATCTGGAAGAGAGGCTGATCATTTCCAGGCATGTCTGGGTTTGGTAGCGTCAGTTTGTAAACAGGAGCATTGATTCCTGTATTGGTGATCGTCCATTTCAAGTTGCGCGATGCTTCGCAAAACACCGAACGCTCCTTAGTCACAAGCGCAGGTGGGCCACCAAGGCGACGGGATCCTGGAGGTGGAACAGTCTTGGCCACACAGAGTTCTCCCATCATGGATCTAAATGTGAGCATAACAGTAAGTCAACATACGGTGTGAGCAAGTAGGTCTCGTTGTTGTAGTTCGTATGCACATACGAATACCTGCCATGTTAGGTATACACATCTTTTCTTTTCACGTACAAGATATGCTGGGGTTGTCCTATACTACGTTAGTATGCTTGTCACAAGGGACACGTACCAAACGGAGTCACGATCAATGTAGGCAAATGGTATGCGACCGGTGCATGGTTGGGCGAAGTGTATATAGCGTAGGTAGCTGTAGGTAAGTAAGACTTCCCCTACAAGTTTCCATACATACCAGACATGTCGAGTCGGTTCTTTAAGCCAAACTAAAGGGGAGTAGCTTGTCTGACTACGCTTGTATTGTCCTATACGTGACGCGTTTGAGTGTCGGGCTAGTTTTCGTTAAGAGATCCCATAAATGTGGCATGTGGATCGTATGACATAAGCTTGCGTCCAGCCTGTGCATACTTAACTGTTATCGATCTGGAGGACAGCACGAGAACTGTAGATAGGCATTTCACTATGACGATGCTGCATACTTGGACGTATATTCCCTAGCTGTTTTGTTATACTGATCTCTGTCATTCAGGTACTGTTCAGCTGTTGATGTTAGTGAAAGGCGGCACGTACCGATGGAGGCAACCAGGGCATCATCTGGGTGCGGTTCCTGCAGCAACTGAAGGACAGATGTAATGACTGTCACAGTGTTAGATGGGCAATAATAACACAAACATACTAGTAGTTGCTTTTGTAGTAGGTTTCCATGCATCCGATTTCAGCAATGAAATGCACATAGCTATCTCCGTGAGTAGAGCCCATACGTACCACCGTCATCGTCCACATTAGGGTGGTATAATTTGTTTTTGAAATGCACGGAAGGACCCTTAAATGGGTAATCAATAGGGAATTCGAAGAGAAGCTAATGGTCAGCTCAAGGCGGCAACACATACAGAGAACTTTCCACCTTCATACGGCGTGTCGGCCTGCAACGTAAGATACTCGATCACCACGTACGGGCTGTACTTGTCAGCCCCCCATTATTAGACATACTCCTGCGATCATCACATCCCACTGATACATGTTATTTCTAGATATTAGGTCTCACCGATATGGAGTGCACGTACTCATTGGCTTCCACCGATACTTTTTTGGGTTAGTGAGTGGCCCAACGAACATACCAATGCCTGGCGGAGGCGACTGTGTCAGCTCAGCGAGCTCCTAGAAAGTTAGAATCAACTCATATAACGGTGCGCACTTTTGCCAACCGACGTGAACTAGCCATCTCGTAATTAGACTCAACGTTGCGTTGAGGTACTCAACACTTCAATTCAGGCAATCATACATACAATACATCGTTTAGTCAGATACTACAAATACGGTAGCAAGGATGGCCTTGTCTTTCGCCTCTGCTTCTGCCGTAGTGCTTCTTGACGAACATCGAGCCGCTGTACTTTACGGCATACACGGGGGGCATGCTGCATGTTTTGGACTCCTAGGAAGTCGATTTCATCATCATCTTGTGTCATCGGGGGTATATCCAATTGGTCAGTTTTTGGCGCACAGGTCAGCTTGCGCTTGCGTCTAAGCGTAGTTGGTTGAACTTCCTTTGGATAACAGCGGTTCTCCTTATCTTCCTTTACCACATTCAAGGTGTACGATTCTGGAGGAACCCACGCATCAACAATGTCATCATAAATATAGTTGCTTTGCAAAACGCTTCCATTTCGGTGCATAGCTTTCAGCGCTCTGTTTTCGGCGTCAATCTGTAAAGAAGACAACTTCTTAAAGAAGTCATCTGTGAATGGCATCCCTGATGCCGTCATCCATTCAGAACACACTGAGAGAGCTTGAGCTTCCGGCAACGCTATGTCATGCCATTGCATTTCCTTGGCCACCAACATAAACGTGTGGCCCAAATCCAGACCATCTCCACTAAGAGCAAGGAGAGGGGAACTCTCGGGCGAATCCGTAATAGACTGCAGCGTGACACCATCTTGTGCTGAATATAGCTCCTGCAAAAGACAGGCCAATTGATTATGTGTTTCCTTAGAGGATGTTGATCTCTCACATGCATGGCACCCAGTGTGACTTAGTAGTTGAATCGGAGAGACTGAATCATGCTCCATCCCAATACATATCATAGCAAGGATAGCCATTTCAATGGCAACAATCAATAGTTCCGGGTGATTATTCAGAGCAAAACGACTCACCAGTTTTGTCATCGATAAAATATAATAGTCTAGGCGCTGCTTTGCTGCGATAGAAGTACGCGTTTTGCTCTGCAACCAAATGGATCGAACTCTCTCCACCAATTCCCTAGCCAGACTGTCGTAAATCGCAGGAATAGGTACCCCTTCAATCATAGTTACAGAAGAATCCTCCATTCTGGCCAGCACACAACTCATCAAATCTTCACTTCCAGCCACGAGATGCGGAATTGGAAGCATTGGGTCAAAAGGTTCATCAACAAATAAAGTGACAATACCTGGGTGCATCCATGCAAATATACTGAAGGGGTGACTTTGGAGGTGCTCTTTCAGCTGAGATCTGACCCACGATTTTGCGCGGCGGTCTAGATCGGGGAACCCAAATTTTCGTAGCCTTAAACTGATAGAGTCACCTCGGAGTATATTCTCTAACCAACTTGTCATAAGAGTTTCGGCCTTGTGTTAATACAGACATGGGGTCATACATACTTCGCAATAAGCTTTATGATGAATCAACGAATTCAAGAGTCGAGAACAAAAAGCTCCCTTCAGAATCACATGTTCAAACTGGTTTGTTTCCAGCATAGTAATTAAAATTCGAATCGAGAGCAAGGGTAACATCATCAAGGAATAGTGACGAGGGACTTTGTCCAAAATAGAAGAATAGTGCTCCACACATTCTTTAGTTTCTAATTGGGATATGTTTTCGGAAGATGGAAGCGGGAATGCTGCTGCGGAGCGTTGCAAACATTTTCCAGTGAGTGTATTATAGTTTTGAGGTCCACTAGTTAAGGCCCAACAATGCTGAAATAGCCTCTCTAGAAAGAGAAGAACTTTATCCAAGCACTTCTCATCAGAATAGACATTACTTTCAGTATCAGACTGCCGCACTAAGCGCAACAAAAGACCAAAAACCACTTGCAACTCAGACACCAAAGGTGTCATGGCATTACAAGGCTAAGTCAACAACAGTGACGCGACGTACAACCTCCACATACCTCCACAAAAGACAACAACACCTCCACATAAAAATCTTTTTGAAAAGATAATCATAAATGCAATAGAAAATTATATTTATTCGTGAAATACGATACAATAAATGAACATGTAAAATACGCGAAAACAGAATTCTAATATTATAATTATTTTAATAATACAATTAGAAATATCAAAATCATAATCAAAATAATATTTATATAAACGTAAAATCACAATTGCATATTACGTTAAAATTTCCTTACATTGATCCGAGTAATGTTTTCTTTATTTATTTAACGTATTAAAATGTCTATATAAAGTATATAAAAGAAGTTGTACTTAAATTATGGTTTTTACTTATTATATTTCTTTTTATTTATTTAAATTAATGTAAATTTATTAAATTACATTTATTTTTCTTAAAATACAATTTTTGTTCAGTGATATGCGGTATTAAAAATAGATATAATGATTCATAATCATCTTTTTAATTTTTATCTCATTTGTTTTACTTTTTTGAATGATTACATAGCATGACGTAAGCATTTGTTCTAGGATATCTATTGGTTGCTTTATCGCTCTTTATTAGCGCTTAATTCAGTGCCATCGCTTAAGTGTGACCATCGCGCCATCACTGTCGGTATCATTGCGTCGTCGCTGGTGCTGAGAGGCTACGTCATTTTATTATTTTTATCATTTGTTTTCGCTTTTCGGCTGTCCTATCTTGTGTTTGTTTACTGTTTCTTTCCAGAAGTGAGTTCAAGATTGCATAGCCATGCATTTTAGCCTATACCGTGGTCTCGCAGCAATCCTGCTGGCCCCTGACGGTTCCGAGATCTCGTTGCCTACCATTCAAACTGCTCTGCAGGCTCAACGGACGTCGAAATTCGATGGCTTAAATCAAAGTCAGTCCCACTCATATCTTTCCGTACAGGAGGAATACGCTGTTATGCAAAGGCTTCAACAACATTTAGATCATGTCAGCTCTGGGTATGACACCATTTACGGACGTGGTGGGACCGATGGCTTTGGGGCGTATAATATGAGCAATGATACGTGGGATCTCACTATATTCCAGCAAAATTTAAAACGAGGTGTTGAGCAAATTGTCAAGACCGTACTGGGCGAGTCTAGTAGTTATGTGGACCTCACAAACCCTGATCTACGCTCCCCCCGTTCAGAGACTATGTCGATGCAAAAGGAGACGATCAACCGGATGTATACTGCGTTGGAAGAGTTATACTTTTCCATCATTGGAGATATTCAAAAGTACAAGCTACAGTCTCCTCGTCCTTCGCCCCAGGCTACTCCAACGGGATCTGTTGTAACGCCTGTCTCAACACCTTCGCACTATTATGGAAGGATTCCTCCACGTTTTCCCACACAGTACCAAAACCACCGTGTTGATGACGTGGGTTCGCGAAGCATGTCGGCTGTCTCGCTTAGGAATGATAGTTTTGCATCGTCTCAGCTTGGATCGCCCAACCCTGAGTCTTCGGTGACGATGGATTCTACGGGTGGGGCACATGACGACGCTATTCAAAAGACGCAATTGCTAACCGAAGCACTGAAACCGAATAAAACGATCGGTCGGACGGAGTCTCCATCAGGTCTTCGCTGGACCAAGTCCTTGTCCCGTCGTCGGTCGAAGAAGACATTAAAACGTGCTATTTCTAATCCTCACCTTGTATCTACTACACAAAACCTCGACAATACCATTGATTTGGTAAACCTCCCCCAGAGTAATACGTTACCACAGAAGGGTGTGACCAATACCTCACCACCTCTTCCACCGCTACCACTTCCGTCCACCAAGCCAGTATCGCCATATCAAGCAAGCATGCAGAAGCCTCTAAGCTATGACCGTGTCGCTGTTCCTCAGGCTATGACAGAACCTCGTGGAAGTCCTCTTCCCACTAGTCCACAGCTAGAAGCCCAGCCACGTATCTCGACACACAGTCAGGACAGCACATCGAAGGCCTCTCGCATGTCTGAACGAACGTCCCATTCGTCTACCAATACGACAAGGTATGGTGCGAAGCTCGGCGACACTAGCACTATCCGATCACCTAATGGAAGCTTTACTTTGGAAAATGGCTTGCACTCTACCCCGAGTAAGCCCCCTTCGCAACTCAGTAAGGCTGACCCAGCTGCATCTGTTCCTACAATGGCATATATGGCAGACAATGCATCTGACCTTTCTTTCGCAACAGCAGCCAATGCACCTCCGTCTCCTATGCCAAGTGCGAAATACTCGGCTTCGTCCCCCACTATATCACACCAAACGCCCTCGCCTCGGGGAGCGCATACACCTGTTTGGACTACCTCACCAAACACACCTACCAAGCCACCAGCCTCTCCTCCTGTCACCAATGGGCCTCCTCGATTGCTTTTGAACGAACTGAACATCGATAACGGCTCGTTCTGGAATCTAGGCGAAGCAAATAACGTCGCAGAAAAGCCAACACCTGCTCCATCGGACTCTCACCACAGCACGTCAGACCCTCGTATGACCCCAGACTCCTATGTTGGCGTGGCTACGACAGGCGACTCCGTACAAACTGCCGGGCCTGCGCCCGTGTACTCCCATGCGACAGTGGCTACTTCAAACTCATCCTTCAGTGGTGTGCCTGATGACCTAGTTCAAGCTATGGGGTCTCAGCCTTATATGGGCGCCGACGATTCCATGTCAGCTTTACTGGGTCACCTTCCATCCCATTATTCGACTGATCACGCATCGCTGGCATCGACAAGCATGCGTGAATCGCGTATTGGTGAGGTCATTGCTTTCCCACAGGAGAATGATTCACACGTGACTCATACTTCACCCCTACAACTAGTTAGTCCCATGGGCGAACCAGTGAGTAAGGTCGAAGTGGATTTGGCTCGCAGTGGTAGTGATGCCACTGTCCGTGGCGGAAATCACTCCCGCAAATCGCACGATACTAGTGTATACGATATTTATTTCTCGAAGTCTCGAGACGATGACACGCGCAGCCCCCGCAAACCTGTGGCAGACAACTTCAAAGAAATACATATGGGTTCACGACCTATAACTACTCTCTACTCGGATGTTCCGCCACAGCGTGATATGAATTCAATGCCGCGCGTAGGCAGCACAATTAACCCTATTTGGCAAGGTATGTTGTAGTTTTTGTGTGCTGACGTTTATTAGTCGTGGCTGGTCTGAATGATCGCTCTAGTGTGTACAGCGAAGCCGAGCCTTTGGCAAAACGTATGAGTGATCTGAGTATGTTGTCACAACGAGAAGCAGCGCCTGTGAACAATAACACATCAATCACGTCTCTTGCCACTGAACAAGATAACCGAACTTTGTTCACTGAAGCCCGTGCTGCCAAGACAGAGTTTGTGCCCATTGAACCACTGGCTCTATCCAGCAATTCCGCCCGGATGCTGGAAAAGCTCCATGATGACGAGCGATCGCTTAGCAGCACTGAGGACCTGGAACAGCCTGAGCTGGTTTCGGGCCATCCAAGCACAGCCACAACGGCTTTACCATCCAGCCCTCCAGAACCCACTGCACCTACGCTGCCAAAGCGCTCCTCGTCACCCATCATTGAACTCAATGATCAAGGGCTTCCTGTTCAGATTGTGTACTACAATGATGATGAGCTGCCAGAAATAATGGATAAGATCGCGAGTGGTAATAACTCTGCGCGTATTGAGTTCCGTCGTCGCAGCGCATTCCCTGAAATTGACGCTGCTCTTCGCAAGGAAGAGGAAGACAAGCAAAAAACGGAATCGACGGAAGATTCACAGTTTAACCGTGTTGAACAAAGCATTCTGTCCTTGCTTCGTCCTACATTCTCTTCGTTTGGTCTCGGCAGCACTGGCACTGGCTCATAGTATATATATAGATTCAAGACAATTTTATGCTGCGCTATAGTGCTGCGCCTCTTTGACGATACTGTCATCCTTGGCCGCCACATTGAGTAGACGTTTGTCATATGAAAAAAAAGCATCCCATGCCTTTGCACCTGAGACTGGCTCAATTTGAGCGGCGGCAAGGCGTTGATGCATCGTCGAGTGCACTGTCATGGCATCCGCTGGCTTCAACGTGGTGAGGAGTTGAGATAACCCCTTGAAGAACACTGGGGTTTTCTCGTCGTTATCTGAGTCTTGCATGTATTGAATGAATTGCTGGATAGCAGCCACATGGAGTGTTACCATTGCGCTTCCATTCAATGACTCGAGAACTGTGAAGCCTGGCCCTCGAACCATGGTAGCATTGGCCAACTGTCGAGCAAGTGCAATATAGTGCGCCTCCATCACATCGTCTCCGTACAGTGAAAATACAGCAAAGCTGCCTTTTAATGTTTCCACAATTGTTTCCGCAACGAGCCAATCCCGTTCAGAATGCAAAGCATCATCTCGAAGGACAGAGATCACCTCGTGGCACATGGTGTCATAATCATGGCCAAATTGAGCATAGTACTGGAGCATGGCAGATGCATGTGAGACCGAGAACGCTCCCACTTGGAGTGCGGCCACAAATGTCGACGTCATCGAGCATAAGTATAAGTGAAGAGATAACAGAGATGGCTCTAACATGGCAATTGTCGTCTTGCGTGAGGCATTTGACGTAGCATTTTCGTGGAAGGCAGGAATGAGAGCGTGCATTTCTGACGCAAAAACGGAAGCACAGCGCTGCTGGATTTCCCTTGGGCATACTAGATGCATAGCATGCTCGTTCTCTGTAGCATCTTTGCCGTGCATAGTGAAGAACAGTGTATACAGCATGACGACCACTTGCCATGATGTGGATTGCACATGTGAGCCTACGTCCAAATAAGACGTTGCCATATCAAGCAATGCATCTCGTCGATGAAGGAGTTTTTCCATGGGCGTAGCCTGATCGTCGTCTTTCAAAAGAGCCTTCGTAGCCCACATGATACTAAGCGCTAGAGATTGCAATGCCAATCGCACAAACTAAGGTAAGTAAAACACACACGTACCTGTTTTTCTTGCGGGTAGTTCAAGCGGCCACGGCGTGCTAGAGCCATTACCTGGTCCCAAAGGTCATCATCTAACAGGGTATGCACATCAACGACCTTTAATAGAGCGTGAAGCCGTGCCAAACTTGCATGCAGATTGTGCACATCGTCTTCCGTAAAGACAGTAGCATCGACTTGCCGTTGGTACAACGTATCCTGCAGCTTGTTTAGCACAGTCTCTTGCAGTGCAAGCAGTTTCGCACCATTCACACTTGTGTCTGTGGGGGATATCAAGAAAAGGCGCAATGCATCAGCGGCATGCTGCAATAGCGAAGCATCCACATGTCGCATGAAATGCCCGCAAACATCGTCCCATAAAGAGTCCCATGCCTGTTCATTGCGAGTCTCATGGTACACGTCGAGGTCCATAGCCGGGATAATGAGAAGCAGATCGGATATGCGTGCAGCATCACCTGCGTACTTAGCCAACAGTTTCGGAAGAGCATCAATCATACTTGTGCTGTACGCTTCCCATTCAAGCGACTCGCTGTCCTGTTCATGACGTGCCTGTAGAATTTGCATCACAGAAGCCAGCATTTCCACAGCAATGGCCTCCTGCGCTGCATCTAATTCTGGCGCAGACTCGTCATGGAGAAGATCGATATAGGATTGCCATGGATGGACAAACTCTGTCGCGTCCCACAGGGCCTCCATAGCCACATGAATACGGCCCAGCTTTGGCTTGACCAAATCAAAGTCATTGGCATCCAACGGCACCGTATCATGCTGTTTCAACTGCTGATCATACTTTGCTAGGAGACACAGTAGACCATAGACATGAGCCATGGATTCAGGGACGTCACTGCTGTGAGCTACGTCGGTCTCCAATAGTCCAACAAGGAAGGAAGCAGCTGCTTTACGGATGGGCGCCTCCTTGTCAAAGATATGCACAGCAAGTGCAGCTCGGTCTTCGTTGCTGAGCATGTCTTGCTTGTTCAAGGATTCCAACGCGGAGAAGGCTGTCGTTCGAACTGATAGATTTACATCGTACAGGGCGATATCAACCATCCGTTTCTTCTGTGCCTCTGCCAAGGGAACAAGCTGAATAGCATTTACCGGCTTGCAGATAGCTTGTACTGTCTTAAGCGTAGATAGACGCACATGCACATCAGGATCTTGTAGGGCCGAGCCAATATGCCGGAAATAAAAGTCTTGCAGGTACTGAGAAGGATACGACGTCATCCACTGACCGAGGCACTCCATACAATCGAGTCGAATGGCAGCATCGAAATCCCGCGATCGTGGATCGAATACTTGCATCTGCAGCTCATTCAAGTGTGCATCAAGGGAGTCACGCAATGCATCCAGTTGCTCCATTCGCTCAGCCGTGTGAGCCAAACGTGTCCGATTACCACCATCTCGCTTGGCCTCAGCATCCCGCTGCTTCACAGCCACATCATAGTGCTCACGCACTTGCTCCAGCTGGTATGACAATGCACCGACTGTCCACAGAGCTACCACAGTAGCTGTGTGTCGGAATGACCGAAGAGACGATACCGACATTCCAATAAGCCATTGCAGCCAGGTCTCGAGGAAATCCTCGTCGCCCAACATATCAGCTTCGGACGCACCGGAAAAGAGCTTGTCCAAAAATTCACGAGTACTCCTCCTAATTCCTTTCATGGTCTTATTTCGTGAGACAATAGGGTATTGCGCTGATGCGTGTTGTGCCACTTCGGTTTGCAAGCGCTCCAATATTGTATCCATATTCTCACGATCGAGAGCCTCTTCTCGAGAAACGCTCTCACCACATCCACAAAGACGTAATAGAAAGGTAAGGAGCTGAGATAACGCCTCTCCTGAGTCTGACTGGAACCCTACAATCCAGTTTTCCGCCGCGTCGTCCAGGTTGTTCGCTTGCATGACAGCCTGAAAGATTTCATTGTCCCCCAAAGTCGTTACATCTACAGCTGACTTGACCTGTCGCACACGCTTTGCTGCAGGCTGTGCCTCTTCTTCCTCTGACAGTTCGGAGAGAGACGAGTCTGATTCGATGGCATCGACAGGCGCGGCTGGTCGTCCTCGCTTTGGCGCTGGTCGCGGAGGTGACGGTGGCGGAGACAAATCCGAGTCGGACTCACTATCATCCCGCGCTGTTGTTAGATATGAATCCACTGCATCACGTACCTAGCGCTACCTGGGCAGCCTGGGCAGCACTGCGTCGAGGTCGTGCCATGGCGGCGGCTCTCTAACGACACGCGTCGCGCGTCGTCGCGACTGACGCTTTGTGGAGGTTCGGCCGATCTGGAAGTGTCACTTCTTCATCCGTTGGGATATGAAGACAGCATGCCCGTGCGGGGGCGAGGGCGTTGGCCTGCTACGGCTCTGGTAGATGAGCATCATCCAGACGGTGTGATCCAGAAGTATGTTGCTCTACGTAAACCACAGTCGGAGCGTGCGATCGCATTACTGAAAGAAGTGGGACAGAATGTGAAAGGACTCATGCAGAAGCATGGCTGGCGTATGTACTCTCCTCGCCTGACAACGATGTAGGACTGCCTATCTTGGCCGAGATGTATCCACGCAGTGTTCGACTTTTGGGTTTAAACTACAACCAAGGGCAGAAGATTTGCTTGCGACTACGTCATAGTGACAATCCTTTGGAATTTTTATCGCGCGATGAGATCATGGGAACGTATGTATTTTCTCACTAACTGGGATTAGCATGCTTCATGAACTAGCGTATGTATCCTTAGTTCTGACAACAGTCATAATGTGCGCGGCCCTCACGATGAGACCTTTTATAAGACCCTACGGGCCCTCACGGAGGAGTACGAGGAAGCACAGCGGCTAGGATACTGGCCTGGCCTAGGATTCAGCTCTCCTGGTATACGTCTAGGCGGCATGGCACGTCCAAACTACATGTATACCCAACGTGAGCTAGCAGCTGCGTCAGCGGAGGCGCGTCGCGCTGGCTCGACACCTACGCGCCTAGGTGGCTCAGTCCCTCCTTCTTCAAAATCACTCCGGGAACTTGCGGCCGAGGTATGTTTCTATTTGTCTCACATTTCCAGGCAGCTATGCAGCGTATTCGTGATGCACAGACATGTGCTTCCGCCTCGCAGCATGACGTGGAGGAAGTGCTGGCTGAGACGCAGCAGGCCGAAGCTCAACGCAATGTGATTGTGGTGCTTGATAGTGATGACGAAGACACATATACCCCACCTATGGCCAATGCTACTGGCTCACGCGATGATCCTATAGAAATCGAGTAGAACTGTACGACAGCACGCCCATGAACATCGAGAATAACACGCGCCGCCTCTTATGGTAAGAGCCTCTTATGGTAAGTGCGTATGTGTTTCGGCCGACAGTGGATCGGACCCGGCATGCGCCTGCTCGGCGCCTGGCATCCCAGACGCCGTACCCCCACAATCATGATTGCTGCTCCTCTCCGTACGGCCTGTTTCTCGTCGCTGCGTGCTGCTGTGCGCGCCACTCCTGCTCGCGTTGCTCCGATCCGTTCGTTCCAGACGTCGTCGGTGTCGGCTGCTATCAAGACGCTGTATACGGCTGAGCACGAGTGGATCCGTTTCGACGATGAGACCAACAAGGGTGTGCTGGGCATCACGGACCACGCCCAGAACAGCCTGGGCGACGTTGTGTACCTTGAGCTTCCTGCTCCAGGACTGGAAGTGTCCAAGGGTGGTACGTATCTTGCTCATAAAATGCGGCTAACACACAGACCAAATCGGCTCCATTGAGTCTGTATGTACGAAGGTTGAGGCCTACTAACAGACCAGGTCAAGGCTGCGTCGGATATCTACTCGCCTGTGAGCGGTATCATCTCGGAGGCCAACGAGAAGCTCAACGACGAGATGACGCTCGTGAATAAGAGCCCCATGGAGGAGGGTATGTTTGTGTACAACTAATCAATCGCAGGTTGGCTTGCCAAGATCGAGCTCACGCAGCCGGGCGAGCTGGAGGAGCTCCTGAGCGAGGAGGCCTACAAGGCTACGCTGGACCACTAAACGTCGACTACGTAAATATCCAGCTTGTGCAGTCTGTGTGTGAGTCAATAGCTGCCATAGACCAACGTACCTTGACACAGTGATTCACGTTGCGGCGTGGGCACAGCGCCTAGGGACATGCCGTCGTCTGGCAAGGGCACGGCACTCTCGCGACGTACGCGCTGGTCCCAGTCCTCGGAAAGAAGCTCCGACATGACATATGTAATACGATGAGGTAGGACGCCTGGTGACCATCCAAGATACTTCACTGTATCGTATACAACACTCTGTCCCATGTGGCATTTTGTCTCCATCGCAAAGCCTGTACGGCTGCAAATCGATGTGGGGCCGACGCACTGCCCTGTCGCAAGCGCATCCGCCGTATGGTATACATGCGTCACAGGTACGAGTGCGTACGCGTCGTCGTCTGGCATATCAGGCGGTGGGATTGGCAAATGCAGACGCGAGGCAGCGAGGCGATCACCTGGCGACTCAAAGGCTACAGCCGGAACCCCGAACGTTGCGCCCAGAAAGCTGGCAATCACTCCGCCCAGACTGTGGCCTGTGACCCACACTTGACTGTTGGGGTACAGGTACGATATGTTGTTGTACAAATCCGTGGCGGCGGGGTAATACAGCGACTTTTCAATCAAAGCACGGCCCACACAGGCCTGATCGCAGTGATTACCACTGTGATAGCAGTTGCAAATAGGTTTCCACGCTGGCGTTACACGTGCGCAACAGCAGGAGAAGAGCAGATTGTCCTGTGATGTGAGTGTGTACATTCTACGTACATTGTCTTTGTCGCGCTGCCCCGTACTGCCGCCCGGCAGGAAACTCGCACTGGTTCCCTTGAGCGCTACCACGACAGTTTCATTATTCTCTGTTGCATAGATATGACCACGCAAGCCCTCTTCGTCCCATCCGAATTTCGACGACCAGCGCCACTCCGGCGCATCTGTTACAGTGTTCGGCACATCTTTGTAGTACGCCAAGCACGTCATACGTGCCAAGACTTTGAGCAGATGACGATTCGATACATCAGGGGCCATGACATGTACATCGTCCCAAGCCTCCAGGCGCATAAGGTCATCATGATATCTAGAAGGAGTAGCCTGCCGACGCTCTAAGAACCCACGCACATCACGCAGACGGCGAATGGTACGCATTGTCATGGGCGGCGCGCTAGGCGGCATGGGTGGCGGGGCTGACCACCATGTGCTTCCCATCCATATACACAAACTCAAGCTAAGGACCAGCGCCAGCGCTCGCCACGTTCTAGAGGGCGATGGCCCCCGCATATCAATGTGTGTGTCACAAGGCCTTGGGGAGAGATATCGTGCAGGGACCAGAAAATAGTTGCTGACTTGGTTTACGTAACGCCACAGGGTCTACGGAAGGCACTGCGCATGGGCGCATCAAGGTTTTCCCACTTCCCGTTCGCATCATGCTGGCCCGTATGAGTGCGCCAGTTCTGCGCCAGCTCACGCGCAACTCCTCTGTACCTATGCGCGTCTCCGCACGTGCTATGCCCGTGCGTATGCTCTCGACGACGGTGTCCGTGCGCGCCTCGGAAGACCCGCGTCCGGACTTGGACCAGTCGTTGCCACCAGGTTTCGAGAAAGTTGGCAATTCGCCAGACGCTCTTTCTGCCATCAACAAGCTGGTTGAGGTTCTCAAGAAGAATGGCGTGGACGTGGCGAATGGTGAAAAGCCCAGCATGATGCAGCTGGCCAAGTTGGCTACCGTGCAGGAAGTGCGTGAAGCTACGACCAAAGGTATGTTTTTTTTCTTTTGGCTAGATACTTATACTCAGTCGTGGAAGAAATTCGCAAGCTGGGCGTGAATATCTCGCCAGAAAACCTCAGCAAGATTTTCAAGAGCGGGGAAAAGTAGACATCTTTATAGCCTCACAGTCTGTGCTTCCGTGGTGGCGCATTTCACGTGGAGTTGTATGAGCGTTGGATGCACGAAAAGCGCCAATCTAAAAGCGGCGCTTTTTCTCTCCTCCCCTTGCCTGCACGCCAATAAAAATACCGATAGACTTCGTCGCTGTGTTGTGGTGACCGCGACAGGGCTCTCAGGTAGGACATATACGCAGCCATGGCGATGCACGAGGTCCCCACATATCCTCACACACCCCTCGCATTCCCAGCATCGACGTATGACTTGCGATACGGCCTCGGACTGCAGCGTGTGGACCCGCAACTCGACGCGTCGTATCGTCCCTTTGCGGATTCGCATGAGCGGAAGCCGTACTTGTACGACCTTCAGGACACTCTTGTCCACTACAATATCGGCACACCTATTGACTTGCTATCCCAACCGCGTCCCATTTACTTCACCGAGTACGTTTGCCTTTTTCTAACCCGGCAGCTCCGTTCAGCAGAAAATGAACCTGCAGGAACACTTCCTGATGATATTGATTGCAGGATGCATTGTCGCATCTTCGTTCGCCTACTTCTTCCTTGAGCGTATCCTCCGGCGAGCTGGCGTATACCCATCCATGCCCGTATTCAGCAAGCAGGAGCTTGTAGCGAACTATGACGCAACACTGTCTAGTTACAGTGCTGCACAGGCACATTGGCAATCGGCCTGGGATACGCACCTCGGCCCACGATGGCGTAGCCTATGGCAATGGTGCAGCCAACATCTCGCATACGCAGCGAGCAAACTATCTCCCTCCCTTCAGCCTGGGGCATTACGTCCGTTTTCTCACGCTTAATATACTACTACGTGGGGTGTTCTTTGTTTTTTTAATAGATTACGACTGTTGCGCATACGCGGCTGCTGTGTTAATGAATATGTTCACATACCTTCTGCCTCCGCTAGGCATCGCACATTGCTGCCCAACTTATTCACCGTCTCAATGTACTCGTCTTCTTTCACACTATCGTACACGATACCACCGCCCGCTTGCAGGTAGACCATGCCGTCCTTGAACGTCATTGTGCGGATAGCAATTGCGACATCCAACTCGTCCTGGGCAAAATCAATTCGGCCCACGGCGCCCGCGTAAACACCACGTCGCTCCTGCTCGAGCTGCGTCACCAGCTCAATCGCGCGAATTTTCGGCGCACCACTCACTGTGCCTGCAGGGAAAATCGAGCGGAGTGCATCCAATTTCGAACGGTTCGGACGAAGCTGACCTGTTATGCGTGACGTTAAGTGAATCACATGGCTGAACTTCTCAATCGACATGAGCGTCTCCACCTGCGTCGTAGTCGGATCGCAAACGCGGCTGATATCGTTGCGTGCCAAGTCGACTAGCATAATATGTTCAGCACGGTCCTTGTCCGAGTTTAATAGCTCCTGGCCCAGCGCTTCATCTTCTTCGGGCGTCTTGCCTCGCCGCACCGTGCCTGCAATCGCGTGCACCGCTACCTTGCCCTTGGAGATCTTGCATAGTGTCTCAGGGCTTGCACCTACAATCTGCGCATCACCACAGTCCAAATAGAACATGTAGGGGCTCGGGTTGATGCGGCGCAAATGACGGTAGCAGTTGAATGGATGCAGCTTCGTACGTCGTGAGAGACGCTGCGACGGTACCGCCTGGAAAATCTCACCGCGGTGAATGTTCTTCCGCAGCTCGGTCACAAAGCGCTCATACCCTTCCTTGCCGACATTGCTCACGGCCTCTTCGCCAGGCGTAATAATATCCTGCTTCGGCAAGGGCGTTGCGTCCTCATGGATGGCGTGGTACAGCTCATGGACCTTCCGTACAGCCTCCTCGTACAAGCTTGGCACATTATGTGACGTTTCTGTGACGTGCACATGCGCAACGCAGTACACATTCTGAAAGACATGGTCAAAGATCACGGCAGTATCGCACAACATCATGACACATTCTGGCATGCCGTTAAACGGATCACGCAGCTCGCGCTTGGTCTTCGGCTCAAAGTACTGGATACAGTCAAAGCTAATGTAGCCCACTGCACCGCCTGTGAACATGTTGAGCTCAGGCAACGCGACATAATCGTAACCACGCATACGTTCTTCTAGGTGTTTCAACGGATCCCCTTGCAAGGGCAGATTGGGGCCCGTACGCATAACATCCTTCGGCAATGCGCCCAAGAAACTGTACCGGTCAATACGTTCACCTGTCTTGACACTCTCCAGAAGGAAACTCTCACGGCCCAGCTCAGCTCCCTTAGACAACCGCAGGTAGGCCATGACAGGCGTTAGCAGGTCCGACGGCACCTTGCAGTACACAGGCATGATAGTACCCTTTCGCGAGCCATCTGCTGGATCCAGGGCTGCCTGCACATCCGCAAGCGGCGGATGCACTTGCAGTTGATACACCGACATGAGCAATCCAAAGAAAGTGAGTCAATCCAGCCTGGCGCCCTTCGCGCCGCTGTGGCCGCGTACGAGGACCTCCATGCTGCTCGCACGCGTCACGTGGCACTTGGACTACGCCTAACGACATCGACAAACGACCACTCCACTCCATACCAGGGATGGCGCCCGCGCTGCACCTCCCACCGCCATCGCAAGGCGCTAGCGATGAGCTGGGCCTTGTATCTACTTCTACTGTCGATGGAAGCACGTTCCCGAGTGGCGGCGTCGTATATCCGCCGCCAGATTTACGTGCCATTGTCGACAAAACAGCCGAGTTTGTCGCGCGTAATGGCGTGGCGTTCGAAGCCAAGATCCGTGAGCAGGAGCGCATGAATCCCAAGTTTGCATTCTTGCAGCAGGGAGACGCGTACCATGCCTATTTTCGCCTCCAAATCCGTGCAGCAACGGAGAAGCAAATGAACCCGGACGCAACTGAGACCAAAGATGCAGGCGCCGCCGCTGCTGTGCATGCCGCCCTCCAAGCTGACCGTTCGCAACGTGCGCGGCCCGCCGAGCCTGAGCGTCCGCCACCACATGAATTCTCGCTTGAGTTCCCTAGCACTGCCGCTGTGGACATGGAAATCCTCAAACTCACAGCCCTTTTCACAGCGCGTCAAGGTCATGGGTTTGCTACGCGACTGCTCGCCAAAGAGTCCGAGTCCCACCAATTCGCCTTCTTGCAACCACGCCATCCCCTTTTCAGCTACTTTAACCTGCTAGTCGAGCAATACCGCCGCGTAATGCAGCCAAGCCAGGCACTGCTCGATCAAGTACACACCTATGCAAGCCACCGCCGTGGGCCTGGTGCTGGCGGCGCACGTATGCAGCTACTTCCAGCGATGAAAAAACGCGCTGCGTGGACCAAGTGGGACCAGGACCGACGTGAGGAAGAAGAGGCGGAAGAAGAGCGACGCAAAGCGACGTTCGACGAGATCGACTGGCAGGACTTTGTCGTGGTCGGCGTTGTCGAAATTACCAGCAATGATGCACGCGCAGATCTACCACCACCTCGTTCGTTGCATGAGCTTCAGACGATGGTTCATACCCAGGAGAAAATGGCCGAGATGCAAGCTGCCGAGAAAGCACAGGCGGAAGCTCGAGCGCAAGCCGAGGCTGCGTTGGCCACTGCTGCGGCCGAAGCGCCTGCGCCTGAGGCAGAAGAAGAGGAGCCTACGACATCATCCGAATCGGTCACGCCTAGCTCTGAACCAGCACGCCCTGCTATTTCCAAGCCAATACCCCAAGGTCCTATCAAGATTCGGCAGGACTACAGGCGCACTGCACGGCCTACACAGACTGCATCACAGACCACCGTATGCCCTGTATGTGGCGACTCCGTCTTGCTGAGCGAGATGAGCGAGCATGTTCGTATTGAGCTTCTCAATCCCAAGTTCCGCGAAGAACGCGCCAAGATTGAGCAGCGTCGGCAGGAGCAGGCCAGTGTGGCAGCTGGTGCCGATCCCAGCCACTTTCTCAAGCAGTTTGCCGGTGCACGCACTGATATCTTTGGCGCCCGTGAAGACGAAGAAGCACAGGCACGTCGCGATACCAAGGAGCGCGAGTTGGCCCGTGAGAAGGAGCGCCATGTATGGGATGGTCATGCCAACAGCAGCAAGGCTGCGCAAGAAGCACGTGCACGAAAGCAGGCTGTGTCGACCGATGAGCAGCTGGCACAACTTCGACAGAAACCTACCTCTACTGCCACACCTCTGGGCCCTCACATTCCCGGGAAGCGTGCGGCGGCTGATGAAGGTGCTACGACGGCGCCCGCTGCGACCAAGCGGCGGACCGAGTCGCCGTCCACAGCCCATGAAGGCGCCTTGTATCCGGAGCAAGAATGGTTGGCCATGTACCCTCATCCCATTACCTTGCATGTGCACGTGCCTGATGCCCCCCATATGGCGCCCTTGTGCGATGGGCGTGTCCTTGAATTATCAGGCTTGCCGCTCACCACGACTATCGGCCAAATTCGGGATCGTATCCTGAACGAAGCCTTGCAGCGCTCTGTGAGTGCCTCGAAGCTGAAGATGTGGGTCCATGGCAAGCCTGCGACATTGCGGCAGTCGCTTGCGTATTGGAATCTCGCCGATGGTGCCCATGTGGAGATGAGTCTGGCGAAATAATGGCCAGGCCAATCATACTTTCCATAGGCTATGTAGAATGACATGCGCCCTGTCGTCGCAATTCCGGCTGTGGGCGAGATGCAAGTGAGGGATTTTTTAGACTGGACTTAACTGCCCTACCACAAACGTTGCGCTCGCAGCGGCGTGCGATCGACTTGCCAGCGTGGACGGGACTTTACCACGTTCGTTCAATGAGGCTTCCCAGCTGCCTGGCTTTGCGCTGAGCTATCCAGTCCAGGCAGCTGTGGGCGGCATCGTCTTTGCGTTTATTACCTCTCTCATGTTTCATATCCTATTCACATCGGCGTACCACTACCCACTGAACCGCGTCAATTTCCTCCTACAAGTTGTGTCGACGCTATTTATGTGGATCTTCTTAAGTGCGACGCTCGCAATGACGCTGCAAGACCTCTACAATTTCGCGCAGTCGTGGCCCTACATGTTTCCCTACTTGGCCTTCTCTATTCCTCACCGACGCGATTGGAATGCCGTGCAAATTGCCTTCTGGGATATCCTCAGTGCCTTTGCTTCCTTGTCCGCTCATGTACGTTTGAATGTATACTTATACCAGATTACCCACATTCAGTTTCTTACGTTACTTTTCCCATCGCGTCTCGAAAAGTTGCTCATCTTTTGGATCCTTGGGCCTTTAGCGCTGATCCAGGCGGGTATGGAGTTTTCTGACTTTTCTCCCCCTGACGATTACAAAACACATGACTTGGCTGATGCGATCGTCAATATCTGCGATAGCTCCCTGGCCTTGTTGTACATGCTCTCCATCCTGATATGGGGCTGTCTTGTGAACTGGCGCCGTGCATGGCGTCTTGATGGGTCAACAGCCGCATTTGGCGCTTTTACTATCGCCGTTGCCCTCTTCAAAACGGTGGTCAGCTTTGTCCATATCGGCTACGACCGCTTGTATTGGATGCGCGACTTCTCCGCTGCGTTTACCAACTGGCAAAGTTGGCTCGGCTTTTGGTGGTGGGTGTCCTCAGGCATGGGCATTGGCGAGTACGAGGACCAAGTCCGTCGCATTGAGCGCAAAAAGGCACGAAAGGCACGTCGGCAGCGCAAACTGCGTGCGAAGCAACGCAAAGTGGCCGGCGGCGGCGTGTCGTTTGGTCCGTTGCTCGCGTCGCGGTCCAACGTCGTGACCTCAACAAGTGCCGTCAAACCTGCTCATACGATACCCGTCACAAGCCCCTCAGCGATTGCTGCAGCTGCAGCCGCGGCTACCACTGCCCCACCCCCTGTCGTCATCGCTGTGCCACCGCCCAATCAAGGCCCGCAGCCATCCATACCGATCCCACCGCATCTTCGAGCGCGATCTTATTCGACGACATCGTCTGGCTCGCCTGCTCCGCCTATCATACCCAGTGCCAGCGATCCCTACTTGGATGGCACTCATATCGGCAGTGATCCCACCACCGAGTCTCTGGCTGGAACGCAGACTAGTGGTTCAGATTCCTTGCCATGGCCTATCTCCCTTCTTCGACGGACAGCCACACACTTTCCGGCGTTTGTACAACGCCGCCTCGACATGTTGCAGACGGCACATCGTGATGCTATTAGTGACGCGGCTATTGAGCAGGCAACTGTATACGAACGTGTGATGCAGCGATGGCCGTCTTCGTTGGTCCGTCCTGATATCATTAAGCGCGCACGTTTGCAGGATAAGACAGTGTATGAGTAGTAGCTATGTAAAGTAAGGGAATCGTTCGCGAAGAACATGTTGCAGCTTGGGCCAGATTTCGTTGCTGGTCGAGCCGGCCAAGTCCACGACCAACGGCCGCGAAGGATCCGTCGGGCACGACATGGAGCGGAACAGTGAGATCATCGGCTCGGTCTTCTCGTGGAAGGCAGCGATGCGCTTCTTGAACGTCTCTGGGTTATCATCCTCTCGCTTCTCCAACGGTTCACCAGTAATATCATCAAAGCCAGGGCATTTCGGTGGATTGAACGACATATTACTGCGGTATAAGTAGGATCGTATACGTACTATACGCGGCCCGAAGGAATGTGTGTCCACCGGTCCAAAATACGCTGCAAAATGACCTCTTCTGGCACGACCAGGTTGACGACCAACGAAAGTGGGTGCTCAGCAGCGACCAGAGTCGCCGTAAGTAGCTCTGCTTGCCCAAGGGTGCGTGGGAACCCATCGAGAATCCAGTTCTTTTCGCCCAGCATCTTTAATTCGGAATGAATGAGCTCCATCATCGTCTCATCCGGCATAAGACGGCCAGCCCGGATGACTTTCGCAGCTTCTAGGCCAATGTCGGTACCATCACGAATATGCCGACGCAAAATATCGCCAGCCGTGACATGTTCGACAGGAAACTCTTTCACGATGCGTTCAGAAAGGGTCCCTTTGCCTGAGCCCTGCGAATATTAATGGTGTGTAAGTCATACGTACCGGGCATCCTACCATGAGCATACGCAAGGAATGCTGCGCGGCTCCTCCCCCACCAACCTGGCGCAGGACCTGCCGGACTGCCGACGCCATCGTACTACAACCCTGGACGTTACACCAATAAACGCATGTCCACAGTGACGCGCATATCGTCTTCTCTCGGTCCGGGGATGCGCATCCACCGGCCCGACCTTCTGATTGGCCCGTGCTCACTCGGCGTCTCGCGCCTCTCCCCCCTTCTCGCTCACCGAATCGGAGGGCCGTCGCGCGCGTCGGCAAAAAAAGTGTCATCTACACGTCGGTCTATATGTATACGGCGGCCCTATGAGGATGCGTCGGGCACAAAGGTGAGCGGTTCGAAGGGGTAACCACCCGCTTCGTAGTGCTTCGAGCCGGACTCGACCCAGTGCAGACGCAAAGCATGCAGGAAGGCAGAAAGACCTTCCATAATACACAAAATGGCGATGGTCAGGACGAACCACAGCGCAAAGGCGAACACGGTCGCAAACACGCCAAACAGGCCTGTCATACCAAACACATTCTTGATGGTCATATCCCACAGCACCTGCGAGAGCTGTGCATGCGCCAGCGACAGCGCCCACAGACGCAGGTACGATGCAGTGTTGGAGATGCAGCCCAAGCAGAACTCAATGGTATGGATAATCTGATGGATGACCACTTCGCCCATCTCAAACTCTTCCTCATCCTCCTCGTCTTCGGGGATCATATCGTCTTCAAGTGCACGCTCATCTTCGTCGTGGCCATCCGCTACGCGCTGCTCGCCACGGGCCGAGCCAACCGCATGGTAGCCAGCCCCCTGGCGCTGCTTGTGCTCGCGGTACAGCAGGTACGGCTTGGTGACCAGCATCCACGGCACACATACCAACGCTAGAAGCAGGAGGAGCATCTGCACAGACGCCTGGCCTGCATACAGCTGCGACTCGGGATCAACCACACCTGGCTTGAGGAACATGTAAATCAGCATGTTCAGCAGACCCGGCGGCGAGTTGTGCAGCGGCTGACCCTGGGCGTCCGTTGCGTACCAATCGGTCGACCACTTGTACACAATCGTAATCACGAGGTAGCCAAACAGCGACTCCATAAACAGGACCTGCGGCACCAATTCCGCCCAAATCCACGACGCACGCTTGAAGTGGAGGTGGTTCGGCACATTGAGCATCAGCGCAAACGTCATGTGTGCCACACCCAGCACGATCGAGAGCTTCATCTTGAGCGAGTTGGTAAACACCAGGTTGTTCTCCGCTCCGTGCCAGCTGGGATCCAGGCCAATAGGATACACATGGCCGGTCGGCTCAGCAGTCAGCGACCCTTCTCCGCCCTTCTTCGGCCATGCCCATCCCGAGTGGAAGATGTGCATACTGCGACTGAAGATATCGTTGTACATAATACCCGTGAAAATTGCAAACGCACCCATCAGCAGGATAATGTAGCGACCATAGAAGAACATCGACGTAATTTCGTCCAGGCGCGTCCGAAGCAGCTTCTGCTCATACAGCACCATCACACCCGCCGCCAAGAACATCAGAATACCATGGCCAATATCACCGAACATCACAGCAAACAGGAACGGGAAGGTAATCACAGCGAACAGACCCGGGTTCACTTCTTGGTATGTCGCGTGGCCATATGCATCAATAATCGCCTGGAAGCCCTCCGTGAACTTGTTTGTCCGCTGGTACGTGGGCGGCGTCTCTTTCGTCCGCATCGTCTGCATTACCGACGAGACGTGTGACCCAGTATGCTCCGTCGCGCGACGCAGTGCCAACTGCACACTGCTCAGCTCCGAGGAGGGCGCCCATCCCTCGGCGACCATAGTCTTCTGATTCACGTCGACTTGGAACAGGTTCATCGTGCCATACACCAGCTTCTCACGACGCACCAAGTCGGCCCACGCCTCGACCGATTCGGCCACACGGACCAACTCGGTACGCCGCGCGGCATTGGTCGAGTACAAAATATTCTCATGGTCCTCAATACGCTCCAGCACCTCGCCTAGACGCGCATCGCGCTGCGACGCATCGCTCTCAACAGGGTAGAGCGTACCGCCCATTGACTCGCAGATTTTGCGGATCTTCGCGAGCACCGCTGAGCCATGCGCAAAGATCACAAACACATTCTTAAACACGGGCTCGTCCTTGGACGGGTCCTCAAAGCCCTGCTGGATCTCGGCATAGTTCATAAACAGGTTGCCACGGAGCGCACGCCACAACACACGTTCCAACGTCGGCATATGCGCACGCTCAATCGTGCCCGCCACAAACTCCAGGTCGACAGGTGCAAAGCCCGACATGTTCGGCCGCACCTGGCCCTGGTTTTCAAGAAGGGGCGCCTCTGCATCTGTGTCCATACTCACACGCACGGCCTCCGGCTGCGCCTCCGCCTGCTGGAAAAACACCTCCGTCTCACGGATGACGTTCTTCGCTTCTTCCAGCTCCAAAAGACGCTTCTGCAGCGCCTCCTGACTCGTATTCATCTGCTTCACACGCTCCTCATGCTCCTGGAGACGGCGCGAAAGCTCCTCCATCATCATCGGGCTACGCGCCTGGTCTTCCGTGGAGAGGAGGGCCATGGCACTCTCCAACGGACGCGCTGGAATCGCTTCGCGCTCCAGCTGCGCCTGGAGAAACTGCACACGGCGGTCCATCTCATCCAGACGACGGATGTCCGCGACAAACGTACGCTGAAATGGCGCGACATCCGGGTTGAGCTGCGTTGTTAGTTAGCGTGGTCCACGTACATCTTTGAATTGGATATTGCCAAGCTCGCCAAGCTCTGTGACCGTAGCATGTACACTCTCCGACGGAATGTACAGCTGGATCAACGACATGTTCGCCGACCGGAACAAGCTTTCGTCGCTCATGGTCGTCGTTGATGCACGCCCTAGCTGTATCGCTGGTCGATACACACAGCAAGCGACTCGCTGCGGTGGCCGACGAGGGACGAGCGCGGGCCGCCGCCGCTCTATCGGCCGAACCCACGTGCGTCGTCAGGGCCTAGCGACGACCTCCACGCCGTCGCAGGGACGAGGGCCAGTCGCCACGACGTGATCACGGCACGGCACGTCGTCCAGCGGACCCACGACACCCGCGTTCCAGGCAACTTTGCTTGTTTCTTACGCCGTGCACGATGCCGCATGGCTTGTGTATACGTCCTCGTGACGTGCTGGTCCTCGTGCTGGCCCTCCTCGCCATCGCCACATCGTCCGTGCGTGCGTCTTGGTGGCTTCCTCAGAAGCGATTCAAAGACGATGCACTGATTGACGTCGGCACTTTGGGTCTAGATGATGCCCATGGCCAAATCGTGGCGTGGGCCTACCATAACGACGATCGATACGTCGATGCACTCCTTGTCGATGCCGACCGACAGACTGTGCGTGTTCATGAATGGATGCATACCAAGTTTCAATTTAATAGCACTCCGGCCGCGCAAGTCCGTGTGCCAGACAACATGCGCATTGTCAACGTTGTTCCTGCTGACCTAAATTACGATGGTCGTACAGACTGGCTCGTGATGACAGAATCCACGCAGGCAGGCGAGGCGCCTCTCTCGCTGTTTTTGTGGCCCAGCCAAACCGATGGCCAGCTTGGCTTGCCGATCACCCTGCCTGCCTCTGACGCACCGCATCCCTTGCTGGTCGATGCCTCCGGCACACTGCAAGGCGAATTGCTTGGTCATGCGACTGCCAAGCCGGGCACATTGACACTGTGGCGTCGCGATGAGGCCACGTCGCAGTATAGCTTGGAAGAGCTGACGATGCACGGCGACATTTCGCCGTGCCAGCTAGCCCACCCACACAGCTCTGCCCATGTCGATATGAATGGCGATTGTCTCGCAGATCTGTTCTTGGTATGCCAAGGCCCATTGTCCTCGCGCTTATCGTACCAAATCTGGACGGCGCGTATCGATGAGCCTCGGACGTACGATTTGGCTCGTGCAGGCGACTTGCCGCCTGGCACAGGCGCCTTGTCGTTTGCAGATATGAACCGCGATGGGACGATGGACGTCGTTTTCCCGACATGCGAGCGAGGACGATGCATGCTCAACATCGCCTACAACGAACAGATGCCGTTGTGTGAGCGTGAGAAGCGCGGTATGATTACGTGGCCCAACATGACGACACCCCCTGATCGATGCCGTGATGAATTGCAGCTTTGTGAGGCGGATCCGCAGTTCCGTCTAGACTTTTCCGTGGAGGAGGCCAATACCCTACTTGCCCGCCTCCCCCTGGACACATTGACGGGCGATGCGTCACTGCTGCTGCAAGACGACATTGGATCGCACAGTGTGCCTGTACCTATACGCATTGGCGACTACAATATGGACGGCTATCCGGACGTAGCGCTTCTCACAGTGCCACCCCGGGCAGCGCCTGGTCGGACGCGTGTGCATTTGCTGGAGAGCACCGTGTGTCCTAAACGTGGCGCTGTAGGCTGTGCCGCTGGCGCAGAGGTGGAGCATCGCACCTTTGTGCGTGTGAATGGCACCGTGCTCGACACGATGGAGTACGTACGCAGCGTCTCGTTTTTGGATTTGGACGAGGACGGGACGTTGGATTTGGTCTTGCAGTCCATTGAGCCCCTTGCTTCCCGCACATCAGATGCACGCAGTGTGTCGTTTGTACAGAACAACTACTTCCATGACGCGTTCTTCCTCAAGACCCTGACGCTCAACGCCGCCTGTGGCGCACGATGCGAGCCAACTGATGCGAAGGCGTACGCGCCATGGGGTAGCGCGCTAGGCGGCGCCTCCTACAAGTTCTCTGTGCTTGATCCCAATGGTGTGCGGCGTGCGCAGCAAGTGGGCCAGCAGCCTCAGACAGGCTACGCGGCGCTTCTCTCGCCGTCCGCGTTCTTTGGATTGGGCCGCACCAACAACTATGTCGAGTCGCTGTTCGTCGGAAGCACACGCCGCCAAGTCCCACCCTACCTTGTGCTCGAAGGCGTGGTGCCCAACAGCGAAGTCGTTGTCATTCCCACGGGCTCTGCGCCGGAGTTCTGGCGCCGCGAGCTGTTCCTCCACCCAGCCGACTGGATCCCGTTCGTGACGTTGACGCTGTGTGCGCTGATCGCGCTGCTCAGCGGGATCGTCTTCATGCTCGACCAGCGTGAGAAGCGCGAGGACGAGCGAGAGCGCTTGCGTGCCGTGCATGCCATCAACTTTGATGCGTTGTAGTCCATCCATAGACACACACACACACCCTGCCGGTCCGCCAACGTGCCTGCCTCCCCTCCACATCTAGACGGACCGCCCGCATGTACGTCGCCCCGTTGTCTGTCGTCTTCTCCACCTTGACCGACGAACGTCCGAGGCACTTTCCCTTGCGTAGCATACAGGATGCTGGGGGATACTGTGCGTACGGCGTCGTACAGCTCGACGTGGGCATGGTTATGGATCCTACTGGCCATACCTGCCGTGATCCTCCTGCTCGAACATGTCGGCATACCATGGGCTACCCAGCGCCTGCTGCAGGGCCGTGGCGAATTACGCTCCCTCAGCTTGCTTGGCGGTCTGCACGACTTGGTATGGCAGCCTACAGAAGGACCACGCTGGCGGTTCCGGCAGATCTACCTCGTGATCCACTGGCCTGATCTACTCAAGCGCCGAGCCACCACACCCAGCCGCGTGCAATGGCTTACGCTCCGCATAGAAGGGGTCGAGGTAGACCTTGTTTTGCGTCCCTCTGCGCCGCCCGCGGCCAAGGAAGCACCCGCCGACACCAACGAGCCTTCGTCGGCCTCTACCTCCTCCCATCCACACGGCGAGGGTATCTCACATACGTCGCAAGCCGCCCTCCTTGCGCACACCTCTGCCTCGCCATGGCACCAAGCACAACACCGATGGCGCGAGCTACGTCATATCATGCTTCGTCGGACTAAGCGTTTTCTTACCCTCGTTATTGAGAGTATAGGGGCATTGTCTGCCAACTTCATTGCGGTCGAAGTCTGCGATGTGCGTGTTCGTCCCGCCGACACTGCCGTGGCGCTGCAGGTCGACTATGCACGCTGGCATGCCTCGGTGCTTCTCGCGTACGCAGCCCGACGTCTCCATCGTCTCGCACAAACCGTGTCTGACGGCTTTGCCGACGCGCCGACGCAGGCCATGCATACGCGGTCGCACGGCTTCTTCGGCCTGAACATGCGGGCGCCAGAAGGCCGCTTGCGTGTGCAGTTGGACGTCGAAGGCATTCGTCTACAGCATCACGAGAACGATGTCGTGGCGATGCCAGGGCGCTCATCGTTCTCGGTACGGACCAAGTTTAAGGAGTACATTGTACGTGAATCAGCGATGGTCCGCCTGGAGCTGGCCGACTTGCATGTCGACGCCGATGCCTTGCAGCATGTACGATCTGACATCACGGCGTGGAAGCATGCCTCGATACCCACCGAGTCTCCCGCTTCGCAACCCTCGCGACCGCCCACGCCCACGCCGCCTAGATGGCTCGCCTACATGCGCAGCATTGTCCTGAACCTCGGCAAGGCTCACATTGTGCACCATCTGCCGGGCGACAGCGACGATGAGCTCCGCCTGGAACTGAAATCGCTGCGTGTGTCTCTGGAAAACAGCGATCCATCTCACTCCGTGCACCAGGCTTGGTTCGGTGCTTGTGGTCGTGGGAAAGGGCATAATGCCTCGCTCTTTGAAGCGCGTCGCATCTTTTACCTGCAATGGTCTCTGGCGCACATCAAGACCGTCCTCCATATGGAGCACTCGAAGCACCGCTCGTTGTTGCTGAGCTTTACGCGCCTGCATACATGGTGCCGCACCTCGTTCACTCCCTACGGCGTGCTGCCCGCAGAAGCCCAACACGGGCGTCCGCCCTTGTTCTTCGACACCGATCCCAACGAGCCTATGGTCACACTGCGTATGAGCCTCGAACACATTCGCAGCGCTCCTGACCTCACGAGTTTGTCACGTGTCTCCTCCGCGTTGCGGCGCGCAAGGCCGTCGACGCCTTCCTCGTCGCAGGGCTTCAAATTCACCGGTCCCCAATGGCTCCCGCGCGTAGCGATGGTCTTTCAAATCGGCGCAGTGGACGTCGTAGTGCACCAGGGCCGCTCTGCGCAGCTCTGGGATGCGGAACGTCGTGCATTGGCCGTCTCGATACCCCAGCTCCATATCGAGCTGCAAGGCTCGTATGGCGAACGTGTGCGTGTCCTCCGCGACTCGCAGCTTGGCAATATCGAGGCAATCGAGGCGCACAAAAAGTACCCGCTGCGCTACGTCTTCGATGCGAGTGCCGGTATCGCGGCAATTGACGCGTACTTGACTATGCCACATGTGGGCGGACGACCGACGCACCATGATGTGCTCAACATCGGCGCCATTGGTTTCGAATTTGCATCGCGTATCCCTACTGCGATCGACATACACACATGGCGGCCACGCATAAACTACCAGGCGGCGCGAAGTCGTACGCGCCTCTCTGTGCAGCACATCGATGTGAACGTGTGGCACGCATTTGTCGTGGAAACGCTCCTCGACGTCCTACGTGCCATTTTCCATGTGCGTCCTATGGACTCGTCCCCCCCACCCTCTGCCCCTGTGGACGATGGCACGACGTACAATCCACCCAAGTCCTTCATGAATCGCCTGCCGACGCTCCACTTTATGCATATGGGCGTCGGCCGCGTCTCTGTGTACCTGGGCGGGCATGATTCGCACTTTGAGCCGTCCATTCGTCGCGGTATCGCGCTGGTCATCGGCAGTACTGTGCTGGACTATTCTCGGGCGAACCAGGCGCGGCCACTCGACGTGTTTGAGCGGACGTCCAAGGACGCTCGGCAGGCCTTACGTCTGCCAGAGCACATCGGTACTCGCGCTCGTGCCTTGGCGTACGAAGACGGAAGTGGCGCTGCGATTGTAGGCTCCATGCATGACATTTCGCTCTTCCCCCTCGTCGATATTGGCGCCGCTGCGTCGCATGCTGAGAATGCACCGCGTGAAGACGATAATGACACGGGCATCTACGTGGAAGACCAGTGGGACTTTACTACGTCGTTCGATCATTTGCTGCGAGAGCCACGTCATGTGCCACGTCTACATCAGCTGCAGGATGACTCTCAAATGGTGCACATCCCTGCACTGCTCGCAGAAGCGGAATGCAGGAATGCACACCCTAACATCGCCATCAATGCCAGGACGGAAGGCTCCGTGACGATGCGGATCGTGTTGGTCAACACGTACTGTCTGCTTGTATCTATATCCGCCATACGGACGTTGCTAGAAGCATGTCGTCGACCCAGACCTGCCACAGTACCACCTCTCAACGACGAAAAACCTTCGCCCAGCCCCGACAAGCCCCGAATGACCGTGCATGTTATGGCGACCGTCCCTCGCATCCACTTGTATGTGTGGCTCCCGCATGATCGTCAGATCTTTCTTTACATCAAGGCCTTGCATGTACGCAAGCGCCAGGGCATTCGTGTGGCGTTGGACTCATTGCATGCTTGCCTTCCACAAGAAAAGCACAGGTCCGAGGCCTGGGACGATGCCGTGGTGTTCCGCCGCTTTGCCGTCTCTTTGGGCGAACAGACCGATTCCCCCAAGACGATCTTCGTCACGGGTGATAGTCTGCATGCGCGGATCCCCTACTTGTACTACTCGCATCTTCTTATCGAGGGCTCCGTGGTGGCCTTCAAAGCGACCAAGCAGCTCGTATACCAGTTCATCCTCGGCTACAACCAGAGCGCCATATATCCCCACAACGAGGCACCAAAGCGACTGCCACATATCTCCTTGCGCATTGGCATTGCCGTGATCGAGGCGGCCGACGAGGCCCTCGACTCGAAACTCAACCTCATTTTCCGCGCTGGAGGTGACGAGCAGCTGATGCGCATGGAACGCCTGCGTCTCTTTGAGCAGCGTTTGGCTCAGACAGACCCGGAGGCCGTGCCAGACAACACGCGCGAGCGTTTGGATGCCTTGAATTCGTCCAATTGGATTCGGCGTATCCACAATGCCCGCAATGTTCGTGCAGCGCGTGAGCGTGCGTTCCTGTCGTACATTCATCACCGCGTCGTTGACTTGGACGAAGTTACACATGAACACATCCCCATCGAGGTCCGCTCACGACCATCGGATCCGCCACTCGCGCGGCTGACGATGACCAAGTTGTCGTTGGATATCTCGCAGCCCACCGGCTACCAACTGGAAGATACACATACGTGGCTGCATACGCAGGCAGGCAATCCGGTGGACTTGGAGTATACAACCCTTGTTCCGTTGCATGTACGATGGCGTCTCTCGGAAGCGATCATCCGTTTGCGTGACTACCCACTGCCGCTCCTGCACATTCCGCCTCGCACCGATATGGAGCCATGCTTCGATGCCGAGGGCGATATCTGTGTGGCCGAGCAGCTGGGTGACGAGTACAGTGTTCGTCATGTCCGTGCTACCATTGTCCCTGCCATCGACGCCACAGGTAGTGTCGAGCATGGTCTCATGGTCCCGAAGAGCTGCATGACACCCAAGGTATACGGTCCTGTGACTGTGCATGTATCCTCGTCGCGGCCCACCATCTTTTCGTGGGGCCAGTCCATGCAACCGACGATCCAGGACCTGAAAGCTGTGATTGATGCGATTACCAGTCCCCCTCGCGATCCGTCGCCCAAGCCTGGGCCCTGGGATAAGCTGCCATTGCATTTGCAGGGTTCCATGCATATCTTCTTCGACAACGATGTGCATCTGCATTTGAAAGGTGCTCGGGATCCCTACTACTTCCTCCAAGGCGGCGCTGGTTGGGTACTAGCCTGGCGTAAGAACGTGGAAGTGCGATTGGGCGTCGCCAATCCCGATCACGAATTCCTCCAGGTCCGCAGCGGCGAGCATCTGCTGGCGATTCCCCAGTTGAAACACATGCAGGATATGGCCTTGACTGGTCTCTACGATGTTGAGCGTGGCGTGCGGACGACTGCCCGTGCTGTATTAGAACGTCTTGATACGCCTGTCCCTGCCACATTTGCCAAAATCAGCTGGCAGCTAAGTGGCGGTGTACGGTGGGGCATGGGCCTCGCTTCGGAGCATACATGTACGGAAAAGACCTGTGAACGCACGCCGAAGTGTGAAGGCACACCGTTCTACCGCAAGTGCCGCTTCTTTGGACGCAAGCCACACTGGCAAGTCCTTTTGCGCTCCCGCGAAGGGTACGACCGCCTGCCTGAGTCGCAGCGTGGCGACTCGTACTATGGCTGGCGCTCCGACTTTGTGCATTTGTCAGTGTCTTTGCAGGCTATTGGCGATGGTGACCTGTACAACAGCGCGATGCAGCTCTCGCGTAATAGTGTGTACATTACGCCCAAGTCGTGGGACCATTTCATGGAATGGTGTCGACTCTTTAATGGCCGTTTGAGTCTTCCGATCCGTCAGGGCAACGTTTTCCCGAAAGCGCCAGGTGTCAAGTCGCCGAAGTTTGGCTTGCACCTCGGGACGATCAAGTACCGTTTCAACATTGCGCCATTGCAGCTTTCGCACGTATACCGGCAGCGTTTGCGGTACGACTATAAAGAGGCACTGCGTTCGTACGTCGGTGTCAAGGCCAAGGCCGGCATGTTCTACCTTGACTTGCACCAGCGCATGCAGGAAACCGTGCATCAGCCACCTGTCGAAGGTGCCAAGCCTACGCGCAGCCTACGTAAGCCTCTGTACGAAGCCGAGGCGGATATTAGCGACTTGGAACTGTGGTGTCTGTGTGCTCGTTTCCGCGAGACGTATGATTCCGTGAGCTCCCTGCCTGCGACGCCCGATATGCAGTTTGATCCCCTTGCCTCGGTCTTCTCCAAGAGCGAGCAACAGGATACGGAGCATCCTGTGTACGACCGCTTGGATTATTACGAACTGGGGGATTTGCCTGTGGAAGAAAAGGCCCCGAAGCTGCATATTCAGAAAGCTCTTACGCTTGCGCGATTCAATTTCCATCGTCTTGTGGAGTGGCAAGCGCACGTCGTACGTCGGTCTAGCAAAGCGAGCACCGAATCAGTGGATCCGGTATGGATGCCACGCTCAGACAGTCCTGAAACGACAAGCTCGTCGCATGATGCCCCATCTGAACCCACGCGGCAGTCTTCTACCTCCCGCCCGCCCTTCCGCAAGATGACGATGGCTGCGCCGCCGCTGACGGTGTACTCCAAGTTCGGGCATGAAGGCACACATACGTGCCTCATTGGCCGTTCTCGTCAAGTGATGGATGACCATTTGGATTTGGAGCATCAACGACTGCGCCACCTGGACGGGGATATACTAGTGCTCCAAAAGATGTTGGAGCAAAACACCATGCCAGGCGATTCGCTGTACCATGAGCAGCAAGAAAGGCTGCATCGCTTGCAGATGGCTGGGCGTGATATCAAAGCGCATATTGATCGCATCATGGAGCACCGGACGGAAAAAGATGCGATCCAGGGTGAGGTGCCGCAGTACGAAGTAGATCGCGCACGCCATGCCAATGCAACAGGACAGAGCTTGGACGAAGATGCATCACAGAAGAATCCCTCAGCACTACGCAAGGAGTGGGAGTCGTTTAACAACCAAATTCTGGCCTACCGTCCTGTGGTCATGCTGAACAACTTGACTCGCGATATCCTCATGCGATACTATGACAGTTCTCTGTACCATCGTGGACTCAGTCAGCGCTTGAGTGTTTCGGAGCAGTACCAGGTGTACGAGCTGCTGGAACGGGCACGTCTGCACTTGCAGCGCTCGATGGATGCGGATAACAAGGCGGATCCTTCGACGTTGCTTGAAGATATGATTGCGGATACTACGCGACTTTCCTCGAAAGGCATGGAACATACCTTCCTTTCTGACTATGGGGCAGAGCACAGCGAATCGTACGAACCTGGTCATGGTATTTCCGACATGTTTAGCCTACGCAAAAAAACCATTTGTGTATGTGTTCAGCCTGAGCTGATTTTACATTCGCACGTTGGCGAGAACTCGACGTTGGTTTTCCATGCGAGGCAACTGCGTGTACGCAACTATGCGGTTAGCGACTCGATGTACGACGAACGCTCAATCAATCACAACGTCATGCACCGCAACTTTATCGCGATGCAGTCGTTGCAGTGCTATCATTCCGTGGACGCCATCGAAGAGGATGAGACCCAATCGACCTTGGAATCGTTGCGTCTCCCTGCTGAGGTGCTCAACGGTCTTCACCAGCCTCGATTCCAGCGCTTGATCCGTGAGACGCATGCGTTTGTCCTGTATGACAAGCACAATCGCCTGCGTCTGCAAGATCCATCACGCCCTGTGATCGATACAGGCCACCTGGATGACACAGAGGTCAACTATCTAAGCCACAATATGGATCTCGTGCAAATATTGTGCCCCCGCTTTACGTTGACGGCCAACAGCGAGCAATTCGCGGCCATCTACAATGTGGTGACCGACCTGGTCCTGTACACAGATCCTCTGCAAAAGGAGCTGGAGCGACGTCGTGACTCGCTTTTGTACAGCTACCAATTTAACGACCCCGACTTTGTCGTAAGTCTGATTGCGGCGCATCAGGTGCGCATTCACGATCTTTCCAATCAACTTCGGGCGTACGAGGCGCAGTTCGATGCACTGAACAACACAGGGATTAATGAGTATGTGCTGTGCAACGTACAGCTAATCGATTTGTACGTCAACATGTGCATGCTTGAAGAAGCCGTGTTTATCTCGCATTCATCGTCACGCGATAAGAGCAAACATTCAGCGCTGCTATTGCGGGCATGTGCAGAGTCGATTGAATGGAACATGATTGCGGACGATGGTCCTACCGATGCGGATGTGAAAGACATCCACGGCTTGTTTGCGCGTCTGCATATGCAAGGGACAGCGTACTCCCGCATGGCGCTGGCCTCGGGCATGTCGATCAACTGTGTCAATTTGCAAAACATGGAGGCACACAATGCGCACCCGTCGGCCTACTTTGAGGAGATTTTGACCAAGTATCAGCCCCGACAGACGAACAGCCAGCTGAACGATCAAAAGCAGTTCTTGCTGGCACACTGGCTTATGCCTGTGCCTGCTGGTGGCGTGGGCTTGATCGATAAGTGCGAGCTTCATATGCACCCTGTGAAAGTGCAGTTGGAGTTGCGTGTCGGCCGCCAGCTGTGGTCGTATCTCTTCAGCTCTCGCAATGCCAAGCAGGCTCAGGCTCGTGAAGAGCAGGAGGAAGAGAATGTCGACGAGCACAAGAAACGCAAATGGTTCAAGCAAATCGTCTCGATGTCACGCAAGGCCCGTCACACGGTGGCCTCCCCTGTGTCGCTGAGCGACTCGGACTCGGACTCGGACTCGGACTCGGGGAGCGAAGCGAATATCCTGTTGCCAGCGTCGCCGGTCATTCATCACTCGAATGAGTCGATCATGACGCAGCGCAGTGCTATGCAGGGAGGCAGCGAGCATTTGCACACAGATGCCGTCGACTTGGAGGCGTTCCGTGATGAAATGCTACGTCGCGCTGGTCACTACATGTCGTTTGTGCATGTGATGGTTGCAGCTATGGCCGTATGTCTTTCGTACAAGGGCGATGGTGATCACTCGCTGACGAATCTGTACGATTTAGAGTTCCTTATTCCGAAGCTCGAGTACAACAATATTCTCGGCACGTACGGCGACTTAACCGACTTGATTCGAAAGGATATGATCAAGATTGCGTGGGATCATCGAAGCACGCTTCTGAAGGGCGTCATCTCTACACACACACGAAAGCATGCAGCGCTCAAAAAGTCGCGCGCGGATCGCATGCAACGGTTCAATGTCTCCTCTCGCGAAGAATGGCAACGGCAAATGCTGCAAGATCCACGACGTATGTCGAATGATGCAGCGATCCTCATGCCACCGCCTGCACCCCCGCCACGCCCGCCCTCGCCCGACCGCATGTCCATGGCGTCGTCCACCTCCATGTCGAAACAGGAGCGACTCTCGATGTGGCGTCACGCGCTTGCGTCGCGCATCCAAGATGTCGCCGACGATACTGCATCGGTTCTTCACATGGGCAGCCAAAGTCCCAAGCCCACGGACAGCGAGGCCTCGTCCGTGAACTCCGCGACGCTGCCTTCCTCGTCGTCCACGTCCTCGCATCATCCTCATAGCGGTCGCTTACGTCGCTTTTTGCATTTGCCCAAAAAGGATCACTAGAATACATTATAGGCTATACCAACAACATCATCATGCTCGACGCAAAGCAAAATCCCCTGATGCATCTGCATCGTCCGAGTCGGTGGATTCGCCGTCCTCGTTGTCATTGTCGTCATCGCCGTCCTCGTGAGCGGCTGGCGGCTCGACATGTACATGAGCGCCGCCATGCGCAAACGCTGTTTCGCCCGCATGCATCACAGGCGTGAGCGGCGTCTGCATATTGCGTGCCTGAGCGAAGAAAATACGGGCCTCGCGATGCGATACATTGCGGATTTGGTACGTATTGCCTTTCGGGACCAAGAACATGCCGCCTGGCGCAATCACAAAGCGGGTACGATGCACCATCACTTGGACGGCACCTTGCAGCACGACAAACGTGTAATTGTTGTCCTTGCTTGGCTTGGTCGGCTTCTCACCGCCCCGAGGAATAACAAGCACACCCGCCGCCATAAAGTCGCCCACACCAAAGATCTTTTCATAGGAGAACTTTTGGTTGAACGCAGGCCGCGGTCGAATACCATCAGACGTACATGCAATGCGCATCGTTACTTCCATATTTTGATCCACATCCATCACACGGCCATACGGATCAGTATCCGCATCCCAGCCCGTCTCAGGCGGAATGTACATCGACCGGTCAACGTCACTGGCTGTATCATCCATGTTCTCGTCTTCGTCACTTTCAGCGACCGGCGACAAGCGCATCCCCTCAGGCCGTTCACGGCCCATCTGCTGCATGTAGGCACTGGGCTTCGCACGGAACCGCCGCATCCCTGAAAATGTCCCTTCGCCAGGCGCGCGAGGGACACGAATCACTTGCTTCAGCACAGGCGCAACTAGCCCACTTGCCGCCACCTCGTCGTCCTCACGCTCGTCCGGCCGGCCATACAGGGCCCGCTCACCACGCCACCATTGCAGCGGCGCAATACGATGCCGCTTGCCACGTCGAAGTCCTGTCGGGTTGTCTAACTGCCAGCTCGGTGGATCGTAGATGTTCTCGACAATCTTCTGCGCCGGCTTTTGACGACCCGGCGGGCGGCCAGGACGGCCCCGCGGCGGCGGCATCGACGCGTCCTTGCGTGGCCGGCCACGCCCACGCTTCTTCGGTGGCTCCTGGCTCTCTTCAGGCGGCCACGCGGGCTCATCCGGGCCTGGTAAAGGATCCAATGCATCCAACATGGGAAGCGGCGGAGATGCTGGCGCAGCATCCCATGCCCCGCTTGCCGGTGTGGATGCCCGTGACGAGGAGAGCGAGGCGGTGCGTGGTGGCAAAATCGACGCTTCCGGCCGTAAGAACGACGGCATATCGGTATCGGGAATCCGCGATGTATCCATCGTACTTACCTCACTCACCCGAGGCCATTGTGAAGGGCCAGCGAGCGGTGTGCTCATACTTGGCGCCTGCGGCATCATACGTGCACGCGAATGCGAGAGTCTCGTATCATTGGGACTGGGACGCTGTGACGTGGATGCCCAGACCTCTTCCACGGGCGCAGCGCTTTGCACGGTCATGGCACTAACATCGCCGGCCATAGCGCTCAGTTGGAAGGTGCGCTCTGCACGCGAGATATCCACAGTCGAATTCCATAGAGATTCTTCCGCGCGTGGCAGCAGGGATGGTCGCGCCGCCGCCGCCACGACGCGCGGCGTCGTACGTACGCTACCCACCGCGCTGCGAGCTGCCCACTCGGAAATGCGCGACGCACGACGGTCCCACGTAGTAACGTCTTCCTCTGCCGTAGCTGGCGGCTTTACTTCGTCCCGCGGCTCTGACTCGGACCGTGTGGCGCTGGCTGCTGACTCGGACCGCTCGTCGTCGGAGCGTTCCATCCATTCCAGTACCCGCTTGGATTCTGCAAAGAACGCATCCAAGTCCTCATGTCCTTGCTCATCGAGACGGATCGATCCGATCCGAAGACCTGTGCGTGAACCCAGGCCCTCTTCATGAAACCGCCGCGCCGGCGCGACGCTCATGATCGTGAGGAAAGGCGTCTACCTCCGCGACACCTTGGACTCCAACACAACGCGTGTTGTTCAGATCACGTGACTATGATCTGCGCGTACGATCGTGCCTGTTCGCCCCACGCCCTTGCGGCCTCGCTCGCGACTCGCGTGCAGCGTCGTGCAGATGTGGGCGGCAGCACGTAGTGGACAACGTGGCCTGGCTACCGTAGCCATACCAAGGCGTGGTGATAAGGGTAGGTACTGTGCTACGGCTCATGGCAGTCACTGTGGCCATGTCAGGTGGCGTGGATTCCTCTGTCGTAGCAGCGTTGCTGGCTCGCGAGGTACGTTGAGCGCCTCCTTACCTTTAGGACTACGACCTACGGGCCGTATACATGCGCAACTGGTCCACTCTAGACGAACGTGGCTCCATGCAGGCGGGCAGTGGCGGGGCCATGGGATGCGATTGGCAGCGTGAATGGCGCGATGTCCAAGCTGTGTGCCGTCACCTGGGACGCATCCCTGTCGATATGATCGATCTATCCCAAGCGTACTGGCTGCAAGTCTTTGAGCCTGCGCTGGAGCAGTGGACCGAAGGTACAACGCCCAACCCTGACGTGGAATGCAATCGGTACGTCACCTCGTCACTGACCGCCAGTTCGATCAAATTCGGCGCGCTCATGGACCGTATCCTCGGCCCCTCTCTCGACGGTTGGCTAGCTACTGGGCACTATGCTCAACGTACTATGTATGAAGGACGTACTCTCCTGCAACGTGGACGCGATCCGACTAAGGATCAGTCGTTCTTCTTATCATCTGTGCCTCCTTCGCGCCTGACCCATGTATGTACGCTAGCTCTCTCACTCTAGGCACTCTTTCCTCTTGGCAGCATGCACAAAACCGACGTACGGGCTCTTGCACGTACTCTTCAGCTGCCTACAGCCGACAAAGACGAAAGTATGGGTCTTTGCTTTGTCGGCGAGCGTGGGAGTGGCGCGCATGCCTTTGCGCGCTTCCTCGATCACTACGTAATCAGTGAACCTGGGGATCTCGTGACTCCAGAAGGCCACGTACTAGGGCAACATCGTGGCTTACATACTCTGACCATTGGCCAGCGAGCACGTATACCGAGCCTGTTGGAGCGGTACTATGTTGCGAAAAAGGACCCGGCCACGCGCCGCATTACAGTGGTCCCTGGGAAAACGCATCCTATGCTTCAATGCGTGGCGCTAGATACTGATACCTTTGCATGGCATACACCTATACCACTGCTAGATACCCCGCTCCTAGCCCAAGTCCGCTACCGCCAAAACGCTCAGCCATGTATTGTCCAGTCGCGTGGGTCATCCGGTGTTCGTATTGCTTTTGAACCGAGCATGCAAGCTGTCTCACCAGGTCAGACCGTCGTTGTGTACGATGGCCAAGTATGCGTAGGTAGCGGCACGATTGATCGTGTCTATACAGAAGCGTAGATCTATTATACAGCATCAGGACGAAGATGGTGCAAGGACCGCGCGAAGAGCGAAGCAAAGTGGGTATCCCAAAACGCCAAGTGGGTCTTATCAGTAGCCTTTGCACGCTTCATCGGCGGAGCTTCTTCTTCAGCTGCTTCGTCCTCCTCTTCATCCGAAGCGTCAGGATCGAGTTTGTGCTTGAAGAGTTGAGCATAGTGCCGATCCGTACTTGTCTCCATTACCGTCTCTTCTTCCTCGTCTTCCTCTTTCTCCTCACGAGGCATAGTCAAGGCAGGCTCTGCTAACGGCCTCTCTGTCGACATCTCATTGGGAGGTACATTTTCCGGCTCATCCATCGCACGTAGCGACTCGGTCCATGCATCCTCCATCACCGGCGGTCTAGGCACACCTAGCTGATCACGCATCCAACCAAAAAGCTGCTCCTTGGCATCAAGCATTTCGTCTCGCAGTCGAATCGAGTCAGTGACACTATACTTCGGGACAGATGCTGGCGGATCAGCCTCCGCCTCGCTAACAGGTGACCCCAGAGATGTAGCAGAGGCCAGCACTTCTGGCACACGAGAAGCTTCGGTGGGTGTAGGGAAAGTGGCTTTGGACTCATCCTGAATCTCACGGAGAGATACATGGCGTTGGTGAAATCGAGCAGCCCACAGCTTGTCCAAGACATCCATCCAGTAGAGGACATACATAAGCTCCATGTCAGCCTCCTTGGCCGAGGCACTAGTGATGTCAAAGCCTCGTACACCTTCTGTCATTTCACTCAATACACGGAAAAGATAGGTATCGCGCACAGGCACACTTTCCTGATGCAAGGGTGTAGCAGCGATCACTTCGACGCACGGCTTCCACAGATCCAAGTATGCACGTAATGTGCGCACAGACGCCTGTGGTTCATGTCTATGGAATAAGCATCGCGGCTTGATACGTACCGTTTCTGGTAGGCACGAACGATAGAGAGGAGATTATCGTCAAGATAATTGACCAGGCGAGAAATCTGTCGTGTTGACAACGGCCGCTCAGGCGACGGCGCCGACGGCGAAGGCGGCGCCATAACGAAAGCCACGAGAGGCTCTCGTCCACCTCCACGGCGGCACGGCCCTCAAGGGCCGCACGCGTATCGGCCGAAAATCTGTGGCCCCTCAGGGACGCGAAAGTCATGGCGCCTTTAGCGCCATGACTTTCGCTGCGCATCGCACTCGGCACAGCCGCACCACTCCGCGGGCCGACGCGCCGCCGTCCAAAGCCAAGTCAGACTTATATAGCAAACGTAACGGAGAGATTATTCGCAGTCTATGGCCGTACCAGACACCATAGCCACGCATGACAGCAGGTATGAAGCGTATGTAGTGCCTACGCTAGACGCCCGTACACACAATGACTAGCCGGATCTTACAAGGAGAAACAGGTAGCTTAATAGCAAATGCGCGTAATACCCGACATGAAGCATGTAGCGCTCGAGTGTCCTAGCCATCACACAGGGATGAGAAAAAGCTCTAGAGAATCGCGCATTTCGACTGTTGTTGGTTAATTTCTCACCTTGACACAACATACCTTTTTCCGAACAACGGGCGGCTCAAGCGCAGCCACAATAGCCTGAGAGCGTGAGCAATGCCACGTACATACCTCGTCAAATACATTCTTCAGACCCTTCTGGGTCAGGGCCGAGCACTCGACGTATTTCACAGCGCCGAGCTCACGCGCGAGACGCTCACCCATCTCGACGGTGATAGGACGCTGTTTCTGGCGCGCCAGTTTTTCGACCACGGCTGGATCATCACGCAAGTCGACCTGCGTACCCACGATCAGTGCCGGGACGCCCGGGCAGTGGTGGTGCACCTCCGGGAACCACTTCTCTCTAACGTTTTCGTACGAGGCTGGCGACGTAACAGAGAAACACACAAGGAACACATCCGTCTGCGGGTACGACAAAGGACGAAGACGGTCGTAGTCTTCCTGGCCAGCAGTATCGAAAAGACCCAGCGTGTAGGGATCCTCACCGATCATCACAGTCACTGCATAGTTGTCGAACACCTGCCCATGTTAGCCCGCATGCCCTGCTAAATAGGCGCACGTACCGTCGGTACATATTCTGAAGGGAATTTGTTCGTTGTGTATGAGATCAGCAAGCACGTCTATCCTGTGTTAGTCGATTGTGATCCCGAGTAGGTTTACATACCTTGCCGACAGCACCGTCACCCACGACTACACACTTGATCGTCTGCATCTTGTTGGTAGGCACAAATGCAAGTCGCTACTCTTTGTTGTACAGTCGACGCCTGATCGTTCTTGAAGGTACGCGAACTAGCTCTCCGCAACGAAGCTTGCGTGCCACGAACGACTCGAGACGAAAGAGTCGAACCTGAACAGACTGCGGCAGGTGGATTGCAGGGGGTAGCTATGTCGATGGAGGTGCGCCGCCTCGGCTTTGGCCCGCGGATGCCACGTGGAAGAAGGCAGGCCTGTTTGCGACGTGCATACCACCCAAAAAGAACGTCATCGTAGTAGTACAAAGGGGCAAGCCTGTAGACGTGATGAGCATCTAGCCAGCCCATGCCCGACCTATCTATTCATCATCAACTACATAAGGGAGTCCAATGTTCGCGAACGCGCTCGAAATGGGTTTGTACTCTCCCCACGCAACCTCGATACGCTCGGCGAAGCGACCATAGATGACGTAGCGTCAGACCCTTGAGATATAGGACTAGGACCAACAAAGAGACCCTCCAAGTCGCGCATCGTCGGCGTCATACGTACCGACTCGTTCGGCGTTGCTGAAGTCATGGGCGGTGGGGGCGTTGGTATCGTGGGCGTTAACGGCACAGTAGGCGAGTACGTCGACGGTGGCAACACTTTGCCTTGTCCGATGGTCGGCAAGGCACTTGGCGTCCATGGTAAGGTGTTAGATCTAGGTACACGGTCCATATCAAGCGACATGCGTTGCGGCATAGGCGAAGCATGCGCCGGCGATAGCATGGAAGTGTATGCCATTTCAAAGGGCGACGAGGTCCTCGACGCGGCATGCGACGTTGTCACAGGCGTAGTAGGTCCACCACTAGACCGTAGCGCCGCGGGCGAGTCACTTCGTTGGTATGTGGACGATGCTGGCGATGTTTTTGTCGTGGCAGCTGGTAACTCCAATTCCAGCTCAGCGCCGGATCCTTTGCGACGCATATACACGCTGGACGACGTTGGCGTCGTCCGTGACGAAGCAGGTAGTGCTGCTGTCGTGGAAAGCGCAGATGACGGAACCCACGCTGGCGAGAGACCTGACTGAGCAGTCATGCTGGTTGTACTCTTCGACGGCCCAATGGACGTCGAAGCGCCGAGCCCCGATGAGGACACACTACCCTGCGTCGAGGCAGTCTCTGTCATCTCTTCGCTCTCTGATGGAGGCGGCAAAGGTGATACGGATCCTGACATCGTAGCCCCGTTCGCAGACGACGGCAGACTGGTTTGCGACGCTGCAAGCGGATTGGCTGACGTCGGTGTAGAAAGCGTAGCGCGCGTCGTCTGCGTTGGCATGGAGTCAGCACGTTTCTTATCGCGAGCAAGTGAGGCAACATCAATACTGGTCCGTGGCTCTGGAGTCTGGGACGAAGACGATGGCAAGGATATGTCCATCGACGCACGCTGTGTGGTTCTGTTCAGCTGCGCGAGACGAAGCGGCGAGGTGCTAATAGATTGGGCGCTCTGAGCAATCTTCTTTGGCAGGAACGACAAACGACGACTCGATGATTTAGAGGTCGTAGCCTCGCTCATACTGTGTGATCGTTGCCGTTGCTCGTGGCCTTGGCCTTGTTGCTCCTGTTGTTGTTGCTGCTGCTGCTCGTACTCCATCCGGCTAATCCGCATCGTCTCACGCACCATCATCTCTTCCAGTTCCCGTGGCGTAAAGGATGACAGCGTACGTGCCAACTCGTCGCCAATTTCAGGGTTGCGGCGGTCCATAGCACGCCGGAATTGCACACGTTCGGACTCGTTATTCAATCGCTGTTGAATCTGCTGTTCCAGCACGTCGCCATGCAGAATGATACTGCCACCTGGCCCGCTGTGGCCGACTTCAGAATGTTGATCGACAAACTGCGCCAAGGCATCGCCAGTCAGGGACGACGAGACGCCAATCGGTACTAGTCTTTCTCCATCTTGCCGCATAATGACGCGACGATTCGCCTGGCGTGCCGACGTAGCGAGGGCACGTTCCAGCTTCTCTTTCCAGTTCGGATGAATTTGGTCGACAAGCACGACAGCAGGATCGTCAGGTTCGTACGACACGCGCTGTGAGGACTGTGCACCGCCACGGCCAATAGCCGTCGCAGCAGCTTCGATGGCATCCTTTGCATCGCCCTGGCTTGTCGAGGCACTATTATAAACCACGCCAAAGTTGGGCGTCATGCAGAAAGGACAGGCCGCCGGCTCGGACGCCGGCGGCTTGCTTTTCGCCGGATCGACACGCTGGATCTGGACAAAGCACTCAGTACAGATCGGCTGTAGACAGCATCGGGCTTGGTTAAGGTGGGAAGGAAAGTACTTGCTATCAGTTATGTGAATACGTACCATAAAACAAATGGGGCACTCATGCCCGATTGTGTCCTGCTCCATCTCGTCCTCTTCTTCTACGCCACGGAAGAACGGAGAGAGTTTGCGCTCGACAATGAGCTTTCGTACAAGGTCGTCTTCATACTCGGCCTTTTTCCGGTAGATGCCTTGTGGTACAACGTACCCCTGGTCCACACGCGTCTGCGACGAGATGGCATGAGCCTTTTTCGACGTGGTGCTACCGCCCGACCGAGCAGCCGAGGCAGACGTACTTTTGCGTGACGAAGCTAGCGGATCGCGCTGCAGTCCAGCCAAGGCCGTAGTCCGGCGATGGTTCGTGCCGGTAGTGCGCTCCGCTAAGCCTGGCCCATCTTCCTCACGTCCGAGTTGCTGGCCCATCGAGTCACGAGGAAAAAGAACAAGCGTAGTTCACCGCCCGATCGACACAGAAACGCGGGGAAATGAATGTGGAGCTCGGACTAACTCCGAAACTGCACCTGGTACGACACGCGCTGCTCAGCTGTCGGACTCCCATCGCGTGAAATTAATCTTCTGGAATACGCGTAGCACTGATCTGCGAACGTGCCATCGCTACGATGAACGAAGTACAACAGGCTTGGGATGCGTGGCAGGCAGCAACGCCGCCCGCGACAAAAGAGGTACAGAATTATACCAATGCCTGCCTGGATTGGCAATCCACGCTGGGCCTGTCCAAGGCAGAGGTGCAGCAGACAGACGTCACAGCGATCTGGACCTTTGCAACGCCAGCGCTACGTGCCTGGCGCGAAGCGGAATCCACATTGGATCCTAAGACGCAACGCACAGAACGGTACCATGCTGCTGAGATGGTTCGGAGCACGATGGGCATCGTACGCAATCTTGCTATATCTGAAGCGCATACCACGGAAGCCTTGTACGTCATATAGTACTCACACCAGACGCCACTGGGACGATATCCAGGCGACTTTGCATATGTGCCTGACGTTTGAGCGCATGTCCGACCCCATTTTGATCCCTGCCATTCGTGTTATGGCGCAGTGCCTTACGAACTGGATCACAGGTCACGATGAGGCAAAAACAATGCTTTGGACAGCCTGCGTCGTACCTCCTGCCTCGACGTCCTCACTACAGGTGATTCAGTACGTATATTGGTAACTTACCGCAGCCGCTTGCTCTCGAGCTCGGACGAACGTACCTCGTTGGCAGCCCTTGTGTTCCTCCTAAATGCCCTGATTGGCCACCATGAGCGCTTCCGCGACTTGTTCGATACAGAAGCAGGTGGTCAGATTATGGACGTGGTGATTCATATGTACAGCCCATCGCGAATGGACGACTACAGTGATGTCATCGATATCATTCTCGCGATCGCGGACGGATTCTTTGAGGCGGGTCTCGCCGGCGCTTTGTACGCCAAGATGGGACCCTTGGACGATGTGACGACCTCTCAAATTACCTGGATACATATACTAGCGTCATGTCAGCACGAACTTGTCCATAAGGACGTGGCGCGGCCCTGGAAAACCACCGCGGAGCCCTTGGTGGAGAGTATGCTGTTGCTCACAGAGCAGGCCATAGCCGAGATGAACAAGGCAGTGACCAAGTCGGGCGAAGTGAATCAGTCGATCCTCGTTCGCTCGTACTTGGGCCTGCTGGGCCTGCTGGACTGCTTGCATGCGTCGGGCATGCGTGGCCAAGAAGCGGTAGGGACCAAGACACAGACAGATACAGAGGCCGTGGCTCTCCTGGCTCATATGCGCACAGCAGGCGTCGTGCCTGCATGTGTACGTTTGCTCCACGAGACCAACTTGTACAAGCCGCCCGTCTCACCGTTCCAGCCGGCCCTGGCAGGCCTTCAGCCGCCGGAAGGGCATGTCCTTTCAAGCTTGCACACGACACAGAGCGAACACGAAATTTACGCGGATTCTTCGATGCCGCACTTGAAACGTGCCACGTTGCAACTGCTCGGCACACTCGTCTTTCATCCAGAACGAACATCGACACTCCCACCGCACATCAAGGCCGTGCAAGATGAAGTGCGTGAGTTGGGCGGCTTGTACGACGTACTCTCGCTCACAGCGCTGGACGAATTGAATCCTTGTACGTACATCCAACGTGCTCACACCCAGATATTCGCGAGCATGCTATCTTTACACTACGTTACTTATTGGAAAAGAACGACGAGTCCCAGGCCCAAGTTCGTCAGCTACGCCCCGTGCCACTTTGAAGGAGACCTGCACCGAATTTGGATGCACGTAAACTCCGGCGGTCTTGCGCTAGGCTCTCCTGTTGGTAAGATAATAGGTAGGGACAAACATACCTCGAACGCATACATCGTTCGCCCACTTGCCAACAAGTCGAGGGTCGCTTGATGGTCCATATCGCGGCGAATCTGACGCCGCTTGTCCAGCAAGACATCCGCGCTATGGTAAGTAAGTCTGGTACGTACGTCACAGATTGAGCACGCTTTTCTACCGGCGTTTTCGCAGCGGCCGCGGCCGTCTCGGCTTGTGCACGCGCTTTCTCACGCTCGGCCTTCTCTTTCTCTTTCGCTTTCGCCTGCTCTTGTTCCTTTTTACGTTCCTGTGCTTCTTTTGCACGAGCCTCGCGCATCTTCATCGCCTCAGCTTCCGCTGCGGCGGCTTTCTGCTCCGGCGTGGTATCCTTTGGACGCGCAGGTTCTGGCGCTGGCGCAGCTGCCATACCGCCAAACAACTGGTCCCAACCGCTCATGGTATTCCCAAAATGCGCTTCTTTCGGGTCAGTAGACTTTGGACGAGACGGTGTCGCCTCATCCACGTCCATCTGTGCTGGCCCTCGTTTTTTCGATGGATCCGAGTCCATCGAGGGCCGAGGTCGTTTGGGACGAGACGCAGCGTCGGACGTGGACGCTGGCGGCGGCGGCGGCAGCGGAGCCTGTGTAGCCCGCTTCTCTTTCACACGCGGCGGCGGCGGCGGCGAATGGCTCTCCTCAGCACTACTCAAGTCCGATCCAGACTCAAACGCGTCGTCCATCGCGAGGCACACTAGCACGCACGGTCAGCCGCCTGGACGCGGCCCCCAGCCAGTCAGGTAAAGCACGTGACTCGAACGACGACCACGGCGGCGTACCTTCTCTCGGCTCGTCGTCGCAGAGCGATTCTTGTGCTATGGTGCGTACGCGAGGGTGACTCACATCCAGTCTCTTCCGAGGATTCTCGCTCAGATTGCCTTCACAGGAACTCGTATTCTAGGCCGCGCGTTTATGGAGGCGGGCCGTCAGGCTGCGCGCAGTACGTATATCACGTTGTCCTCACTAACCGCCACAGATGTGCGAGCTGGCCAAGTTGAGGCGGCCGGCGCAGCTGGCGGCCGCGCAGGAGCGGCCGCTTCGCCCTCTGATGCGCTTACGCGCACGCATCGTATGACGATGGACGAGGCGAAGATGATCCTCAACCTCAAAGAAGATGTATCGCTAGAAGCGAACAAGAACGGTATCAGCGATGCTGTGAAGAAAGAAATGATCGAGCACTATGAGCGTCTATTCGAAATCAACGCTCCGCCCGCCCCTAAGGGCAAGACGGGCGGCGGTAGTGGCTCGTTCTACATCCAGTCCAAGATCGTTCGGGCGCGTGAGCGCATCGAGGCGGAGTGGAAGCTACTGACCGAAGCGGCTGCCGAGCATCAAGCCTCGTCGTAAGCCGCATCGTGGATGGCCACACTACGACCTGACGGGTCACTGTAGACGTTAGTACTTTTTCTTTCCCTGTTGCATACATACCTAGCACAACCCCAATCGCCACGTGGGACCCATCGCACAGCCGTCTTGGCCGCCGCGTCCGACGGGAACCACGCCTCGAAGAGCTCGCGGATCATGTACGCCTCCTTCGTCTCAGGCGTGTCAAGCGGGTAGCGACTCTCGCGCTCCGCAAACTTTTCGTCGCTGACGATCTTTTCAGCGTGCTCCTTCATACCGTCGATCCACGAGTAGCCGACACCGTCACTGAACTGCTCCTTTTGACGCCAGAGAATGCTCTCCGGCAGGTACGGACGCGAGCCCTCGACCTTCTTGCCAGCCTCAATGTCGTCAGGGTTCACATCGAACGCCTTGCGCAAGATGTACTTCTCCATGTACGGGCGGCCATCCGCATCCTTCTGCTGCAGACTGCCCTTGGAGAACTGCTTTTGCGCAGGGTCAATGTTCATACACACATCCAGGAACTTCTTGTCCAGGAACGGCACACGCGCTTCCAGACCCCACGCCATCGTACTCTTGTTCGCACGCAGGCAGTCGGCCGTGTGCAGGTTCTTCACACGCTTCACCGACTCCTGGTGGAACGCCTCCTTGTCCGGCGCCGCGTGGAAGTACAGGTAACCACCAAACACTTCATCTGAGCCCTCACCAGAGAGCACCATCTTGACACCCGTCGCCTTGATCTTGCGCGAGAGCAAGTACATGGGCGTCGAGGCACGCACGGTCGTCACGTCGTACGTCTCCAGGTGGTACACCACGTCAGAGAGCGCATCCAGACCCTCCTGCACAGTAAAGGTATACTCGTGGTGCACCGTACCCAGGAACTCGGCCGCCTGTCGCGCCGCGAGCAGGTCTGGCGAGCCCGGCAAACCAATCGAGAACGAGTGCAGACGCGGCCACGCCACCAGCGGCTGCTCCTCCGCGTTCTGCGACACATCCTCCGCAGCATCCGTGCGGCGCACCTTCGCACGTGGGTGGTGCGTCGCGACTTGCTGCACCATCGCTTGCTTTTCCGTCTCACGCGCTGCAATCGACGCAATCAGCGACGAGTCCAGACCACCACTGAGCAGTACACCATACGCGACCTCACTCATGAGACGCTTACGCACCGCCTTCTCCAATGTCGTGCGGATCAGCGAGAGATCCGCCGGCGACGTCGGAAGACGGCCAGTTTGGTCCGAGTCCCACCACGATGGGTTGTAGTAGCGCACCATCTCTTGGCCAGTATCACGCGCACTGTCGTAGTAGTGGCCCGGTGGGAACGAGTGTAGACGCTCACACTCGCCCGAAATAGCCTTCAATTCACTCGAGAAGAAAATCGCACCAGGGAACTCGAACGAGCGGCCATAGTACAGCGTCGTAATACCGATCGGGTCACGCGCCGCCACAACACGGTGCGGCGTCACAGTCGTGTCGAGAAGCACAAACGCAAACATACCGTCAAGCATGTTGACGAACTCCACGCCGTGCTCACGGTAGAGGTACATGATCACCTCACAGTCACTGTCAGTCTGGAAGTGCACCTTGTTCTTCAGCGACGCACGCAGCTGACGGTAGTTGTAGATCTCACCGTTCACAGCCAGGTAGATCTTCTTGTCCTCGCTCACAAGCGGCTGCGCACCCGAGTCAACACCCACAATCGCAAGACGCTCATGGCACAAGACGCTTCCACGAGTCTTCGATTTAGGGTCCTCCTCGCTCACAACCACACAGCCCGACCAGTCAGGACCACGGTGACGAATCACACGCGACATTGTCAGCATCTTCGAACGATACGCTTGCGCGTTGGGGTGATGAATGCATGCTAGAATGCCACACATGTTGCGCAATCGTCACGGCCCGTGAAAGAGCCGTGACTCGAAGCGAAGCGCCTCCATAAAACAGACAACGCCGCCACGTGATTCGAAGCGAGCTTCTGAGGGCTGACGCGCTTCTGCGTAGATGCGCACGTAAGCAATCTCTCCCACGCTGCGGAAGTGCCATTTTTCCAACCAACCTGCTTGGCCGAGAAGCCTGGGCGCGCCGCCAAGCCCCACTGTCCTCGCCGTCGCCGTATATTTTTAGGGCGACTCGCACGGTACAAAGAGAGATTGGACACGCCATGTCGTCCTTACGTCATGTCTCGGCCCTGTTTGCGAACGAGATCCTTGTCACTGCTTCATCTTCGACGACACAGCGAGGCGCCGTCTATGTTCTGGACCCCGCTGCGTCCACACAGACGCCCCTCTTGCATTGGAAAGGCACGTCGCAAGCAGCACCGCATTGCGTCTCGTGCGTTGCCTCAGCGACGCATGCCGTTCATGGCGCAGGCACAAGTGGCCTAGTTGCTGTGATGGAATCCGATAAGGCCGTCCTGCATCTGTATAGCTGGCAGCGTGATCAGGCCCTGGCTCGGCTGGTGCTGCCGCAAAAAATGAGCTGCTTGGCCCTCTCACCGCAAGCAACATACCTCGCAGCTGGTGGCCATGATGGACGTCTGTATGTATGGGAGGTGGCAACAGGTGCTTTGCTGTGCTCTATGGAAGCCCATTACCGTGCCATTTCGGTCCTTCGCTGGACGGAAGATACAGGAGCGCTGATCACTGCAAGTCAGGATGCACGCATATGCGTATGGAGTCTGCCTACATTGATGCAGTACACTGACCTAGCTGGTCGCGCGGCTCCTTCGCCTTACGTGACGTTCTCCGATCACTCCTTGGGCATTACCGATATGCACGTTACCTCCGGCGCCTTCCCCGGCGCCGCTCGGTTATGGAGTGCAAGCGATGATGGCACAGTCAAATTATGGGACTTGGCAGCACGGCGTCTAATGACAACACTACAATGGGACGAACCGATTTGGCACCTGGCTGTCGACCCCTTGGAACGTTTCATTGTCGTGGCGGCCAAGTCGAGTGTCCAGCGTGTGGATATGTACGATACGACGACGGGACATGCCCTAGGCGGCCGTGGCTCTACGGGTGTGGTAGAGCGGATGTCGGATACACATCGTGTGTCTCTGTCTGAGCCTGTGTCGGCGATTGCCCTATCCCACATGGCTTCCCATGTCGCGGTTGGCACCGCGCATGGCGTCGTGCATATCATTGACGTGCTTACATTGCAAACGGTACGTACGCTGCCAGTCGCTGGCACCACAGCGAGTGCCACGCCGACGACACCTGTCACGTCGATTTGCTCACTGGTCCGGCCCGTGGACTTGATGAGCACGCTGACGTTGCGTGGCGCCGCTACAAAACGCACATCGGCCCGCGGCGATACAGAGGCGTCGGCCAGTACGTACATTGAGTCTTTGCCACTGCCGACGATTGCCCCACAATTCGCACGCACAGTCGCGCCAGTGATGGAGACTATGCATGTGATGCTACGTCCTGTCCCTCACGTCGCCACAGCGCATGATGCACCGTCGTCCGACGTTCTTTATGCATCCCCCCAGAACGAAGGCCCTGCCTTGTCTACATCAACACCCAGGTCCATCGATACGTCTGTCTACGAAGCGGAGATTCAGGCTTTGCAGGCGCAAGTGCAACGGGCCAAGACCCTCAACGATCAGCTGTGGCAGCACTTGGTCCAAACACAGGCAGGTGCGTCTGTATAGTTGTGTAGAAGACCTAGATACCCACCCAACGCCACGGCACAACTTGGCGGTAGCATGCAGCCATCCGCTCCATGGCTGTGGGTGCAACCGAGGCCAGTCCGTCCTGGGCAATCGCCGACGTGCCCACCAACAGCATCGCAGCAAGGGCAAACGCAGTGGTGAGGCCATACTGCGCACGCACCCGCATCTTACGTCGCCGCATGAGCTTCATAGCACCGCCGACTATATGCACTGCACCTGTGACGCTTAGCAGAACATACACACTCCATGTCGTGATGGGACTAGCCGCCAAAGCATAGCTCACGTAGGACATGTCAAGTTCAGACGGGGAGAGACCCGAAATAGGTAGCGACGACTGCTGCGGAACAATTCGGTTCACCAAAACATGCGCACATACAAGCGGCGTGAGGATCCAGCCACATACAGAGTGCCATGTCTCCCAACGCCAGTGCCATGGCCAGCACAACGTGGGACGATGGAGCAAGGCGCGGCGCACAAGCGACGAGAGAATATGCAGCGAAAAAGAGCCATATACCAGTACAGGCTCAATCCATGCACGCTGGTACCATTCGCGGCCGAGAAGCTACCGAGTCAGCGGTGACGATCAACGTACAATCATCTGGTTCGACATGTCCACGGCTGCCGGGCCTGTGAGCGAGGCCACGACTGGCGCAGCCAGGTGCACGATCAGCACACTACCAAGCGTAGCGGAAGAGATTGTTTGCGCTGCTGTGGCGATACGAAACACGCGCTGCCGCCATGTTCGCGACGATGAGCTCATGACAGTAGGCTGCCAATCTTGAGGCGCCCAATGGTCAGCGAAGTGTCGTGTGGAGGGGCCTTCCACGTGCGAGAGCTGGGTTCTCTCTCCCTCTTGCTCGCCATGCCGACGACGTATCAACTCTTTGGCGGTGCCATAACCGTGGAGCTTGAAGGAGATTATATGGATGCCAGCCTATACCGTCAAGTTCCTGATAGTCAGGAAGTACTACTGCACCGCGACTCGGATGTGAGCGTGATTGTGGAAGTACTGCAGTGCGTGAGTCAGGCTACGGACCCTGATGGCATGAACGAAGGTGTGCGGTACCACTACGACTCACTAGCACATGATAACTCGGCGCTATCGACGCATGTAGATTCGGTGGATGCGCCGAATGGAGCTGCTTCAGAAGGCACGACGCCTCAGCCAGCGCTACTGTTCGGCACGCAGCGTGTGCGCAAATTTGGCAAGACGTCGGAAGAAAACGATGTGGCCATTCATCTTGCGTTGTGGCGACTTCCATCGAAGAATGTCGACCTAGTCCTCTCAATCAACGATCCCACTAGACAAATGACGCACGCCCAGAGCCGCCACGCGGCTCAGTCGCTTCGCATTGTTGACTGGGGCCTCTTTCCCTAATGTACGGCCACGCGCTCCTGTCATGTGGAGGTCCCTTGGTCCGGGCGCACCTGCTGAGTCAGACGCATGACTAGGACTGTCGACACAAAACGGGAATCACGAACGCACCCCGCGGTTTCTTCCTTCAGATTCTTATAGATCCTTCATGACCGGCACACAAGCATTGTGGCTCCGTTGCGAGACCAAGCCGGCCGAGCACCGCTCGGCCTTGACGCCCACTACAGCGAAGAAGCTCATTAATGCTGGCTTCGATATTACTGTGGAACGCGATCCCAACCGTATCTTTGACGACGAGGAGTTTGAAAAGGTTGGCTGTCACATGGCCGAGTACCACTCGTGGCCCAAGGCGCCGAAGACGACGCCTATCATTGGTCTGAAGGAGCTCGACACACCCGGCCCAGACCTGGAGCACACGCACATCCAGTTTGCGCACTGCTACAAGCACCAAGAGGGCTGGGTCGACGTGCTTGCGCGCTTCAAGCGTGGCGGCGGTAAGCTTTATGACCTGGAGTTCCTCGAGGATGCGAATGGCCGTCGTGTGGCGGCCTTCGGCTGGCATGCCGGCTTTGCTGGCGCCGCGCTGGGTCTCCTGGCGCTGGCCGAGCAGGTGGAAGGCAAGGTGCTTGGCGCGCAGACCAAGTACCCCAACGAGGAAGCGCTCATGGAGAAGACACGCGAGGCTGTGCGGGTCATCCGTAAGCACCGTCCTGATGGCCGTGTGACTTCGTTGATCATTGGTGCGCTCGGCCGCTGCGGTCGTGGCGCCATTGACTGTCTGGAGAAGTCCGGCTTGCAATCTGACGAGATTGTGCGTTGGGACATCCAGGAGACCTCGGCGAAGAGCGGCCCCTACCAGGAAATCATTGACTCGGACTTGTTTGTTAACTGCATCTACCTTTCGAAGAAGATTCCGCCGTTTGTCAACAAGGAGTCGCTGCAGGCGGTAGGCGACAAGCGCCGTCTAGGTATGATTGTCGACGTGAGCTGCGACACGACGAACCCGAACAATCCGATCCCCGTGTACTCTATCAACACGACATTCGATAAGCCAACGGTCGCTGTGGATGGCTTTGACAAGTTGGAGGTTATCTCCATCGACCATTTGCCTACGCTCCTCCCCCGTGAGGCATCGGAGGCGTTCTCAAACGACCTTTTGCCATCGCTGCTGCAGCTGCCGCTGGTCACGGGTGTAGCTGGCGAGGAAGCGCTGCAGCATGTGAACGAAGAGGGCAAAGGTGCTGTGTGGACGCGCGCAGAGGCGCTGTTCCGCAAGCACCTGGCTGAGGCCGAGGCGAATGGCGCATAAGCGTATAGTGAGTGATACGTAGGAAAAGACGTGTATGAACATGGGGAATGCATGCAAATTACATGTTTCTAGGAATGCAATAGCACAGACTAAAACACAAAAACGATGTCTTCCGCCTTGCTAATAGTCCTTGCGGGAGGGAAATCGAGACTCACAAGGTGCTTCTTCATCGCTTCCATCATGGGCGGCGGGCCGCACATAAGGATGCGGCACGACTCCGACGGTGACGGCAGCTGCTCAGCAATGGCCTCCCTGGTAACAAACCCAGTACCGCCCGTCCAGTTCGCCGGTGGCTTATCAAGGAAGTAGTACACCGAGAAACGCGTCGGATGCTGCTTCGCGAGCGCATCGAGTTCCTTTTTCAGGAGAATTTCATCTTCGTTCACGTTGGCGTAAATAAGATTCAGCTTCGTGTTGTCAGCCGGGTTCTGCAGCACCGCTTTGATCACCTGGTAGCATGGCGTAATGCCTGTACCACCAGCAATCATTCCGATACGGCTCACCATATTGGGCTCGTACAAGAAGCGGCCCTTTGGACCCTTCATCTCGACGGTATCTCCGATCTTCAGCTCGTTCATGACACGCGATAAGTTGCCGGTGGGATACGACTTGACCATCAGATCCACGTAGCCTTCCACATCATGATCAGTGATCGGAGTGTAAGATCGCATAACCTGGCGGCCGTTCACAGGCGCACGCACAGAGACGTGCTGACCCGTAGAGATGCCCAAGGTGCCCGGAATCTCGAAGCGGTAGCTACATGTAAGAAGAGACGAGACGTATACGTACATGTGCGTCGAGTCCGAGACTTCAATTTTTTCACGCAGGGGAAAGGCGCGCCATTCCTCCGTGCTCAGAGCAGGTTTTTTGCCTAGAGATGTTAGCTGCCTCAGAAGACGTACCACTAAAAGCACCAAAAAGGTACATGATGACCAGGGTGCAGCAAAGACCCGCCACAAACGTAGCAATCACTTGCGGATCCATGAAAGCAAAAGCAGTGTGTGTCTCAGCAAAAATCCAGTGTACGTCCGAAAGATACCCGGTGAACACGCGTGTACACCAGCAACACAATACAAACGTGGAGACGGTGGCAAGGACGAGAATCACCTGTTCGGTGATCATTCGAAGCACGCACGAACTTCTTCCCCGCAGCCTCCGGTCTTCACGTGAGGCACGTGAAAAAAAAAATACACACGTGGAGACAGTGCGAAGTCAACACGGTGTCGAGAAGAGATAAAGGTCACCAGACGGCCCTGGTTGCAGTCGTTTGGGGTGCGCATATTTATGACCGTATCGACACTTGGCATCTTTGTGCACGTCACGCCGACATTGATCGCGGTATGTTTACACGGCACTAACATCAGAATGCTTTTAAGCATTATGTGCGCTTCTTTGTCGAGCTGGGCAGTCGTACGCCTCGAGAGTCGGCGAATGAGTTTCTGTACGATCAGTATGTATTACCATGCCCATGCTCACACGCTTCACAGGCTCTTTCATATGATCAAAAAACTGGTCGTGTACCTGACCAATAATACCACAGAAGATGTGCAAAAACTGTACGTGGACGTATCTAGACTCACATCAGCACAGACCAAGCTGTGCCTGTGCCGCCCTGGTGCTACAATGAAATTGTGATGATTCCCATGGAGTCGCTGGACAAGTCGGCCGATTTGTTGCACCAGTACTTTGGGCCAGAGATGATGCAGTCGTTTATAGGCGGCTCGCGCTGGTGGCAGATCCGCAGTCAGCCGGGTGTGCCTGGCGAATGGATTTCGCATTATTCCGACTATCATTCGGCCATGGCAAAACTCGGACGCAAAGCTAGCTATTCTACGGGGATTATGCATCGCATGACACGTAGTACGGGCCGTGTGAATCCACGCCACGAGCACAAGACGGGCGTCCATCCTGACACGGTGCGTAAGACCGGTCGGTTTGCCGACACCGAGGAAGAGACCAATCGATTGTTCCGTGTCATGCTGTACCTGCACGGTGGTGCGTACTACTTTGGCTCCGTGAATACACACAAGTATGCGATCCTCAAAGAGGCGACCAAGTTCGGTGGCTTTGCGTTTGCTGTCAACTACCGCAAAGCCCCGCAATTCCCCTTCCCCTGTGCCCTTCAAGACTGCCTGGCGGCGTACTTGTACCTGATTGATCCGCCGCCCGGCTCGCTTCATCCGGCCATCAACCCCGAACACATTATTGTTGGCGGCGATAGCGCTGGCGGTGGCTTGACTCTCGCGTTGCTGCAGCTCATTCGCGATTTGGGCCTGCCACCGCCAGCCGGCGCTGTGCTCCTCTCGCCATGGAGTGACATGTCACATTCGTTCCCCTCCATCTTGCAAAACACAGAGAGCGACTACATCCCCCCGTACAGTTTCATCCACAAGCCCAGTGTACTCTGGCCGCTTCCGAAAGATACAGGCCGCTTTGCGAAGCGGTCTTGGCTGCCTTTTCTAGGCGGCCCTTCACGACGTCGTGATCACGAGCAGGCCCAGGCCCAGATGCCAGCCCATGCTCAGCCCATCTTCCTGACCGAGCCGGGTGGCACCACCATGCCCATCAAGTCCCAAATTCAATTCTACTGTACGAATGCCCAAGTCTTCCATCCACTGTGCTCGCCCGCCCTGGCTGCCAGCTTGGGTGGGCTGCCTCCCCTGTACATTATGGTCGGCGATGGTGAAGTGCTACGAGATGAGGTTCTCTACGTCGCTCACAAGGCCGCGAACCCGGCCCAGTACCCACTCGGATCGAACCTCATGGATCATTTCCCCAACACACGCGCGACGTTTGAGCGGTACAAGCACAGCCCCACGACAGTCCACCTGCAATTGTACGACGAGCAATGTCACGTGTTCCCCTTGTTCATGTACACGACGGCGGCGCGTGTCGCGTTCGAAGGGATGGCGTCGTTCATCAAGCATGTCACGGGGGCGCCGACCAACATGCAATCGCCCTGGGCGCGCGCTGCAGGCTCAGCGCCGGCGGGAGAAAACAAGTACTCAGGCAAGGTGCCGCTCGATCGGCCACAGTACCTGGACAACATGATCCGCGAGCGTGTATCGACCACGGGCAAAATTCGCCCGATGGAGCCGCCGTCAGAGATGGCCGCGCTGCGTATGGCGCCCGACTCGGTGGGCACGATCAAGCCGATGACGTACAAGCGCTTCCAAAAGGGCCACACAATCTGGGACACCAAGTTTGCACACGAAGCTGCCAAGGTCAAGAAACGGCGCGCCAAGTACGAGCGACGTGCAAAGCAGCTGCTGGCACATGCGCAGGCCGAAGGCCTGCTGGACAACCAGGGCGATATTGTCGCGGAGGGCGCGCACTGGTACGATATCGGGACGTATGGTCCTGCGGATCTGCACAACGAAATGCCGCCGCCCTCGGCGATTGTTGGCCGACGTGATACGGTATGTATACCATGACGACACTGATCGCAGCCTGATGCGATTGCGCTCTTACGACTGGGCCTGCACTTGCGAGCCAAGCGTCGTCGCGCCCGTGGCATCCAGACAGCCACACGCAGTGGGCGTAGCCGCCGTGCGTTTGCGGACGACATGCCTCGCAAGCCGTATGCGCAGGGCGAGCATGCACACCTCACGACCGAGCGTCCTATGGAGCTGAGCCAGTTTGGATGGTGGAAGAGTACGTACGCGATATTACACATTGACGCTATGCAGCTTTCCTGGTCCGTGCCGATGACCTTACTGGCCACCATCACCACCACCGCCACCACAACAAGGAACCCTCTATGTAAAATTCGAATGGGTGCGTGAAAACTGTCGAGCCCGCGCTCGCTGCTGGATGTTCATCACCGTCATAAGCTGCTCAACATTGCCGTGGTGTGCATCAAGAAGCTCAATAATCGTCAGCGTCTCCATTTGGTACTGACGTGCCAAGTGCTCCATATGCTTCTGCACCTTACGTCGGCACTGCTCCACGTCTCCACCCACTTCGATCATGTACGGCATCAGCTGACGCGGTGAGACAAAGCCATAGTCCGCACACAGGGCCCAAACATGCGCCTCGTACTGAGCACGAGCACGCATTTCCTCCGCACGCGACGGCGGATGGCGTGTGCGTTCCATTTGGACAGGCGCCGAGGACGTGGACAGATCCGGGGACAACGACGAGGTTCGTGGCCGCTTGCGCTCCATAGACGGCGATGGCGTGCCTTCGTTGGTCCGCCCCTCGGCGCGAGCGATGACTTTGGCTTCGCGATGCCCACTCCGTTGGCCCACACGCACCGTGGCAGGTGTGAACGCCGGGGGAATCGCTTGGCTTTGGGGCGTGTGGAGCGTGGAACTGGCCGCCTCCTCCACCTCAGGCGTCGGTGCTGTGACGGGGACGGGCGGCTGCGTGGGCGCCGCCGCGGCCGGCATGCCGCCTAGCACACTGGAGCGTGTTGTACGCCGTGGGCGTGCGGGCGTCGGCGCTTCGTCGCGTGGTGCCGGTGGTGCCTGCCGCACCGGCGTCGACGAAGAGGGAAAGATCGTCGAGGGCGTAGCACGAAGAGAGTACTGATCCAGCGCGGCCTGCCAGACCATCACCTTGTTGCGCTCATAGTACCGCTGCCATGCAGGCAGCGCATGTTCGGGAAACTTTTCACATAGGCGATCCCATATCCAGGTAGGCACAGGCTGGGCGGCCAATGTTTCTGCATCCTCTGTCGACGCCGCGGGCGCTTCGTCCAAGACGTGGACGAGCATCTCGATGAGCCCGCGTTCGGACGCAGGCGAGAGGCGCGAGCGTGAAAGACGCTTGGTAGGCAGTTGTGTCCCTGACTTGGGTGCAGGGGAGGCAGTGGCCTCCGTAGGATCCACAAAGTCGTCGTTCGTGTTGGCATGCATGTGCGCCTCAAAGGCCAAGACATCGTCTTCGTCCATTTCTTCTTCCTCGCTCTCCTCGTCTTCCTGGCCAAGCTCTGTGCTTGTATTCTGTGCTGTAGGCAGCATGGCACTCGTCTCCTGCATAGAAATCATCGCCTCGTCATTCGCCTCGTCATTCGCCTCGTCAAACAGCTCCTCTAGCGACTCCAGCGACGACGCCGTGGAAGACGACGACAGCGACGCATCTCGTACTTCCTGTACCCATACCTTGGACACTGGCGCGACCATAGATTGTACTTCGTTTTCTTCTTCGTCATTGCGTGACTGCATTGGCAACGACGTGCCGAGACGGGTAGATACATTGCGCCGGAACGCAGCGGGGGGAAGAGACACGCCGCGATCTAACAAGCGCTTCAACAGATTGTGACGTTCGTACATATTCTTCTGCAAGTACGATTGATAGCTCCAGTACGTATGCACTGGCCGAACCTCAGCGAGACGCCGCGCAAATTTCGAAATGTTCCAGGGCGTATGTTCTTTTTGAAGCATGTCCAAAATACACTCGATATCCTCGTCGCTGTACTCATTGCGTCTGGGTATGCGTGAGACACACAGTATACGTACGATCCAGGTCGGCCTATATACATAGGCTCAGGTGTGTCCCCCTGCATCGACATGCACGCAGCAGCTACGTCGCGTAGCGAGCCGTACGTAGAGAGCCCCGTGGGCGCGGCTCCCTAGCGGAGGCCACGCGCTCGCGTGCGTGCGTGCCTGCGCGACCTCCACGTCCCTCCCCCGCGCGCGCGCTTAGGATCACGTGATACAGATCAACACCATCCTGGCACGTCGGTGCACAAGGTGTCTTCGCTCGCTTGCGCTCACGCCTACGTGCGCCGCTCTATCTGCCGGCTTTGGGAAGCCACGGTACTATGGCGCCACTGACGCGCAGAGAGTCGACGAGGCTCTCCAGCGCCGGCCTCGAGGCTGGCTCATCGAGTCAGCTGCCGATGGACGAGATCCTAGCGAACTTTGAGCAATGTAGGTCACCGCAACGACACTCACACAGCCAGACCGTCGTAAACATGCGGCGCAAAACCGCGATATCGTACATGCCAATGCCTTGGCTCACGCACGTATTCGTGAGCTGGAATCGCGCGTCCTCGAATTGGAAGGCGAGTGTGCCGAGCACAAGTTGGCGGCCAGCCGGCAAGCCGCGCAGGTACGCCGCCTCGAGTACGCCTTGGAATGCATTCGTGTCGGATGGGAGACGATGGGACATGCGCTACGCGACGGTGGCGTGCCGACGCCGGAAAAAACACGCTCCAAAGCCGCTGCTGCACTGCCTACGCCACCCCGTGTGCCTAGCAGTACGCGTGTCGTCCTCATGGACGGCCTGCCCACGACCCGCATCCATGTCGCCCGTCCCACGCCCTTGCCGTCGGAGTGGGTCCAAGAAGATCACACGTCGCCCCTCCCTACGCCGACGGCGGACGAACACGATGCGGAGAGGATGTCCTGCGAAAGCACACAGCGCCCAGACGATATGTGCCCTGCGTCTGTGACACGACGACGCCCCAGTCGGCGGCATAGCGGGATGGTGCCGCCACCCAGGCTGGAAGTGGCCGCGGCAGACGAAGTCGCAGCGATCACGCCGCCGCCGCCGCCACCGCCGCCCCCGCCGCCAGCGGCCACCGCGGACGTGGATGTGGACGTGCCATGTACGCCTACGTCCACAAGAGATGAGCCGGTCGAGACGCCAACGCCAACGCCAACGCGGCCAAAGTCCAAGACGCCCCAGAAACGTGCACGGCGTACCTCGGTGCTGTCGGAGCTTGGGATGACAGACGACGTAGTGCCGGATCGCGCACGTCGCGCACGCAAGAGCGTGAATTATGCCCTCCCGAAACTCAATACCAAGATGCGCAAGCCGGATCCGACCGAGGAAGGGCCTACCTCGAAGAAACCACGTACGTCGCGAACGCACCCAAAGGACGAACCTAGTACGCCTCGAGCAGCGTCGCCGTCGCTCACCACAGACGACACGCCATCCGAGGTGGCGGCCGCACGTCCAAGGCGCTCGCGAACCTCCTCCACACAGTCCGCCGCGGCCGAGGAGGCGAAGGAGGCAGCAGTGGCGCCGGCCATGGACGTAGATGCGACCGCCCTTGCCCCACCACGTACGCCGCTCCCTACCTCGGTGCGCTCGTCCCGTTCTGGCACGCCGTTTGTCCCTTCACGCGGCCGGCATGTAAATGCAGGTCTTCTGCAGCAGCAGTCATCGCACAACATGCCGAGTTGGGCGAGCTCACTGATGCACCTTGCCTCACCGGAGCCGCCTGCCTCGAAAGTGTCCGCCGCCCCGTCGACACGCCGCCGCCGTAGTGTGGCTGTGCACGAGAAGGAGAATGAGGGGTCGTAGTTCGTTGATGTTCCTAGATACCATACTGTACAATATGTGCCACAACACGAGGAAGAGGACGCATTAGTCACCTGCGTGAGCTAGCATCCATGCCCACCGTGGATCGTCGAGTTGGTACGCAGCATGCCCCCGCACGACGCGATCCACGAGCCAGCGCCACCACGACGCAGGCCTAGGCCCAGGCAGCGGCGCAGGCAGGCCTGGTGGGTCGTCGGAGGGCCGGTCCGCTGCATACCCTTCCACAACATGGTCCGTGTGCATCAAAGCCCAATGCGCCACAAACGCCAACGCGCGCCACATGGACGAGACAGTGCGTGTCAGTCCCCAGAGACTTAGGCCCAGTAGGGCAATGCTCGCAAAGTTGGCGCCTTCCCATAACACAACCGCTTCGTTGTCGGACACAGACGGACCACGCACGACGACCACCACCGAAAACGGCGTCCCAACATAAAACGCGCCGATGGAAGAGATCAAGATCAGCGAATGGAAATTCATCGACATGGCCAGCACCGCGAGCCCTAGCGTCGTGATCCACAGCATATGCTCAGACCATGTCAGTGGCATGGCATAGGAAGACACCTCCGAGGGGAGCGAGTCGACGTGCTCAATCGATAGAATTCGCTGGACCAACGACGGGAATTTGGTGCCCATATCGTACGCCGCTGGGGCCGCCAAAGAACGCCCACAGATCATTTCAACAAACCGCTGCGTCACACCTTGCACGACTTGCACGAGCAGCACAGGCTGGAACACACCCAGGCGGTACGAATACGAATCGATCGCCTCCTCCTCAGCCTCGTCTTCATCGTCATCCCCCGCGAGGCCCAGCATCTCGAGCCATATAGGCGGTATCGAGTTTTGGGTATCCATGGACGTCGCGATCCAGGGCATCTCCTTGGACGGCACAAACGAGACAGATTGCAAGTGAAACGGATGCGGCCCTTCAAAGAGCTTCGGACTGTGCCGTTGGAAGAAAAAGTCACTGACCCATCCAATCGACAGCACAGTCAAAACAAAGAAAATGCCAACGAGCGCGATACGCATAGGCTTCCACAACAAGATCCGAATGTGGCGGGGAAGACGCAAATGGTACGTCGTCCCACACTGGTCACACGCCATGGCAGAGGTCGAGCGACGTGATTGTCGGCGCCACTGATTCAAGCACGATGCGTGGACATACTTCATAGTTCCTTTGCACTTGCATGGACTTACAAGTCGGTCGCCAGGCGCTACCACATGGTCCAAACAGATACGACACACCGGCGTCGTAGAGGGAGGAGGCACAGCAGGCGGGCTCGTGCCTAGCAACATCGCCTCAACATGCTGATCGTCCAGTGCATCGCTGGAATCTTCTGACATTATACTACTTGTACGAAACACGCACGACAAACCAGACAACGTAGGAAGGGCACAGACGCCTCGTCTACACCATGGACGTGCGCCGAAGCGGACTGGCGAGCATTGTGGGGGAGGGCATGGACGGTCCTGCTGACTAAGACGGCGTCGGTGAGACCAACATGACAAGAGAGGAGAGTGACTACATCGATTACGAGAGTGTGGATGAGTGTGTAGAGGCGCTAGGTGGCTTGAGTATAGTGATGGCTTTGCGTTCTGGCGCGGCGCCAGCGTCTTTCGGTTTCAAAATGGTAGCGGGTTTAGGCTTCTTCGTCTTTTTGGGTTTCGAAGCGCTAGGGGTATCAACAGCAGGGGGAGGCGCTGCTTTCGTTTTCGCTTTGCCTTGGGCCTTGGTTTCGTTGGGACCATGAGCAGCATTCGATCTATCCTGCGACGATGGCTCTTTCTTGCTAGGCGTCGACATTTGTTGACGTCGAAGATTCGCCTTGGCTTTCTTGGGCAGTTTCTGGAACATCTCAAACGAGATGCCAGCCGCCTCAGCACATTGTGCATCACGTCGATCTTGTAGCTGCTGCGCCTTGGCTAGCTGAATCGCTTTGGCTTTTTGCTCGGCCACATCTGCGGGCGTAGAAGGCGCAGGTCGCAGCGCCGATAGTTCAAGAGGGGGTCGTTTCTCGTGCGTCGTACCTTTCGGTACCGACGAGCCAATCGTGCCGGGCTTCTTCTTGGTATTTTCGTCCTTGGCCGACCGCCGCTTCTTTTTCTCCTTAGCCTTTTTGCTTTCTTGCAAGAACTGGACGAGCGCCGAAGTCGTGGACATCGCCGGCGTCGGCTCAGAATCTTCGTTCTCCGAGGACGCTAGCATCGCATGGAAGGCCTGAAATTCCGGCGCTGCATAGGTTAGCGCAGTCTCCATACGTACTTTGCTCCACCGTGCCTATCAAGGGATCAGGCTGTGGCTTGCGACTCGTAGGCAATGTCGAGACAAGGGCATAATCGACCAGGGCTGTAGATTCAACACCTGTTGAGTGAGTCGACATATCACACATACCCTTGCTATCGCGAAACACATGACCGTGGAAGGCTTTGGCAAATGCAAGCTCTTTAGCTGGATCGCGAAATTGTATATACGCCACTGACGGAACGTCGGTCTCCGCCGCGCTGCGGGAGTCAGTGCATAGCATACGTACGTCTCGCGTTTCTTGCCCGGGACATATTCAGCATAGAGCGCAGTAGGTGCGTGACCTGGAGCTGGCTGGATAGGCCGATCTCGCGATAAAGCTGTCTCCCCTGTCACAGTGCACTGGACCCAAGGTGAAACACTCTGCCAAAACACCTCGGCAGGCAGGGTGGGCGGCAAATCACGTACGACCACTTTCCGCCGGGGTCTTCGTCGATGCCTTCCCCCTGACAGTAGTCCTGGACGTTGAGGTTGCATGGAAGATGTACAGGAGCCGTGCGAAGAGAGTACCAAGTGGCCGTCGTGGTTCTCCGAGCCACGCTCCTGCACGTGCAGCTTAAAGGCGCAGGCAGGCCGCCAGGCAGCCACCTGCTTCGTACTCTCATCACACCTCCACACATCGCCGAGGCCTCGATTGCTTTTCTCGTTCGTGATGCCAGACGAGACGCGAGCCGCGTTGGAAGCGCGACGTGCACGGCTCTCATCCTTGCGCTCCAAACTTCAAGAATCCACTACAGAGAATCGGAAAGATGTGATTGCCGAACAGACAAAACAGCGCGAGGCTTCGCAGCGGTCTGGTACGGCGCATGGCTACAAGATGGCCAAAGCGGAACGACTCTTGGACGAGCGTGATATGCGTGAGCGTGGCGAAGATGTAGAGCGCCAGCGTGCTTTGAAGTACACAATCGAAGAAAACGAGGCGTGGGAAAAGAAGCTCGAGGAAAAGGAACGCACACGCGATAAGGGCATGATCGGTACGTACACCTGCACGTCTCACACCTCGCTAGATTTTCAGGACCTGGCCGAGCGATCGTACCAACGCCAGCTGAAAACATTGACGCCTGATCTTGCCGCATATGCTAAACAGAAGGAGGCAGAGGCACAGTCTACGACCACCCCGTCCGAGCAGACATCGACAGCCCTCACGACCACATCAGATTCACAGCAGGCCCTTGTTCCTGCCAAAGAAGCCAAGGTATCAGCCGCTGTGGCGTCATATGGCACACACAAACCCGACGAAGATTCCATCGATCGCCTGGTCTCCCACTTGAATCATGAGTACGTTCAACGAAGGCTGACCGACAGACAGGACCAAATACGCCATCGCAGCCGTCGTCGCGAGGACGACTTGGATGTGGAAGGCACGTACATCAACCAACGCAACAAGCGTTTCAACCGCAAAATTCAGCGTGTACGTGGCATAGGCACTGACGAGATGGCAGTACTTTGGCGAGCATACCAAGGAGCTTCGGGAGAACTGTACGTATACAATTGCGACTCACAGACAGTGGAACGTGGCACAGCGTACGTGAAATAGTACCGAGATCGACTTACATTGCAGCCTGTAGAAACGCTCGAGGCGATACGCATCATGTAGTTGTAAATGTGGAGGAACACACAGACGACACGCTCTGCCACGACGACGCGTCGATGACGACAACGGCATCGCCTACCAAGCGCCGTGTATCGTTATTTGGCGCTGATGAGCGAATCGTTCTGGATCTTGGGAGCCGTGTTGTTCGCATTGGCCTGAGTGGAGATGCAGAACCTCGCGTCCTCATGGATGCAACAGCGCTGGCCGAACAGGTGCTGCAGCGCCCTATCGCTTGCCTGTGGGACTTGGACTACCAACGAACAGAGAGTACTAGTCTGATGCAAAGACGACAGGCCGACCTTGTTATGGGCCTGACGCGTATTTTGCGCGTGATGTACCAGGATTATCTGCTAACAGACCCGAAACTACATCGCGTGCTTATTGTGAAAAGCCCGATAGGTATCGACGCCGTGCAGCAAGCCCTCTGTCATGTACTGCTCGAGAACATTCGTGTTCCCAGTGTTTCTTTTATAAATACGCATGTGCTATGCACGCTGGCCGCAGGACGAACGGCTGCGCTGGTCGTGGATGTCGGCTATTTAGAAACATGTGTAATGCCTGTCTTTGATGGACGTCCACTGACACATCTCATCACAACAACACCACGGGCTGGCCGCTTTTTATCAGAAAAACTAACCTTGCTCCTACGTGCCTATGCCAAGCTATCGGCAGCAGGAGAGACGCTGCTCACGCCTAGTCATGTCGAAAAGATCAAGACACAGACCCTGTTCGTCGGCGAGCCATGCGACGCACCCACATTCAGCACGGTCACGCCATGGGATACTCATGCCTTTGCTGAGGCATACTCGACTCATTCTACGGCATCTGCCTGGACCTTTACTACCCACGACGGGGCCGTGCATGTACCTGGCTGGATCCGTGAGCGTGCCTGTGAAGTGTTGTGGGAGCATGGCGATGAAGACGAAATGAGCATTGCTGAATGCATTGTACATGTGATACGTCGTCTACCAATGGATCTACGTCGACCTTTAGTATCGTCCATCATCTTGGCAGGCGGTACATCAATGCTCCCTCACTTTCGTGAGCGATGCGAAAAAGCGGTACAAAAGGCGTTGCCCTCCGCATTATCGCCTCAGATCCTCAATGGTACACATACATGGGTGGCCAACAATGTGCTGGCATGGACAGGGGGCAGTATGGCTGGACATTATCAAGCGGATGGTACACAGATCCTTTCACGAGACGGCCGGGCGGCAAACCGATCAACGTCGTTCGCGGCCCACGATCGTGACACGTTGGGACGTGAAATGGGCCACTTGAAAACACCCAAAGACATACACCTTGCGTAACGTCGGCATCGCCTGGATTAATGTAGATAATATTTGATCGTCGACACAACGCACAAATCCGAGATCCAGCTCTTCGAGCGGTGGGGCCTCCGTGGCTAGGACTTCAAAGACACGAGGCGTAAGCGCATCGTTGCCATTGATGCGCAAGGTTGTCAAGTGCCGTGCTGTTTGCAGCAATGGGATCAGGGCATCGTCTTCCAGCGCACAGCAGGCCAGAGAAATATGACGCAACGCAGGAAGCGCAGCCAACGTAGATGCCCATACAGATGTAGTAACGTGTTCCAGCATGTCGACCATCAGCGTCTCAAGACGAGAGCAGGTTTTGAGCGCTGAGATGGTAGCATCACCTAGCTCATGGTTTTTGGACAAGTGGAGACTCTCTAGTTGCGATCCGCGGGCGTTCAACAGGGGGACCATGCCTTGGTCAGTGAGCGAGGCAGGGGGTATACCAGGCTGGGATACACCTGGCTGTGAAACGTCCAGGTGTGTTAGGTGCCCCAAAGACGATAAAAGATGGACACCCTCGTCATCTAGAGGCCCAATTTGTGCCAGCGCGACTTCTTGCAGACGTGGACAATGTGTGACCATCGCCTGCATGCACGAATGATCAAAACGCGGTGTCTCACGTAGGCGCAGATGTGTAAGCTGAGCGCCACATTGCGGGAAAAAGCGAAGCCATGCCTCGCGAAAAACAAGGAAAGGACCATACAGATCGAGCACACGCAAATGCGGGAGTGTCGCTAGCGAGGCAAACGCATCATTGTTGAGTTGGCCACAGTACTGCAATTGCAGTACCTCAATGTTCGGGGCGAATATGGGAATCGATTGAAGAGAGGTAGGATCAAGAGCTACAGTTAGTTGGCTGAGCACGTACCACTGCAGTCAAACAATCGGAGCTCACGTATGGTCGGCGACAAAAAGAGGGGAAGCGTCGCTGGCGTCAAGCTGCGATTCTTGCTGATGACCTGCGATGTCAGTATTGATGGACGTACACGGCTCAAGTTGTGCATACTACTCTCGCGAAGCTGGTCGAGGGCTTTCACCTGGTGAATATGTTCTGCGACAATCTGGCGGTAAGTGGGGAGGTAACGTACCTGAATGCAAATATGCTGCAGCGTGGGTAGCTCGATAGCGCCATCAATTACGGCACCTATAGAGGAGGCGCTTTGGGAGGTCGATACACGCGATCGAGGTGCTGCCTTCACACGGGGCTGCTTGGGCACGGTTTTGTTGCATTTCCAGCACAGGGCGCCGATCCCTGGCTCCACGCGTCTGTCATGTAAGGGCCGTGGGTACGTACGTGTATCGTGTAATAGAGAATTGGACACCACATATAGCACAAGACACGGGCTCGCCAGGTCGAAGGGGCACACTTTCTGGGACAGCAGCCCGTTTGGCCGGTGGCGGAGCGATCGGCGTCTCGAGGGGGGACGGCGAGGGAAGATCGTCGTCATCCTCGTCAAACTGCAGGGAGGCGCCCGCCCGGATTTTTGGTCGTGCCTTGGATTGAATAGCAGGTAAAGGAGCTGGCGTAGAGGCTGGGTCAGAGGCAGGAGGCTGGTCGTCTTCACGCGCTTGTGCCCCACGCTTGCGCATCGCACTTGCGCTGATCCCTTGCGACTGCGGTTAGCACACGATCAACATACAGCTAGAAACTCGGTCAGCGCCGACGTAGGCCCACGGACCTGCGTACGGCGTGACATGGCAATGCTTTTCTCAGAGAATGGGTGGCAGTCGAGCCCAAAAATACGATGATGACACTATGACAGGTGCGGAGGTCTACGAGGTGGAGGGCCTGGCGGCGCACGCGACAACGACACCGGCGCCGCACGTGCATTGTCGTCCCAACGTCGGCGGCCAGGCGATCGTGCACGCACACGTTCTTCTGCCTCACGCGCGGGAGGAGGACTGGCAGATCGTCGTCGTCGAGGGCTGGGGGAATAATCCCGGCGCACCGGGCTGCGTGAGTACGATCGGCCTCGCGGGCTTCGAGAGTAGGAACGAGAGTACGATCGGCCTCGCGGACTCCGAGAATAGGAGCGAGAGTACGATCGGCCTCGCGGGCTTCGCGAGTAGGAACGAGAATACGACCGGCTTCGAGGGCTTCGCGAGTAGGAACGAGAATACGATCGGCCTCGCGGGCTTCGAGAGTAGGAGCGAGAGTACGATCGGCTTCGAGGGCTTCGCGAGTAGGAGCGAGAGTACGATCGGCCTCGCGGGCTTCGAGAGTAGGAGCGAGAGTACGTTCGGCCCCGTGGGCTCCGAGAATACGATCGCGAGTATGAACGACCACGTGGACTACACGAATACGAGCGGCTTCGTGAGTACGAACGGGAGCGGGAGCTGGGCGTGTACGACCGTGTACGTGAACGACCACGCCGTGGGCTGCGGGAGTACGAGCGATCCGACATGGATGCATCTGACTCATCCCCACGTGCCATCTCTGCCTCCCGACGCTCCATCATGGCTTTAGTGGCTGTTTGCAAGTACTCACGCATCGACTCAGTCAGCACACCAAGCCCAATACTCGTAAAGAAATTGATCGAGAAGCGCGTATTGCGTGGGTGATCCAGCGGGAACATGTTTTGGTAATACTCTTGCATTGTAGGCTCTTTGAAACGCTCCGTCAGCGTCTTTATGCCGAGGAGCGACTGCATCTCCTGAAACAAAATCTTGACAAAGATACGCGACGACGATGTGGTATCGTCTTCGTTCATATAGATCGCATCAAAGCTCGCCCAGCTAATAGCATCCGTCGCTAGCAGCTGGCCAAAGAACCGCGCAATGTTGCGCAAGCGATTTGTTTCGTACCGATGAATGGTATCATAGTAAGTTCGGAAGCTCTGTTCGTACAGCCCACTCCATCGTCGATGGAGCTTGCAAAGGCGCTCACCAATGTGGCCATAGAATTTTGAGTAGGTGCGCTCTTGGGAGCAGCACTCAATAACCATGTTGCACAACTCCATCTCTTGGTCCTCAGGTACACGCAGCTTCAGAATTTTGTGTACACACTCTTCAAAGTCCAAGGATGACATGATGACAAGATAAATTGTACGACGGAGATTGACCAAGTTGGTCTCGGTACGGTCATGGATCTCCAACTCGGTCTCTCCTTGAGGCGCTGCCTCGTCAACGTCTTCTTCTTCCTCGTCAACGTCGTCGTCGTCGTCGTCCTCACTCGCGTCTTCATCACTGTTCTCCCCGAGAATCTCCGCCTTAATTTGGCGATACTTTTCCTCATTGGCTTCAAAATCGGGGTCCAGCTTGAAGATGTTAAGACCTTCTTCAATGTTCAGCTGGTCGTCGAGACTAACTTGGTGAGTAATTTGATCTTCTTCTTCGACCAAGTCCAACTGCTCGGGAATCCGGGGATTGTCCTGGAACTTGTCCTTGCGCGTCTGCGCAAGGACTTCGATCATGTATTGTACACGTACGCTAATGTTCCCCTCGTAAAGAACAGAACGGAATCGGTCAAAGACACTGTGACACGCCTTCGGTGCCTCTTCGGTCAAAAACGCGCCGACTTCTCGCATAAAGGCCACGGCCAATTCCACACTGTCATCCGTCGGCTTTTCAAGCAGGAGAACAAGGATCTCTAGCGCGAGAAGTTCATGGACAACCCGCTGGTTGGTAAGGTGTGCAAGGAAGAGCAAGGTGGCATGACACTTCGTTTTGTCGTTGCGGCGGAACGCTCGCCGGAATTGCATGACGAGTCGAGTGACAAGCAATTCGCCCACAAATGGCAGTTTGGTATTGATAATGGCCGCAAGGGCGGCAAAGACGGGGGTAAATGGTAAAGACAGTTCCTGCGCGTGCATGATCGACCGACAAAACAGGCCACGACCACGGATCAGGTTCGCGCCGGCAAAGAGCTCCGGCGCAATATGCTTGATATTGTCGGCGGCCACTTTGTTGACCAAACCAGTGATACTCTTTCGCAGTGCCTCCCAATTCATACGCTGGAACTCAGCACTGCCAGAGTCGGCGCGCGCCACTTCAGCCATCAACGCACGAAGGCGTGCGGGGGGGACATACGCACCACCTGCACGCGTTTCTGCGAGCTTGGCCAGAGCGGATCGAAGGGCTTCGCCCTTCTCCATCTTCTCTTCATGCTTAGCTTCCCCCTGTTCTGGTGACAGGGAGCGCTTGCGTTTGGATACACGCTCTTCCTCCGCCATGGCCGGCGGCGTCGCAGGCATAAGCCAAAGAAAAGACGACGACCGCGACGCTCCATCTATGATACGCTGACTAAGCCATCCATCCAAAAAAACGTTCGTGGCGAGCGTGGCGAGCTGCTACTTGGCTGCAACATGGCGGCACCCAGCACAAAGGCTTTCCGTGTCGTCCAGGCCGGACGTCACGGCGCTGTATCGTCCTATACACATGCATCGGGATCACAGGCGCCCGTGTCTGAAAAGGCGCGAATTTCTGATCATGCGATGGAGGAAGACGAAGAGGAGATGGCAACCATGATAGCTATGCCAGGGCAAGCTGTCGCTTCCAGCACGCTATATATGCGTGGCCATGGCTGCTACATTGATGCGACACACTCTGAAATTGTGGCTTCGCTGAGTGGCGTGATTGAGCGTGTGAATAAGCTCATTTCGGTACGTCCTATTCGCACACGGTACCGCCCCGAAGTCGGTGATTTGGTCATCGGGCGTATCACTGAAGTGCAATCCCGTCGCTGGAAAGTGGATATTGGGGCCAAGACCGATGCTTCGTTACAGCTCTCTTCGATCAACTTGCCAGGTGGTGTGCAGCGAAAGAAGCTTGAGTCCGATGAGTTGCAAATGCGTGCCTTTTTCCAAGAAGGTGACTTGGTCGTAGCAGAAGTCCAGTCCGTCTTCCAGGATGGAAGTGTGGGTCTGCATACACGCTCTCTTCGATACGGAAAGCTGCGGAATGGTGCTTTGGCTGTGGTGCCACCTGTGCTGATTCGCAGGCATAAAAGTCATTTCTTGTCGCTGATGCAGCTGCCAGAGAAAGGCGTAGACTTAGTCCTGGGCCTGAATGGATGGATTTGGGTATCAAAGCATGTCCCCTTCGACGTGTCCAAAGCTGAAGGAGAGGGCTCGGATGTTAAGGAAGAGATGGTGGGGCCTGCGGGTCGCGGGATTGCTATGGACATTGACGGTGTGTACAGTGATGTGAACGAGGTATGTCTACGCAAAACTAATGTCAGACCATTCCTGCAGCGACACGCGATTCAATTGCGCTCGTATGCTTGGTCCTAGCAGCCTTTGCGCACTATGGCTTGGCTGTATCAGATACCGCGCTGGAGCATGCATGTGCGCTGGGCGAATCGATGCAAGCATTGCAAGCGGACCCTGTGGCCTTTGCGAAGCAAGTCGCTGACGCATGCCATGCAGGTGCCCTCTAAGTGTTGTATACCAATCGTTATTCATTGTAGTCGTGACTACCATACAGGAAAAAAGAGAAGATAGGAGAGGGTGGGGTGGCCATAGGAGCATATCGTGCATGTTAGGCATACGTAGCTCCTTCCGGTGGCTGTGGCAGCTTACGGTTCAATGGCTGCGCCATCGTCCGACGAAGTTCACTCAGCAGGTTTTCCATGGTGTATTCACTGCGCCAGTTGGCGAGCGGAGCAAATTGAAGAGGCATGACCTTGCCATCGTTCTGATCCACGCATGGCAAGTTGATCTTCGTAAGGAACCAAATATCCGGTGGCACAAGTGGGTACGAATCGCCACACACCAAACGCAACGAGTAAATGCGATTTTCAAACTCAGAGTTGGCAGGGCCTAGAATCGTGCCATTCCATGTCGACATCACTATCAAGAGTCAGAACCAAGGCACATACGAATATCGTCATTTTCAGCTAGACCGTACGAACACGATCCATTCCCGAATCCTTTTTCGCCCTTCTCGAGCTCCTCAAGCAAGCGAAAGTTTCGTGGGACTATATGTGAGCGTCGTAAGGGCCTACATACCCACTGTCATCCTGCCTTGTCGTCGTCGGTCGGGCCCAAGCGGGGTGGGTGAGCGCGCACCGCACAGGCGACAGAGGCCAGCGTCTTGTCACGTGGTGTGGAGGAAATGCGGACACGCCTCCACGTCCAAAATCAGGTGGTGGGGTGTGCGCTGTCCAGATTTGTGGGCGTAGTGGAAGCGCCCCACGGCAGCGGCGACCCCAACGAACGCTCCATCACTATCATGCAGAACGAGGACGTATACATTCTTTCAGCGGCTCGTACGCCCGTAGGATCGTTTCAAGGTGTGCTAAAGTCGCAAACGGCTGTGGATTTGGGCGTCGTCGCAGCGAAAGCTGCGATGGAGCGTGCGCAGGTCGCGCCTAGTGACATTGAAGAGGCGTACATCGGCTGTGTATTGCAGGCAGGCGTGGGTCAGGCACCGGCACGACAGGTCGTGCTTCGTGCTGGCTGTGCAGAGAGTACCGAGGCCACGACAGTGAACAAGGTGTGTGCGTCGGGTCTCAAGTCGGTCGCGCTTGGCCAGCAGAGCATTCGTCTGGGTGAGAGGCAATTGGTACTGGTGGGTGGCATGGAAAGCATGAGCAATGCACCGTACTACATGAAGCGGAATAGCCTGGTCTATGGCGATGTGAAAGCGCTGGATGCAGTGCTCAACGACGGTCTCACGGATGCGCTGGAGCACCACCACATGGGCATTTGCGCGGAAGCCACCGCGAAGAAGCACGGGTTCTCGCGTGAAGATCAAGACAACTATGCGATTTCGTCGTACGAGCGGTCGACAGCAGCATGGGATCGCAAGGCATTTGAGGCGGAGACGGCACCTGTGACGATCACAGACAAGCGTGGTTCTACGGTCGTGTCGGAAGATGAGGAGTTCCGCAAGTTCAATAAAGAGAAGATGGTGAAGCTGCGTCCTGTGTTTGATGCGCAGGGCACTGTGACTGCTGCAAATGCCAGCTCGCTGAACGACGGTGCGAGTGCGCTGGTGCTTGCGAGTGGTAGCACAGTCCAGAGCCGCTCGTTGAAGCCGTTGGCGAAGATCTTGGGTACGCACAGAAGAATGACTGACCATAGCTACGGCGGATGCGGCTTGTGCGCCGATTGACTTCCCGACGGCACCTGCGCTGGCCATCCCTCGCGCACTCGAGAAGGCGGGTCTGACCAAGGACCAGATTGCGCACTGGGAAATCAACGAAGCGTTCTCGGTCGTGGCGCTCGCCAACGCCTCGATCCTTGGCCTCGACGCGGCGCGTGTGAATCCACTAGGTGGAGGTGTGTCATTGGGTCATCCCATCGGCAACTCAGGCTCTCGTATTCTCGTGACGCTGGTCCATGCGCTCCAGCCGGGTGAGTACGGTGTGGCAGCCATTTGCAACGTACGTATGCATGTCCTGATACTTACAGCAGGGTGGTGGTGGTGCTTCGGCCGTTGTAGTGCAGCGTATGTAGACTGTAAGCGCGTCGCGCCCGTGCATGCTGTACGTCTCCACATGAAAAAGAGGACGTTGGCTGAGGCATTTCAAGCGTCCCTGACGGAGGAGGATGGCGCTAGCGACACAGAGAGAGCGGTGAAGGCCGATGCAGCTATCGAGGATAGTGATGACTACATGTCCGAAGCCATGCTGGCCACGTTGGCCGCGCAAGATGCTCCGCGTGCATCGACGTACACAGAACGTCGCGCCAAGCTGCAATGGGAGGCAACCGAACAACAACGCCTAGCGATGGAGGAAGCGGACGTACGTCGTGCCAGTAAGGCACGGCGCGCCCTACCTGGCGAATGGGAAGCACGACGGCGTGGCCTCGCTACGAGTGTATGGGACCAAGCCGCCGCAGCGCCGGCTCTCGGCGCAGGAACCCAAGCAGCGATAGCGATGATGGCCGCGATGGGCTACCAGCCCGATCAGATCCCAGATACGGCGCCATCGTCCAAGCCTTTGTCGTTGGACCAGCGCTGGCTTTCTACCGAGGGCGGGACGCGACGACGAGGGTTGGGGCATGCCGACGTATCTGCCCGCATATCGTTGGCCTCACGAGCCTCGTCGCCGCCTATCGATCCCGAGGCGCAAGTGGATGCATTTCGGTCGCATAAAGGACGAGAGCATGCGGCCAAACAAACGGAGCTATGGCTCGTCCAGGCTCGTAAAGTCTGTCGTGCGTTGGACGAGGCGCAAGGGTGGCAATACAGTCCCTTGTGGCTGGATCCAACGGCCTTCCCCCCCGCCCATGCACTGTATCAACCGAGCCTACTAACGGAAGCGTACGAGCGTGGCCAAGACGACGCTGTGGCTCTCCTAACCCTCGCGTTCCACGAGGCCCAGGATAGCAAAGAGACAGGATACCCACCCCTAGAGGAGCGACGTGTTGACGCGGAGCGTTTTTGCCGGCTCTCTGTACGTATATGATGCCACACTGACCCTCTACAGCCATCGGCCCGTCTGGACGTGACATGTGCGTACCTGCGCGACGCGTATGCATACTGTCTGTACTGTGGCCACCAATACGAGAGCCAGGACGACCTGGCTTCGCAATGCCCAGGGCCGACGGACGAAGACCATGCGTGATAAGGACATAGAAGAATCTATGGGTATGACTAGTTGTATTGGGCATAGAGCGAGGTACTGGAGAACTTGCTGCCCTGCCTGACGACCTTTTCGACAGCCTGCAAAAAGTCCTTTTCTGTCGCGACTTTGCGGTGCGCACGAATGGCAAACATACCTGCCTCTGTCGCAACGCTGCGCAACTCGGCACCTGTCGTGTTGGGGCATAGACGCGCAATGAGATCGTAACGGATATTCCGCTCCACCGACATGGAACGCGCGTGGATACGCAGGATATGCGCACGACCTTCGTTGTCAGGCAACCCAAACTCCACGCGACGATCCAGACGTCCCGGACGCAGCAACGCAGGGTCCAGCGTGTCGGGTCGGTTGGTCGCCATCAGCACCTTGATATTGCCGCGCGCGTCGAAACCATCAAGCTGGTTGATCAGTTCCAGCATGGTGCGCTGCACTTCATTGTCGCCACCAGCACCATCGTCAAAGCGCATACCACCGATCGCATCGACCTCGTCAAAAAAGATAATGCACGCTTTCTTGGTCCGTGCCAGTTCAAACAGCTCACGCACCATACGCGCACCTTCACCGACGTATTTCTGGACCAACTCCGAACCAATGACACGAATGAACGTCGCATCCGTGCGGTTCGCCACCGCACGCGCACAGAGTGTTTTGCCTGTACCGGGCGGACCAAAGAGCAGCACTCCCTTGGGCGGGTCAATGCCCAGCTTGACAAAGCGCTCCGGCTCAAGAAGTGGCGTCTCCACGACCTCACGAAGCTTCTCAATCTGTTCCTTGACGCCACCGATGTCGCTGTATGTCACATCGGGCTTTTCCTCGACTTGCATCATAGTCACAGTAGGGTCAATTTTAGGGGGGAGAGGGATCTGGATTTGGTACTTGTTGCGGTCGACACTGGTTGTAAGTTTTCTCGTTCACGTACCCTACACGCATGCCTTCTTCCACGTCGGTCGGCGCAATACGCTCACCGAGGCCCACCACAAACTTGGCGATTTGCTTCACGTTGATCACGTACTTGTCTTTGCCGTCGGCAGAGCGCGACCCCATACCATTGAGCGCACCCAACACGTTGTCCAGCGCACTAATCCCTGTCGCAGCGCTAGCCGAGCCTTCTGTCTGCTCGTCGCCATTCTCCGGGGCGTTGGCAGGAATAATCTTGGTACACCGCGCCACCTGGAGTGGCTGCTCTTCGCTCATGCGCTGCTTATCCGCAGGAATATCCCACAGATCCGGCGGTGCAAGACCAGTATCGCTTTCCTTGACACCCATCTTTTCGTTGACGCGCTTTTCCACGTCCTTGATTTCTTGCAAGATGTTTTTGAGAGCGCCGGCGTACGGGCCTTGGCCATACGTACGCAAGAGTTGGATATCGCCCTCATCTAGGGGAACTATCTTGTCATCTTCCTTGCCTTGATCTGTGTCAGGCTTATCGTATTTCTCCCAATCCTTCTTGGGTGCCATCTCGCAGAGCGCCCTGGCTAGGAGAATGCAACAGCGACGTGCAGCGCCTCCCAGCGGTGACGACGACGCGCGGCCATGGGCACTTTGAAAATTATTTGGTATCGCTGACTCAGCAGACGCACGAGCGGCGGCGCGGGTCCCGGCCAGGCGACGCAGGCGATGAGACAGGCGGCCCCGTGCGGCGAACTCTCGCTAGCGGCGACCGTCGACGTTGGATCGGTCGAATATGGCAGGCGCTATGAGCAATGCGAAGCGCGACATGCGCAAGATCCGCGACGAGGACCGTGAGAGCCGGTACGGTGTCGTATTCGGTGTCTCGGGTCCTGTCGTGATCGCTGAGAATATGATTGGTGCAAGCATGTACGAGCTGGTCCGTGTCGGCCACGATGAGCTGGTCGGTGAGATCATCCGTATCGATGCCGACAAGGCCACGATTCAGGTGTATGAGGAGACCAGTGGCGTGTGTGTGGGTGACCCCGTCCTGCGCTCTGGCAAGCCGCTCAGTGTCGAGCTGGGTCCCGGTTTGATGGAGAACATTTATGACGGTATCCAGCGTCCACTGCAGGGTATCCAGAAGAAGAGCCAGAGCATTTATATCCGTACGTGTATGTCTGACTAACATGTAGCGCGTGGTATCGATGCCCCGGCGCTGGACCGTGAGCGTGAGTGGGAGTTCACGCCCGGCAAGTACAAGGTGGGCGACCACATTAGTGGCGGTGACATTTACGGTAGTGTGTACGAGAACGCCCTTGTGAAGGAGCACCGTCTCATGCTGCCTCCGCGTGCGCGTGGTACGATTACGCACATCGCCGAGAAGGGCACCTACCATGTGGATGACGTCGTTCTCGAGACGGAGTTCAACGGCGAGAAGCAAGAGTTTACGCTGATGCAAAACTGGCCAGTGCGTGCCCCGCGTCCGGTGACAGAGAAGCTGGTGGCTGACACGCCACTGCTCACGGGTCAGCGTATCCTTGACTCGCTCTTCCCGGGTATTCAGGGTGGTACCACGGCCATCCCGGGTGCGTTCGGCTGTGGTAAGACTGTCATTTCCCAGGCGCTGTCGAAGTTCTCCAACTCGGACATTATCACGTACGTTGGTTGTGGTGAGCGTGGTAATGAGATGGCGGAGGTGCTGGCCGAGTTCCCTGAGCTTACGCTTATGCGCGATGGCGAAGAGCACCCGATTATGCGTCGTACGACACTGGTCGCCAATACATCGAACATGCCTGTGGCTGCGCGTGAAGCGTCGATTTACACGGGTATTACGCTCTCGGAGTACTTCCGTGACCAGGGCTACAATGTGGCTATGATGGCCGACTCGACCTCGCGTTGGGCCGAGGCGCTGCGTGAGATTAGTGGTCGTCTGGCTGAGATGCCGGCCGACTCGGGCTACCCTGCGTACTTGGGTGGTAAGCTTGCGAGCTTCTACGAGCGTGCCGGTAAGGTCGTGGCACTCGGTTCGCCGGAGCGTACGGGTTCCGTGAGCATTGTCGGTGCCGTGTCGCCGCCGGGTGGTGACTTCTCCGACCCAGTGACCACCGCGACGCTGGGTATCGTCGGTGCCTTCTGGGGTCTCGACAAGAAGCTTGCGCAGCGCAAGCATTTCCCGTCAGTGAACTGGAACGTGTCGTACAGTAAGTATTCGCAGACGCTGGAGCCGTACTACGAGAAGAACGCGCCTGGCTTCTCGGCTCTGCGTATGTCGGCTCGTGAGCTGCTGCAGAAGGACAGTGACCTAGCCGAGATTGTGCAGCTGGTCGGTAAGAGTGCGCTGGGTGAGCACGACAAGGTCACGCTCGAGGTCGCACGTATCATCAAGGACGACTACCTGCAACAGAACGGTATTTCGGAATACGACTGCTACTGCCCCTTCTACAAGACCTCGGCGATGCTCAAGAACATGGTCGACTACCATGAGAAGGCACAGGCTGCGATCAACAATGACCCGGAGATGACGTGGGCTCGTATTCGTGAGCACACGTCGGACATCCTCTACCGCCTCACGCAGCAGAAGTTCGAGGACCCCAAGGACGGTGAAGAGTCGATACTCAAGAACCTCAATCAGCTCTCGTCGGACATGACAGAGTGCTTCCGTAGCCTCTCAGACTAGGTGTAGACTCATATATATATATATGTTAAACCATGCTTTCCAATGCTGTCTACCTACGTTTCTTACGCAGCTGCTTTGGTCTGCCAGGCACGCAACGCCTCGATGGTGGTAATGCGTAGACCATGCGTCTTGGCGAACTTGATGCAGGCATCGCGTGCGGCAATGCCGCCGAGCTGGTCATCGGGGTCGACCAGCTCACAAAGCAAACCGCCTGGCGGGAGATGGGCGGCCTTGCACAGGTCGACCGTCGCCTCTGTATGCCCACGGCGTACCTGAACGCCGCCTGGGGTATACCGCAGCGGATTCATGTGCCCAGGGCGCGTAAAGTCCGCGGCGGTAGCGCCAAGCGACGGATCCGCGAGCATACGAGCTGTCAATGCGCGGTCCTTCGCCGAAATGCCTGTCGTGGTGTTGTGGCGGTAGTCGCAGGTAATGGTATAGGCCGTCTTGTGCTTCTCCTGGTTGTCAGGCACCATGAGCGGCAGCTGGAGCTCTTCAAGACGCTCCGGCGTCAAGGCAATGCACACAAATCCACTGCAAGTGAGAAAAGAGGGGTACGTACCTGGAATGACGAATCAAGAATGCCATTTGCTCGGGCGTCACTTTGCTCGCAGCGATCAGCAGATCGCCCTCGTTCTCACGGTCTTCATCGTCGAGCACAATCACAAACTTGCCCTCCGCATAGTCGCGTACGACATCGTCAATGGAATCAAAGAGCCCGCTCATGACGATGTGGTCGTATAGAAGAAAAGCCCCACACGGACCAGAAAAAAAAAATTGAAAAATCACAAGGAGAGGAGGGGCCAGACCTTCTGGCTCGATGTCCAACGCGCGTGCGTGCAGCCGTGACGAGGGACTGAAAGGGGGGGCCGGGTGCCTGCTGGTTCGTGCTTAGGTCAGCGTGCGGAGAGCTGACCAAGCAGGACCCACCCGGCGGGCCCGCCCGGTAGGCCGCACCGTGGGTCGAACGAACAGAAAACGGGCCTGGTAGGTAAGCGTGGGCCGCGGCCCACACACGCAGCCGCGTCTCGACAGCGGCCGACGCCAGATCAAAGCGGTGCGGCGGGCGGCGGGTCTCCTTCCACCACGTAGTCATCGCGGCTGGCCGAACCGCACTACTACTGATGAAACGTACGGTCATCCGTTCCTTCCCCGCTGTGAAGGTATGTACATGCTCTTCTAACACGTAAGGCCATACCACCGCCTCCGCCCCGCCGCGCTGTGCTGCCTCGCCTCGTGGCGTATGCCGTGGGTGGTGCGGCGCTGTTTTACGGTGGCTCTGTGGCCGCTGCCAAACAGGTGCCTGCCTACCGTTCCTTCTTCCAGGACCATGTGTACGGCGGTGATGCCTTGATCAAGTACTTTGACACTCACGAGCTGAGCGATCTCCCGGAGGAGCTCAAGCACATGGACGTGGAGAAGCAGGTGACTCGCGCGGCGAGCCAAGTGCGTCACGGCTTCCAGCGTGTGAGTGACTATGTGACGCACAACGAACATGTGCAGCACACCCGTGAGGAGGTCGAGAAGCGCACGGCCGAGCTCCAGACGAAGCTGCAAGACCAGCTGGAGGAGCTGCGCGCCAAGGCTGGCGAAGAGTCGGCGCACCTCCTTGACAAGGCACAGTCGCTGGCTGGCAAGTCGTACTCGGAGGCGCGTGAGCACATGAACAAGGCTGTTGACGATGCGCGTGAGCACATCGAGCATGCGACGGCCAACCTGACGGGCCACCCAGTCACGGAGAAGGTCGTGAAGGCCACGACTGGCATTCAGCCGCCGCCTGGGCCGCCAGAGTACGGTGCGACGTACCGGGAGCGCAAGCTTGTGGCGCCAACGGACAACCACGGCGCGCGTCTGCGTCCGGACCCGAGTGCGCCTGTGCTGCCGCGCCTAACGACCTCGGTGAAGAAGATGAGCAGCTCTGAGCCGGTGATTGCGCAGCTGGCTAGCACGATTGACGAGCTTACGGCCTTTGTCAAGGAAACGCCGCACTCTGGTGCGCTGGCGCGTGGTGTGCTGGAGTCGGCGGAGGCCGACCTGGCGCAGCTGAGCAAGCGCCTGGACGAGATCAAGGCGTCGGACGCTGCAAAGCTCGAGAAGCAGCTGGCCAAACAGGCGGAGACGTACGAGGACGAGCTGAAGAAGGCCGCTGAGAAGGCGACCAACGAGCAGGGCCAGCGTGACAAGGACTGGGCCGCGCAGGTAAGCCGTCTGCAGGACGAGCAGGCTGCGCAGTTCAAGACGCGTCTGGCGAAGGAGCTCGAGACGCAGAGCGAGATCATTGATCAGCGCCTCAAGGAAGAGGTGATTGCGCGTGGCATTGAGCTGCAGCGCAAGTGGACGAGCGAGATCAAGGCGCAGGTCGAGCGCGAGCGTGCTGGCCGTCTCGCGCGCCTCGATGAGCTCGCGAAGGATCTGCACCAGGTCGAGGAGCTATCGAAGGTAAATGCGCAGACGCTCGATGACAACATTGGCGTGCACGCACTCAACGGCGCTGTGCGTGTGCTGCGTTCCGCCATCGACGGTGAGAACGCGGCAGAGTCGGCGTACACGCGCCGCACGTTTGCCAACGAGCTGGCCGGTTTGCGCGCGGCCCGCAAGGCGCAGGACAACGACGTGATTGCATCGGCGCTGCATGCGATTGAGCAGAACGGCGCCGCCGAGGCGGGCGTCGAGAGCCTGCCTACGCTCCACGAATGGTTCTCGACGCGCGTTGCGCCGCGTCTGACGAGCGTCGCGCTCATGCCCGAGCAGGGCGCAGGTGTACTGTCGTACGTCGCTAGCTACCTGATGAGCCCCTTCCTGTTTGTCCGCAAGGGCAATGTGCCAGGCAGCGACGTCGCCAGCACAGTGGCACGTGCTGATTGGTTCCTGGAGCGTCGCGACCTCGATAGCGCGACGCGGGAACTGAACCAGCTGCGTGGCTGGGCCAAGATCCTCGTGTCGGACTGGCTGACGGCTGCGCGATTGCGCTTGGAGGTCGATCAGGCGCTCGACATGATCGATAAGGAGGCGGCCTTTGCCTCGATGTTGCACACGTAGAACTAGGCAAGGCAAGTCGGTATCCCCTCCCTCTTCTATGTAGTACGTACGTGCGTACGCAGCTAGTCGGCCAAAGACGCATGCCATGTCGCATCGACCAGCGCATGCAGAGACGCAGCGACCGATTCGTACGCATCGAGCCAGGCCTGCGCTTCGTGGGCCAGAGACGTGGGGCGCGCCGAGAGCAAGAGAAAACGCCAGTACAGGAGCGCACCACGCACCTTGTCCAGCTGCCCACGCTCCACACACGAGACCAGCGTCGCGTGTATGTACGCCACATCGCCGTACCGTGGCGCTTGCGTCGCATGCTGCGTGTACCACTGCCGCAGCTGCGCTCGCAGATCGTCGAGCGTTCGGTGTGCCAGCGCATCGCGACCCTCCCTGGGCGCCACATGAAGGAGCGAGCCAGTGGGCGCCAGCCCCTGCGCTTCGTCCTCACGCGCACGCGCTGCCGCCCACAAAATGGGATCCGTCTCGCGATCTGCGCCTGCCTCGGCCCGTATCCTGGCCTCATGCTGCAACGCCGAGAGCGCCGCTTGCCGACGGGCCGCCGCTTTGGTCATGGTTACAGCACGACGGGGCGGCGCAGCCGCCCGACGTCGTGGGGATCGCTGGGCCTCTGCAAGCACATCCGCCTGGATATCGGGGGGCAGCGAAGCAAACACGTCAGGGTCCCAGCCCAACGTACGCACATCCACCTCGGTCTTCCCACGACGGCGCGTCGGTGAGGCAAAGTAGGCGCCCAGGCGCGTTTGTTTGGACGGGCTCTCACTTGGACTTCGTCGCCGATGGGGCGTGACCGAGGGAGATCGGCTGGGCGTCGATCGCTTGCGCGGTGTCGAGGGCGTTTGGCGCTCCGCCACGACCGCTTCAATACGCTCACGCATCGGCGTAGGCAGGTGCGCTACGACGCTCCATTCCAGTTGCGAAGGGACGTGGAAGAGCATCGAGTCAGAGGACGGCGTCGAGCTCATGCCCACCTCCTCCTCGTGACACGCTGCCTCCGTGTCCACGAGAGTGGCCCTAGGCAGCGGCGCCGGGACGGACGCCGAGGCCTTGGTGACCCAAGCGCGCAAGTCGGACGTGCCCCGCGGCGGCTCCACCAACTTGGACAGGTGGATGGAAAAGCCCCGCACCTCGTTCGGTGCCAGGTCCAATTTGCGCCACAAGAGCCACACTGCTTGGAAGAGACTCGCGACGTGGTCGATCGTACGAGGCATAGAGCGGTGGTGCGTAAGGCACAGCCCGTGACCCAAGAACTTGGACGCCTCCGTCTCCGATGGATCTTTTTGCATGACAGAAATAGACACGTGCGTCGCCATGCGCTGCGTTCGTTGCAAGCGCTGCATCACTTCGTCACACAGACCTTGCACAAACTGCCGCAATTCCGCCTCGTCTTGCAAACGTACACCCCAGCTTACATGCGTTCCGACACTTTGCCGAGGTCGAAGTCCTTGCAGCACATCGGTATCGAGCCCATGAAACTGACGCCAGAGAGTACGTCCTTGCTTCGGGCCCCACTGTGTGACAAAGGCCTCTTCCGTAGTACGTGCGAGAATGGTCCCGATATGCGTCGTACCGAGCCACGCAGCAAAGCGCGAAGCCAGACTTTGGCCCACGCCCCATACATCACGCACATCCAGTGCATGCATAAACGAGGCGACGTTCGCGGCCGTCAAGTGAAACGTCCCTTGGGGCTTGGCACGCCGTGTCGCCAGACGCGCCTGCAAAATGTTCGCACCTATACCGACACTCGCTTCACAGCGTGTGGCCTGCCGAAGGAGCGCACGCAAGGCGTCGCCCAAGGCGATCGCGGGCGGTTGCGTCGATGCATGAAACGCCTCTTCCAATATGCACAGCGTAGGGTGTGCGTCAAACACGCGCGTGCCTTGCTGATGCGCCTCCGTCAACGAAGCAACGATCGAGGTAACATCCAGCAACGCCTCGTCAATGCTGACGACTTGCACGACCTCGGCCACCTGTAGGAGGATTGTGTAGAATTGCAAAGACACAGCATAGTACGCATCAAACGTATACGGAATCGTCACAATGGAAGGACAGAGATGCTTAGCCTGCCGCAGGCTCATGCCATTTCTCAGCCCATGCGCACGTGCATGGTAATTGCAGGATGCCACTTCAGACGTGCTGGATACCACCCCATGGTGGGACGCATGACATACGGCCACAGGCTTGGATTGCAGCGCAGGCTCGTCACGAAGACCTACACTCACAAAAAAACTGTCAAAGTCCACATGCATGAGGAGGCGAGGCCGAGGCGCTGTAGCTGGGATATCATGCGCCCCACTATCCTGCATCGCTTGCGTAACAAGATCTTGCAGACTGGCTTTCCAGGTACTTAGGTGGTGCAGGCGACTGTGTGCATAGTACCCGGCCAGAAAGTCGCGGCTGGCAGCCGTATGTTGTGCCCGCCAGGAGGCAGAGCTCAGTAGTTGCGCAGCACGTTGATGGGGTTGACTGGCATACGCAGGCATAGAAAGCGCTTCGTCTTCCTCGTCCTCGTCCTCGTCCTCTTTCGTAGGGACGCCTGGCGCAGCGTCGGCGGCGTGAGCCGCCTCGGGAGGAGGTGCCACGTCCTCCTCTGCGTGGGGTGCATGGACATCCACATTCTTACGGGAGGCCGTGGCCGTAGGCACAGCCTGGTCCCCTGGCGGGGAGGCCTCGGCCTTCTGGGCCGAGGACGTCGTGGCCTGGTCACCCCACAAGGACCATAGTCCAGGGCGTTGGTGGCCGGGTATACGGTACTTGGTCCAATCTTGCGCTCGACCTGCGGCACAACTATCGACGATCCACGCTGGGAGGACGACGCGGTAGGCCTGGAATTCCACGCACTTTTTAGGCGTAAGGGCACTCGCCACGATATGTGTACAAGGTTTCTTTTGGTCCAAGTAGGCCATGAGCGTGCCGCCATGCAAGACAATCAATCGACGTAGTTCCGCATAGGGTGGCTCAGTGCGTCCGTTGATGTAAATGACACAACCACGCAGGGCTTGAGACAGACAAGTGCCTGCCTCCTCCTCGAGGATCGCCTGCTCTTGTACATGCAACTTGGCTCGCTTGTGGCGCATGTACGTACCCCAGTCGCCAAAAGAGATAGCACGGTAGGCATGGCCGTCCAAGTACTTGTCGTCCGGCGCAGGCGTACGATCCGGAACCGACTGGGCAGGGGGCGACGAGGAGAGTGGCACGGCAGAGGGAGGCGGAGGATCGACATAGACGGAAAAGTCCGTCGGGGAGGCTGCTTCCCCATGGTGAGTCTCTGCACGCTCTAACGCTTCCAGCAAAATGGCCTCATCACCGGAAGGGAAGCTCGATGGCGGTGTACTTGCCATACACCCATACGGTGTGAGGCCTTCGACGCGTCGCTCCTGCAGAGGGTCGTGCGCGGCGTGGGACGTCATGCTGAGTCAGCATGGCCGTGGCCTGGCGGCGCCGAGCGTGCAGGGCGCAGAGGCTCGAACAAACACACCTCTCTTCCCCTTCCCCCCACGTCTTTGCTATGTCGACGAACCCGGCTACTTCGGAACTGAGCTACCTCAAGTCGCTTGTGAAGGAGCTGAACGAGAAGATTGCTGTGCTTGAGGGCAAGCAGTCGACCACCCAGGATGGTGTGCGCATGGTGCTGATTGGCCCCCCTGGCGCTGGTAAGGGTACGCAGGCGCCCAAGATTCTGGACAAGTTCAACAACCTGGTCTGCCACCTGGCCACCGGTGACCTGCTGCGCCAGCAGGTGTCGCAGGGTACCGACCTTGGTAAGGCTGCGAAGAAGATCATGGACCAGGGTGGCCTAGTCAGCGACGAGATCATGGTGGGCATGATCAAGGACCAGCTGGAGACCAACACGGCCTGCAAGAAGGGCTTCATTCTGGACGGTTTCCCGCGTACGACGCCGCAGGCTGAGAAGCTCGACCAGATGCTGGACGAGCGCAAGCAGAAGCTTGACCATGTGATTGAGCTGCAGATTCCTGACCAGCTGCTGATTGCCCGCATTACCGGCCGTCTGGTGCACCCTGGCAGTGGCCGCAGCTACCACAAGCTGTTCAACCCGCCGAAGAAGCCGATGACCGACGACATTACCGGTGAGGCGCTGGTCCAGCGCTCGGATGACAACGAGGAGGCGCTCAAGAAGCGTCTGGTGTCGTACCACAAGCAGACTACTGCCGTGACGGAGTACTACAAGAAGCATGGCATCTGGTCGCCGGTCGATGCTACGCAGTCGCCGAGCGTCGTGTGGAACTCGATCAGTGCCATCTTCGATGGTGCGCGTGTGTAATCATGACGTAGCATCATTTCTAGAGATCTACGTTTCATTGGTAGGCAGGGCCTGGGTATAGGCGCGGACCTGTTCAGTAATGCGCTGGAAAATGGCAAACGTAGGGCTTTGGCGGTACCGCCGAATCGTAGCGTACGTCAGAGCGTGATCGTCAGACGTGGGCGCCTGCTCTGCCTCTTCCCGTGCGTCGTCCAGCACACGCACGAGCGATGGATCGATCGGGACGCGGCCCAGGAACGTGATGCCTTCGCGCTCCGCCAGGGATTCGCCGCCGCCTTTGCCCCACACGTTGGTACATTCGTCGCAATGAGGGCATACGTAGCCACTGAGATTCTCAATCAGGCCGATCACAGGCAAAGACACCTTGCGTGTAAAGTCCAGCGAGCGCATGTTGTCCGACAAGGCCACGGCCTGCGGCGTCGTGACAAGCACAGACACCGGATGGTACGCATGCAACGCTTCCATCAACGAGATGTGTTCGTCGGTCGTGCCAGGCGGCGTATCGATCAAGAGGTAGTCGAGATCGCCCCAACGAACGTCGCCAAGGAACTGGCGCAGCATACCTTGCTTCTTAGGCCCACGCCATACCACGGAATCGTTCTTCGATCGTAGTAAAAAACCGACACTCATCACAGCAAGACACTGCGAGGCGTCAGTGTACACAGGCACCCAGCCATCGGTACTTTGATGCACAGCATGCCCATCCAAGCCCAGCATACGCGGGATGGAAGGCCCCGTGAGATCCGCATCCAGGAGGCCGACACGCAACCGACGTGAGTCAGGCGCCTCCGACAAATGCGCATACGACAGTGACAAAGCCAGCTGTGCCGCCACGGAGGATTTGCCCACGCCGCCTTTGCCGGAGAGCACAAACACAATGTGGCGCACGCGCTTCATGCGCCGATCAATCTTGGGATCCACAGCCGCGCTCATCGTCCCGACCCCACGCTTCGTACGCCACCCACAGGAAGAAGGACTCCACACGCGAAGAGCGTGGCGGCCCAGCGCGCGCTCGCTCGCTCGCTCGTGTCTGACGAACAGACGCCTGCCTCACCCTTGGGCACGTGATGGACACGCTCACAACACGTCGTTCCAACACGACGATGAGGGCGGCTGCCGCGCCCGTGCGGCGTCCTGTGCGTGCAGACGGGAGCACAGGTACCTCGAGGGCTAGCGCGCCGAGTCATACGGAGGAGGCAGAGGCACGTCGGATCGCCGTGCTTGTCGCCCTGGCCGAGTCGTATTTCCATATTCCTGACGATGCACGCGCCGCGACGAGTCCTCCGTCTGCGTCGGCGGCGTCCACATCCGCCTCACTTGCCCCTGATGTGGCCTCAGCGACGCTCTACGCGACGCTCGCTGTAGCGCTGGACGAGATGTCCGTCGATGCGCGGCGTGTGCTGGCCCTGTGTTATCTGATGGGCGGCGCTTCGTTGCTCTTCCCGTTTGCGCCCTCGTCGTTTGGCGACACGCGCACAAATGGCTACCAAGCCCTGAAACCATCGCGGTCCTGCGCTCTCGCTGCTATTCATGTGCTGCAGCATGGCCCCCGCGCCACCTTCAGCGATATGGGCTCGGCGCGTGTGTACGCCTCTGCGTGCATGGCGCTGGGCCGCTTCAAGGAAGCGCAAGAAGCCCTGTCGTTCACAGTCGAGCACGGCACGAAACGCAAACGGGCCACGGCCACGCCTGTGCTGCCCGAGCGCGCCATGTACGAGAGCCAAGTGTATACACAGCTGGGCCGCATGGCGATGAAGCAAGGTCGGTACTCGGACGCCGCGACGCATTTTCGCGACGCACGCGAGAAAGACCCGTGGAATTGGAGTGCATGGACGGCGCTGTGCGATATGGGTACGTCGACTACGCTACTTACCTCAGCTATGGCGCCTCCTACGATGATGGATGCGAACGTATCGATGCCGTCGGCCAGCGACGCCTCGGCCAAACGGAGCAAAGCCGAGCCAGAGACCTCCGCGGCCGCCGCCAAGCCAGTGCGTCGCGTCACGCCTCGCGCCGCTGCGCTGCGGTCCGGCATGGCCCGGACGGTCCCCCCGCCGCCCCGCGATACCAGCGTGCCGCCCGTCCCCCCGATGCCGACCTCGCGCACGCTGGCGACGGCGCGGACCAATGTCACTCGTGTGCCGTCCAAAGACGATACCAATGCCGCGAAGCCCAGCGAGGCACGCCGTGGCGCCACGTCGCATGCCCCACCAGCCTCGCGCCTCGCACGGCCAGCCTTGGCTAAGCCCGAGAGCCGCACAAAGGGTGCCGCGGCCACCGCGGCCACCACCACGTCGGCCCCGGCGCGACCTCGAACGACGCCCACGACCACAACGACGCGACCTGCACCCACGCGGGCAGATACGCCACGCACGCCCCTGGACGACGTGCGTGTATGGGTGGCCGAGCTGGGCGAAGCGTACCGTCTCGTGCGTATGTACGACGGCCAAGCGGCCATTGAGAAACTGTGTGGCCCTGCCCAGCGTGATCGGCCGCACCGTCGGGCGTTTCGATGCGCGGCCGTGGACTGCCTGCTAGGCCGCGCCTTGCACGACGTCACAGAGTACGCCGAGGCGGAAGCGCACTTTGCGCGTGCGCGAGAGCAGGAGCCCTACTTGATGATGCATATGGACATATACTCGCTCGTGCTCTTCCAACTCCATCGCGAAGTCGCCTTGTCGGCGCTCGCCCAGGACTTGGTCGCGATGGATCCACGCGCAGCTGTGACACACATGGCGGCAGGCAATACGTGGTCGCTCCAGCATCAGCATGACGCGGCCTATCAATGCTTCCGCCAGGCGACATTGGTCGCGCCGGAGTGTGCGTATGCGTACACGCTAGCCGGCTACGAGGCACTGGAGCTCGAGCAGCCAGCGCGCGCCGTGCGTCTCTTCCGGTGTGCACGTCGCTGTGATCGGCGGCACTGGAACGCGCTGGCCGGCTTGGGCCAAGTGTACCTGCGCCAGGGCCATGCAGCCCGCGCTTGTGAGGCGTATGCACAGGCCTTTCTCATCAACCGCAGCAATGCCGTCCTGCTGGACTTGCTGGGATGGTCGCTCGAGCAGACAGGCGACATCGATGGCGCCTTGGCCGTGTACCAACGTGCGATTGCCATGCAGCCCAAAGCTGCGATGACACGCCTGAAAAAGGCCCAGCTCTTGCTCAAGACGGTGCGCGAGGCCAAGCAGCTAGGCACGCCCTTGCCGCTGCGTGAAGAGACGCAGCGCCGTCAGGCTGCCCATAGCGAGCTGCTGCGCGTCTGTGCATTGGCCCCCGCGGAGCCACGCGTGCATCTCATGCTCGCACGCTCGTACATGCGTCTCGGCGGCGGCCGCTTTGCTACGTCTGCGGCCACACCGGACGAGCGCGATGCGTCGATCTCCGAGGTGCGTGAAGAGGCGCAGCTGCCTCATGCCTTCCATACGGAAATCGCGCATCATCTCGCCACAGCGATCGATTTGGATCCACGCTGCGTTCGTGATATTAGCGCCCTGGGCGACGTGCCGAAACTGGCGCTGCCAGGGATGGGCGGCGCCGCGGTGGCCGAGGACGAGGACGACGAGCACGATGCGGATCTCCTGCCGTTCGACGACGAGCATGCGCCGTCCTATGCCAGCTACGAGGCAGCGCAGCAGGACATTGACGTACTCGACGAAGACGAGCTCGATGGCTACGCGTGGATGTAAGGAGGGGGCATATGGTTATATAGCTAGCTAGTGCACTACCTAGCGAGTCAGGTGGTCAGCATAGATGTTGGAGGCAATCTCCATTTCGGCACGGTCGCCATTCGCAAGGAGCTTTTCCTTGTTGTAGAAAAGCTCTTCACGCGTCTCCGTAGCAAACTCGAGCGTCTGGGTCTCGACGATCGCATCCACAGGGCACGCCTCCTGGCACATACCACAGTAGATGCACTTGGTCATGTCGATATCGTAGCGGGTCGTACGGCGCGAGCCGTCCGCACGCGGCTCACTCTCAATCGTAATTGCAAGCGCAGGGCAGATCGCCTCACACAGCTTGCACGCAATGCAGCGCTCCTCGCCCGTCGGGTAGCGACGCAGCGCATGCTCACCACGGAAGCGCGGGCTCAGCGGGCCCTTTTCGAAGGGGTACTGGATCGTGTATGGCGGACGGAAAAAGTTTTCCAGCGTGACCCAAAGACCACGCACCATCTCGGAAAACAGGAAGAGGTGGCCGGCCTTCTCCAGCGCACTCGGGCCCACATTGTAGTCAGGCTCCATCTTCGGCGGGCGCACCGCGGGCGAGCGCGGGCGCTGCTGCAAATGGTCACGGTGCACATTCAGCGTGTCGTGCACTGGCGACACATGGAGCGGGCCCGTGGTGCCCTCTGGCTCCACAGGATGCGCACGCGCACGCACGCTCAGGATGGAAAAGGTACGCATAGACGGCATGATCGGCACCGGTGCAAGCGCACGCGGCAAAGTGCGAGCAAATAGCATCGACGACGCCATAGTCCTCCCTCAGTAGGCAAAAGCGGCGAGAGAAACCTAGCACGGCAGCAGCAGCGTCTGGGAAATAGCGCCTCCCTCATTGGCGCTCGTCAGACGGGGCCCGTCGACGTCGTCGGCCGAACCGATCGTGTGTCTCACGTGGATCCACACCGCAACGCGTACGGCTGGCTAGAGACCGAGCGCAAGGCCCAATTGGGCACTGACACCAATTGTATGTGGTTGCAGGTTCGGTGGACGCCCACCAGGTCAGCTAGCCCCACAATCGTCCCCAAGGCGGCGCGGCGCATGCACCTATCGCCCCCTCTCATGAACGAGAGCAAGCCAGGATTCAAGCACCAAGCAAGCGATGATTCCTCGGGCACCGTAAGGCTTTGGAATACGCACTATGCCCCGTCATCGTATAGCAACCCCGCATATGCCAGCAGTACACAGAGCAGCGACGATGACGATGAAGAGATAATGGCACAACTGCGCGAAGCCCGAAAGCGACTGGAATCGACACAGCTGGACGATACGTGCCTGCTGGGCCAGGACACAGACCTCATCGCAAAAACGCCACAGGCCTACGACGCTTTTGGACTTGTTAAAAATAGCTCGTTCAAGCTATCGCGATTACGCATTGATCAGCAGGGCGAGGGCGACCCGCCAACGAAAACGTCCAAGTCCCCACCTAAAAATACGGCACCAGACCTCACCCTCAACTTGAAGGATTTGCCGTTTGTTGCCCACATCGAAAATGAACGACGACGGCTCAGCGATGGCTCCATGTCGTCAACGATCTCGGACTTGGACGACCCAACAGCGCTAGAAAGATGGCCCAGGGTCCTAGCCTCGGTGCCTTCGCAGTACTCCGGCTCCAAGTTCGGCTTGGCGCCCTACATCGAGCTGGAACGCAGCGAGTGGACGTGGCACGGGGAGCCGGCTAGCCCCACATCCTCCAGTGGCCACCGCCTGTCCCTTCCGCCGTCGGAGGCATCTGACGTGGAAATGCCGACGCTGGAGCGCGCCAATATGGAGTGGGATTGGGCATTGGGAGGCAGCACGGCAGCCCCCACGACATCCACGGACTTGCCGGCCCCCATGCCGTCCTAACAGGCTTGTCCTGTACGATACCTAGCATGTATGGCGGGGCCACGCAGCCATACGTCGCCTACGCATTTTTGTTGTATATGTCACCTTGTAGATGTATTGTGGATATGTGCATACGAACCTATGTGAACGTCGCGTGCCAACGCTCTTCAACCGCAGGCGGTAGGTAGGCATCCACCCAGGCACGCGCCACGGCACGACGTGCTTGAGCTATGTCTTCGTCTCGTGGGAACGCTGGGAGTGAGCGTGCGATATGGGGCTCCAATGCCTCTGTCGCCTGTGTGCAGAGCCGCTCCACCTTGGTATTCAGCCACGCCTGCATCTTGGACCAGTCCAACCGGTAGACGTGCCCATCGGTCGTGTTGGGCTCGGCTTGCGTCGTACAGAGGCGCTCCAGGTGCGTATGCATGCTAGGCAGTGCGACAAACAACGGGAGGTCCGGCCAGGATGTGTGCCGCTCTTCGTTGTTTTGCTGTGCTGCCATGGCCTGCGCGCGCCGACGTACGTGAAACTCGGTCGCAGCCTCGGCCCAATCGTCCAGCGGCCGCATGCGTCGCTCATCGTTCGTCGATGCAAGGATGCCTAGCAATACAAATGCTGGGTCGATAGGACTAAAGATACGCCATGCACCGTCTTCCACAATGTAACCGTGATCAGCATCGGTAGGGGTATGAGCGGAGGACGAGGGCGCAAGGAACCAGCTGCGACTGACCGCCTTGTCCGGCCGCGTGCTTAAAAGTTCGTACATAGTCGAATCCTGGTCAGAGAGGGCGAAGTAGGCGGGTGCGCCGGACCGTGGGTGAGGCAGGACCCAAATCCGCGTGGATGCCAAGCCCAGCTGCGCTGGGTATACCAGCGCCCACGGAGGCCGTGACGACGTGCTTGGCGCCGCGCTCTCGGTGGCCTCCATGATGGGAGTCATGTGGAGGGACCTGCAGCCGCCGCTGTGTCGTTGTGAAAAGGGCCGCTTTTGGCCCAGAGTGCCTGCCACCTGTGAGGCCGGCGGCGGCGGCGCGGGGAACGTCCCAGATCTCGCCATGCGGCCTACCATGTTTCTGTTTAAGCAAAAAATATGGATGCATAGTGCGAATATGTAGGAATGTATATCATGTATAGACGGTGCCGACACGAGTTCCATGGCGGCCAGGGGGATGAGGAGGGAGGCGGACAGAGGCGATCGGTAGGCGAGCCCCTCCAGCCCGAAGAGGCAGCTCTATCTCTCTCCCTTTTAATGGTGCGAGTACTGGCGCATGTTCGACGTCATCGAGTCGCTGCTAAACACATTCATCGGGTTGACAGGCCCAGCGGGGCGGAAGTACGAGCTGCCCTGCGCAAAGGAGCGAGCTGAGCTGAACACAAATTCGCCTGCCGAGAGGTAGTAGTGCAGCGCGTTTCGGATGTTGGGCTCGGTAATGTGCGTCGTATCAATGGACATGCCCGACGACTGCTTCACACCCGCGAGGATGGTCGATACGAGGATGGCATCCGCTGCGTAGTGCATCAATTTGCCCATCATGGTGGCTAGGGTCGAACCAACACGCTGTGCCACGTGACCCTCTCTCGCTTCGTCTGCGAAGAGCTCCGGAGAGATCCCCCGCACGGATGTCGCGCGTACGTGTGCGGATCGGTACGCAGGCCGAGCTGCAAGAGGCAGCGCGGCATCGGATTACCTTGCGGCATACAGAGACAGGCGATCTACATGCGCTATGTACGTACGCCATCTCTTCTCACACACGCAGTGCTCTTCGCTGTCGCCTCCGCCTCGTCTACGACGTCGCCGACGTACTACTGCATGGAAGCCACCTGCCCCCACTTGGGCGCGCCGTTGGAAAAGGGCCACCTCCAGCCGGCGCCGGATGACGTGGAAGATTTCGTCGTCGTATGGTACGTACTTATGGCCTGCCTGACGCAGTCCGTATGTATCACAGGCGTCTCCTTACGCAGATGGCACGTACGTATTGCCTCTACTCACAGCAGCAATATGACTTTAAACTAAGCACGGGCGAATCTTCGACAGGCATGCGTACGTGTGTGTACGCGGTGGATCGGCGTCCTGACGGCACCGTGCTGATGGAGCCGCCTACGTCCGACGTGCAGCGCGATGGCACCTCGGTGTGGCAGCTGCACTCGTGCGTGGCAGTCCCCGAAGGTACGTACCGAACAGACTTACGCAGACTATGCCCGCCTCCCTCCTAGCACCACCGTCTCGACTCCTCCGTTAACGCTGGCGGCTTTGGGAGACGCCTCGTCGTTTGATCCTGCGTCGGTGCCTCCGCCGTCCACCGTGCCTACGACGCTCGTGGCCTGGGCCGTCCTGATCCTCCAAACGCCCTCGCCCCTGCACAAAGTGGCCTACACGCGCATGGCCTACGAGGCCTTCCAGCGCGACGATACCATGCCCATTGGCGGCGGCGCGTGGGACGATACAGGCGCATGGAGCATACCTACGGACGAGCAGCCGCCAGCGTGGCCGCCCCGCATGTCTGACGAGGACCGCGTCGAGCCTGGCCGCGAGCCGCGACGCGGTCGTGGCGGCACGGAAAAAAGCCGCATCGCGCTCCTTCACGCCCTCGCGAACATTGAGCAATGGGCGATTGACTTGGCTTGGGAGTACGTACGGGGGTCCTAACCTGACGCAGCATCATTGCCCGTGGCCCGCATCTCAGTGCCCAACTTGCCCAGACAGCGACCGAGCGTACTCCAGCCAGCCCCTTACCTCGAGCGTACTATGCAGACTTTTGTCGCGTTGCGTACGACGAGGCCAAGCACTTTACGCTCCTGCAAAAGCGGCTTATCGAAATGGGCAGCTATTTCGGCGCGTTGCCCGTGCACCATGGCCTATGGGAATCGGCCGTGGAAACGTCTCAGGACCTGCTCGCACGTTTGTGTACGTATACCCAGGCCTCACACTTTAGCCATTGTGCATTTGGTTCATGAGGCACGTGGTCTTGACGTGAACCCTGCCACCATCCGCAAATTCGAGGCGGCCGGCGATGCACGCTCCGTGGAGGTACGTCTCTACGAACTAACGCCAGTCCCTTCGCATCATCCACCTCGATGAAATTACACATGTCGCAGCCGGTCATCGATGGCTCACCTTCTTGTGCGAGACGCTGTCGCCGCCGCGTGTGCCTGTGGAGGTATTTAGGTCGGCCGTGCAGCAGCATTTCGTCGGGCGCTTGAAAGGGCCGTTCAATGTCGCAGATCGGGCGCAAGCTGGCCTTACACGCGACTGGTACGACCATCTGGATGGCGCACCGTCGCAGCGGATGGGCGTCCAGCGCCAGGAAGTGGCAGGGGGCTAAGGCTCGACCCCCTCCCATTCCGTGTCGTACGACTGCTGCGCCGCGAGGTCCAAGGGTGTGGTCAGATGCGCCGCCTCGGTCCGAATACGCTGGCGTTTCGACGGCGGCGTGGTCGGTGGCGCTGGTACAGAGGTTGGGACATCGGCATGCCATTGCAGCCAGAGCGCCTGCTCCGCGGGCGTACGTAGGTACATATTCATTTCGTCGTCCTCAAAGAGACGCGCATCCACATCCTCGTCGCTCATCGCCTCAATCGCAGCACCATGCAAGTTTAATCGATCGGCCATGGACGTCGTAGTATACGTTCGTGGCGTTCCACGTCGCTGCACACCAAACGCCTGCATCCATGACACACCGTGATTCGAGGCGATATGCTGCTCGGCCCACAACAGGGCGTCGCGCATGTACATCGCTACATCCGCCCGCGATACACGCCGTGCGCCGTCGGACGTGCCACGCGCTCGGGCCCGATCACGATCACGCTCTCGCTTGAGCTTCGGACGGTGGGCGACCCACGGCAACGCTTCGACTTGGCGCGCCAGGCATCGCTCCAATTCCGCATAGCGTACCAACACCGTAGAAACAGACCCTTGCGCAACAGCGCTGACCCACCAACCATGCGGCGCCGGACGCTCCGTGGCGAGCGGCAGCATCGCAGCGAGAGGTCGTACGCGGACCGCACGCCGACTTGCCCCTTCGACGGCGTGGATCACCATCGCATAGGCCAGCGAGGGCGCATCCCAATGGGACGGCGTCTCGTACGACAAACATACATGCGCCAACTGTGTCGCGATGGTCTGCACATCTGTCCACGAAGGCAGGCGCGCGACGTGAAGACCCAGTGGCTGCGCAAGCGACGTAGGCGGCTCAATCGATGCCAGGTACGAGACAAAAATGGGTATATACAGCGCTGGATCTTGGACGTGGACTGTGGGCACTTGCGAGAACGCACGCAACGATTGACACGCACGCACCACCGCCGTGTACGGCACATCCGTCGCGATGGCAATGGTCGCTACGTCGACCATGCGATCATCTCGACGCAGCACAGCATAGAGAATCGCAGCAGCCAAGGCCATCGCTGCTGTTCCCCAGCGTGGCATCGACGGCCGATCTGCGAGCTGCTGGTTGTGCGCCGTAGTGAAGAGCGCCATGGCGGAAGAGGCTGCATACGCATACCCTAGACGGATGGCAGCGCTTTGAAGCCTTGCCTGAATCTGCGCACGGTGGCGCTGATCTCGCACGACACGAGCTGCGTCGCGATCGTACGCATGTGGCCATCGCTGTTGCGCGGCCGATGTCCACACTGAGGAGGGGGATGTAGGTACTGTGGAATCAGGTGCATCAAGCGTAGCCTCATCTACAATGGCCGCACATGCGCCACACACATACGCATGCGCCTCAGCGATCCACTGTACGGTACCTGCCTGTCTGCATACAGGGCACACCGTGTCCATCTCCGCTCATGGTGGGTGGAGGTCCAGCGGCCGACCGTAGCGAGGGGCGTGGCCTGCGCGCGCGCCCACCTACCTACCCACCCAGGCTCTTCCACAGTATCACGTGATCCACATCGTAGCGGCCCCGGTCCGCCTCTGTCGAACCAACCACTTGTGAGCATTTACCAAAGCATGGCGGCCATGGCTCTGCGACAGACTGCCCGCACGCTCCTCTCGCGCCGCGTGCCTGCGATGTCTCTTGCGCGTACGCAGGCAATGCCTGTGCGTACGCTCATGAGCACGGCGCAGACTCGCTCGGATGCACTTTTTGTGCACCGCGACACACCAGACAACAACGCCTCGATTCCCTTCAGTTTCAACGAGGAGTTTATGACGATGGCCAAGGAGATCATTGCTAGGTACCCACCTCAATACAAGAAGGCGGCTGTGATCCCCCTGCTTCACCTGGCTCAGAAGCAGAATGACAACTGGCTGCCCCTCAATGCGATGAACTATATCGCAGACTTGTTGGAGATGCCCGCGATGCGTGTGTACGAAGTGGCTACGTTCTACACCATGTACAACCGGTACGTCTTGTCTTGACTAACTCGGAAGCGACCCTGTCGGCAAGTTCTTTGTGCAAGTGTGCACTACGACGCCCTGCATGCTCGGCGGTTGCGGCTCGCAGGCCGTGCTTGAGGCCGTGGAAAAGCACCTGGGCGTGAAGGCCGGCCACACTACCAAGGATAAGAAGTTCACTGTGATCGAGGTCGAGTGCCTGGGTGCGTGTGCGAACGCGCCCATGGTCCAGATCAACGACGACTATTACGTATGTACTGGATGGAAAAGCCCTACTAACCGAGCAGGAGGACCTCACGCCTGAGTCGATTGTCAAGGTCCTGGAGGGCCTGGCGCGTGGCGAGAAGGTGAAGCCCGGCCCGCAGAACGGTCGCCTGACCTCGGCGCCGGACAAAGAGAAGCGCACACTCACAGAGGAGGTATGTCATTAATGTTGGGAGGGCATGGAATACTCACACTACATAGCCGTACGGCCCTGGCAAGTTCTGTGTGCCTGACTTTGCGTAGAGGAGGAGCGTCGCTTCTCGGTTCTCGTAGATAGATGTGGCATGGTAGCCTAACGTTCTCGAGATGGTATGCTGCTACGTGGGTGGTGATCTATGTCTTGCTTGCTTAGCGACGTGGCCTCTGCCCTACCATGATGGCGGTGCTCGTAGCCTTGCATCGTTTTACCTCGCGCCATAACTGAGGGATCCATGGGTCTTATTGGGCAGTCACGACTTAGTATTTTTTTGGCAGACCACTGCCTCTCAGCGCAGGGTGGAGTGGCGCCAATCAGGGTCGAAGTTGGGCTTCCTCACGTGGGCTTAGTCACTTCCAGGGCCAGACACCGATCAGCGCGGCCGGATCGTGACGTTCGCTCGTGGAAGGTCCTCTGTGGGTGCTTGAGCCACGCCCTATGCTACCAACAGCTCCCTGGATTCCGGCTGGCAAGAAGCGAACGTTGAGTCCTGCGGGCGACTCATCGCCTTGTCAGCGAGATGACCGCTGTGCATGGCCTTTGCATGCTCTACCGATGGTATGTACGATCGTGGCCACTGTTCCTAACCAGCAGCGAGGTCGGCGACGCACGCAATCGCCTATGTACGACAACCGTGTGCGGCGGTGCCAAGACTCGTCCATACCCACAGTGGCTCTACCACGGGATAGCGACGAGTATGCTTCTTCGTACATGGTCGAGCCTCCCTTCTACCCAGGCCGTGGCCCTCCTGCTACGATGCCGGACCTCGCTGTGCCACTGCGCAGCAACCCGTATTACTCTGCCGCTGAGACCGAGTCGATGGAGTATGCCCACAGTCTTGGCCTGGTACATCCACCTCCCACGTTCTTCCATGCAGAGCCGCCGTTGGATACGACGACGGGGCCGGCTGGTGTCCCTCCCTCGCCTGCACGTACTTCCTCTCCAACACGCTTTACTGCGTCGTTCTCCGGTCTCCCCATGCATCAATTTGAGCAGCGCTTACACGCCCACGTCTCCTCGCATCATCATCCTACCCTCGATCCTTCCGCATGCACATCGCTCTTCCATCCACTGCCAACAGAGCAGCACGACGCTTGGTCGTCTCCCTCCTCATCGTCGTCTTCGTCCATGGGACTCTCTTAGTCCATCTACCATATCCTGTGTATACCCTGAATTAATAATGGTACAATCGATGGGCAGCTCGCCCAGTGAGTGCGCGACTTCCTGTTAGCTTCTCTTTTCCACGTACGTAGTATCCAGCTGCGCCAGCAGCGAGGCCACAAACACATAGTGGGGCAGTACCATCATGCCCCATTGGCACGCATCGACACGGCTCAACGTCTTGCGCACCACATACGACACCTCCAAAGCCTTATCACGGTTATCACGCGGACCCGTGTTCGCATCCACCGCATACTTCGCCACGAACGAATTGCGGATGGGGCCTGGAGCCACTAGGAGGAAACGCACACGCGCACGGCGCTGGTTGGTGCCTGGCACGATCGTGCCAGCCTGCGACTCACACTCCAAGTCCATCGAACGCACGAGGAAGTGCTGCGACGACTTGGTCGCGCAGTACACAGCCCGTGTCGGCGCAGGAATCAGGCCTGCCACAGAGCCGATAGCAATCACGGCAGGGTGCTTCGACGTGGTTTGCAGGACGGGGATCAGCGCTGCCAGGACAATGGCCGTGCCTTTCAGGTTGCCCTCGTTGCTTTGGTCGACTGTCGCACCGATACTGTCCAGGCCTTCTTGTGTGGGATGCAAGGCGTTCGTCGCCGAGCCATTTGCGTTCACGTCGCATGGATCGACATTCGCCAGGCCCAGGATCGGCAGGATCGATGTGACGCCAAACACAACGTGCAGCGTATCCAAACCGCCCCACACGCGCATGATCTTCTCACGCAGGGCGATCACGTCGCGCGATTGTGTGAGCTGCGCAGCCACGACAAGAACTTCGGCATCTGGCGCTCGCTTTCCCTTGGTCGCCTCCAGCATGGCCCTACGAACCTCTTCCAAGGCCTCTTGACGGCGGCCCACAATCATAATACGGCGTGTGCCTCGTTCCAGGTATTGCTGGAGGAAATTGGCGCCCAGGCCATCCAGTGTCGAAGCGCCGAGAATCACGACACGTTCGTCGGCCGGTCGGACTACCTTGGGCCGGCTCTGTCGTCGGAGGGCATGGACGAGCAGGTGCACGGCCACCAGAGCCACCACCGCTGTGACAATCTTGCTCTTGGCGAACATAAAGAACCCTTGATCGAAGCCGGCTTCCAGGGGCCTTGCCGTGCGGGGTCAAGTGGTCAAGTGTGGAGCACGCGTTCGTAGAAGCCGGTGGTCGTGCGTGCCCTGGCGGCTGACTAAATGCACTTTTTGTCCCTAAAAAAAAGCAAGCGCTCGCTCAATTTGTCGTGGGCGCGGTACGATCGAACGCACGCCACGACGACCAACGTGATGGGCCGCTCCAACGATACCCCGACAGGGGGCTTTGAGCCGCCTGCCGGGTACTCGATGGCACACCTTGTACATGACTTGCCGATGGATGGAAAAGAATTGTGGGTCATCCGTCTGCCGGATGGCATCGATACCCAACAGCTGGACGGTGTGACTATGCCGCTGAGCATGCTAGAGCAAGAAGCGCCTGGTACCCTGGCCTCTATTACGGTCTCCGACGATGCTATGTACGATGTTCATGTCGCAGCACAGACCACGTCCGAACGTGCGGCTTCTGGTTCGTCGCAGCTGATTGATATGGCTGGGCCGTCACCCGGCGGCGTTTTTTTGGATCCCTCGTTCCTGAGCACATCGAAGAGTGCTGGTGTCGCCTCGGAAATGATTGGGATCACGGCACTGGTACCACAAGACGATGGATCGCTCTCTATGATGCCCATTACTCGCCGGCTATTTTTGGCACGGCAGGCCCCGCCATCCAAGCGTCGCACAGAGATCTCCACGGCGCCGCCTCCGAAACATACCCAGCCATGGGATCGTTTGAAAGGTTCCTTCCGTCCTACAGGCTCGATTCGCCCATCCTCTTCCTCCTCCTCCTCCTCTCAAGCTATGGCTGTGGACGAGGCTGACACCACGGCATCGCATAGCAAAAAGAAGAGCAGCAAGTCTTCGAAGGATACCGACAAAGCCGAGAAGAAGCGCAAGAAGCATACGAATGATGAACCAGCCAAGAAAAAACAGAAACAGTAGAATGATATGCTATAGACATGCCTATTCCTCGTCATCTAGGAATTCCTCAGGATCGACTGTGCCCAGTTCCTCGGCGATATCTGCCATCTCTTCGTCGTCATCGATGTCCTCTTCCTCCTTGATCTCCTCCTCCTCGATCTCCTCGTCGTCGATTTCCTCGTCGTCGATTTCCTCGTCGTCGTCTTCGTCCATATCTTCATACTCAATCACGACGAGGCCCGAGGCTAGGACGTAGACGATCGGGCCGATCAATGCCGTAGCGAGCCACAACCACCGACCATACCGCAGGGTAGGAGCCAGGGGTTTCGCGTCTGTCGCCTCAGATGACGGCGTGGATCGGGTCAACCACGAGGGGGTGAGACTCTCCCGCAACGACGACCATGTCGGCCAAGTCCACGCCGGCGGCTGGATATCCACGTCGCTGCGGAAGGCCCACGTACGCTGCTCTTTACCCCATAACAGCGCGTGCATACGCTCCGTATGTGCGACCAACGAAGGAAACTCTTCGCGGAGCAGCGCAGGGAGCACATCAATGGGCCATGTCGCATACAGTAAAGGCGCCAGGAGCGAGTACAGACGTGCATCGACAGACGACGGCGTCGACGTATGCGCAATATAGTCTTGATCCAAGTATACACACACGGCATGGCAAACGCCACGAGCTCGCGACGCCAACCGCGAACGTTCCCACTGCTCACGGACGTCGGAGGCGAGGCTCGGGTTCGCTGCAAATCCCGTGCGCGGCAAGTGTGAGACGGGATCGCGTGCTTGCGGCAAGCCTGCCGACATGTTCCAGCGCTGGGCTTCCAGCATTTCTTCGCGCTCCCAGGAGCCGCCAGCGCCCCACAAACGAATGTGCGGACTCTCAAGCCGGGCTTGTACAGCCGCACGGAGACGCCGTGGCAAAGACGAGGGCCATCGTGAGCGTGTACGTACAATCGCTGGACATGTGACCTTTTGGAAGTTGGGTGGCAAGCTAAACATGGTATGCAGGACCAAGTCACTTAGGACGTCGTCCAGGAGGGCATGAATCGCCTGCGCTTGCGCTGCGCTCTGTGCATCACGAAGCAGCTCTCGATCGAGGGAAGTATGTTCGCGCAAGTACGTGCGAATCTCCACAGGGGTGGATGCGAGTGTATCTGCGACTTGCTGTGGCGCCTTCTCATCGCCAGCGCCGCCGGACTGGATGGTGTACAGCGATGGCACGGCATCGGTATGGAACCAGGACGATGGCGCAGCAGTGTGGGCCTCTGGTACGTCCGCCAGCTGCACAAGGGCTATGGCGTACAGCGACGCTGGGTCGAGGGACGGCAGCGCCGCTGTACCGCCCCAGGCACTGACGGCCAACGGCGGAGGGGCAGTGGGCATCTCGAGCAAGACGATGATGTCAGGGTGACCGTGGCCTTTTCCCTGAGTTGGCGTGTCTCCATATTATTGGCCACATATAAACTTACGTGCGCATAGGACCGTCGGTGGCCTGGGCGTGCGCAGGCACCGCCAAGGCGTCTTGTTCTCCTGCGGTCATCTCGAGCACGATGTCTACCGAGCACCGAGCGAGTTTCCAGATCACGGACATTGATGATGATGGTGTGCCACCGGAGCTAGAGGAAGCCGAGTCGCGCGAGATAGCGAAGCAGGAGTCTGATACGCCCGTGCGTCACTTGCGCATTGACTGGCCCAGCGCTTCGATCAAAGGCCGCTATGCGATCGGTGCTAGTGTCCCGGATATGCGGCCCCCTCTGTACGATATGCCGAGCCACAAGGATATGGCTGAGAATGCTTCTTCAGCTGTGTTCCTGACCAAGTCCAGCCCTATCAATGCCACCGTGCATGTGCTACATGGCCAGGGCCAATCGGCGACCCAAGCTCTCAAGACCATGCCACCACCGGAGCCGGTGAACCATTTGCAGCTCCTCAAGACGGTCCGCAACAATACCGTCTTGATCGAAGGACGCTCGTCGCGCAATTCCGTATGCCTGCACGTGCCTGCGTACGTGGGCCGTCGACCGCTGCACATCAAGGCGCATACACAAACTGGCAACGTCACGGTGATTCTCCCACACTCCTTCAATGGCGTAATTCAGTGGCATGTTGAGACGGGCACCTTCCACATGTCGCCCAACGCGGCCTCGCATTGCCAACGCTTGGACTCGCACCAGAGCAAGCGGCATGGCACCGCCAAGTTTGTGGTCGACCCAGACCTGCCGGCCTGGATGACTGCACATGGTCGACGAGGCGATATCTGTGAACTCTATGCCAACACAGGCCGCTTGTACGTGTGCATGAGCGGCGAGAAAAAGCCATCTGGCGCACAGGGTTGTGTTATTTGCTAACGACGTCTCTTTTATGCCGAGCTACGGGGAAACAGCGGTGCGATCTTCTCTGTCGCACGCCGGAGCGGTACCTGAGCTTGCAGCGTTGACAGCGAAGACCATGTCCGCTGCGTCTCTGGTACTTGAAGGACATCCAGCAGTGTCTTCATCGCCTCGGGCATCACGGGCTCCAACAGGCATCCACACACACGCAATACTTCCATTGCGAGGAACACACATCGGTGCACAGCTTCCGTGGATGTCGTCGCAGCCCACGGGGCCGTATGTTGCACATGTTCGTTCGCCAGCCCAATCACATAGAACGCGGCATTGACCGCCTTAGACAATTCCCATTGCCGCTTATGCGTATCGAAAACGTCGGGCAGCGCTTGCAGCGCGTCCACCAACGTGCGATCGTCGTCAGTCCATGCAGGCTGCGGGAGCATCGCGCCTTCGCTTGCAAGTCGCGTTTGGATTTTCGGCGCCATGACCCTGGACAAGAGATTGCCCAGCTGACCCTGCAAAAACTTGCGCTTGTGCTCCTCCAGAAGCGCTGGCGCATAGTCCGCATCCGTCCCGATGTTGCCTCCGATGCGCATGAGATAGTACCGGATTGTATCGATGCCATACTTGTCGATAGCCTCAAACGGATTCACAGAGTTGCCTTTCGACTTGGACATCTTCATCTTGTTCACTGTCCAGTGCGAATGCGCGACAATGGTACGGGGCACCGGCAGGCCCACTGCCATAAGAAGCGCAGGCCAGTAGATCGTGTGGAATCGCACAATGTCTTTGCCGACGACATGCACGTCGGCCGGCCAGCCGTACGGCGTGGATGGATAGCCTAGCGCCGTGATATAGTTGACGAGCGCATCGACCCACACATACATCGTATGCGCGTCGTCGTTCGGTACAGGAATTCCCCAATGCAATCGGCTGCGTGGCCGCGACACGGACAAGTCACTCAGACCCGCACGGACTTCCGCTAGAATGTGCTCGTACATCGACGCAGGCTGAATCGCCTCTGGATTCGCTTCGAGCCAGGCCAGGAGCGGCTGCTGGAATGCCGAGAGCCGGAATTTGTAGTTCACTTCCGTCATCCACTCGACACGCTGTCCAGACTCGATGGACTCATAGTACGTCTCCGAGTCACTCAAGACTTCACGCACTTGCGATGCAGGGTAGAACGCCTCATCAGATACAGCATACCATCCTTCATGATGTCCTTGGTATAAATAGCCGCGTTCTTGTAGAATAGACTAGCATAAGTAGACGTATACGTACCCAGAAATGCTGGACGGCCTGGGTATGATCCGCGTCGGTCGTACGGATAAACCGAGTGCATTCAATGCGCCCAGCTTGGTTCAGTGCCTAAGGTAAGCATATGCGTACGTACACGAAACCGCTCGCTCACACGGTCACATAGAGCGCGTGGCTCGATGTTTTGCGCCTCGGCTACACGCTGGATCTTCATACCATGCTCATCTGTGCCGGTCGTCAGGCGTGGCTCGATAGTCCCTTCGCCGCGCGGGCCTAGGGGAGACCATCCATCGTACCGAAGCTTGGCATATCGACGCAAGACATCCGCCATAATGCTCGAATGTAGATGGCCAATGTGCGGCTCTGCATTCACATAGTAGATCGGCGTCGTGACATAGTATGGCTTGGATGTGGTTGCGTACGTACGTGCACACAACCTCGCTCCACGCACGAGGTCAGCAACTCGAGGCCATGCCATGCTGCCTCCCCCTTCGTCTCAGGCGGCGTAAAGCCAACCCTCGCACCCACGCGAACGACCTGTTCTTCGCTTGCACCTCCACATTCACACGTCCTTCATTATCAACCTACGTAGTATTATTATTATATTAGTGCCTCTGTACATTCGCCACGCGTCTGCCCCCACCTTTGTGTTCATGGCTTGCCCTTGAGATGCAAATCCTGTTGTGAAAGGGACCTGGCATGGTGGTGACTGTGGTGGTGGTGGTGGTGTGCATGTCGATGGTATCCATGCCGGCCCATGGCAGTGTAAGCATGCGCCTTTTCCTGCGCGCCAAGAGCAGGTCCCTCCCATGAGGCAGGAGGGCGGCTTGGTGTCCCGCACCATGGTGTAGCCTCGCGTGGCATGCAGGAAGGCGGGGAGCCATGCGACGTGAGCGGCGGCGGAAGTGGCGGCGCTGGCGCTGGCGCTGCGTACATAGGTGGCTCGTAGTACATATGCATATGACACGCACGTGCATGCCAGGGTATCCATGGCCGCCAAGAACGGCACCACATATCATGATGGTGATGGTGGTGGTGGGGATGTGCATGCATCGGGCCACCCGCCTTACTCTCCTCCTTTGTCGGTGTCGACGCACGGGGCATCGCACCTCCTTCGCACTCGTCGTCATGACACAGTTCTTGCTTGCCAAGCTCTGGCGACGTTTCGGCTGTTTCCTCCGACTTCACTTCAGAACTCTCACTTGTGCCGGGGCTACCACGCGCACACTGCGCCTTGTCTGGATGCACGGCGAGGCAATGCGCATCGTCATCACGCTCAGCGGTGATGGGCAGCTTGGGATCACAGCTACACTGCGCCTCGTACGCTTTGAGCTTCGCACGAAGCTCCATCACATAATCGACCGTATGAGAGATAATACACAGCTTTTCCAGGACCATATCGGACGCAATCCGTTCACTCATTTCGGACTCCCCCATAGGCGCTGCGGCATTCTTCTTCTGTAGGTACTCGCGTGCCTTTTCGCGGCAGGCCGGCACTGTGTTTTGCAGACAAACGAGCCGATCATTGATCTTCTCACGGCGGCGGCGCTCGATGATTGAGTGATCTGTCTTGCGGTGCAAGGTACGAGATGTCCGCGAACGCTTGGCAGGGCGGGTAGGCTCCTCGTCCTCTTCAGGTTCGAGCTCCATCCGAGTCGCATGGCGACGAGGTCGTCCGCTGGCGTACGCACACGAACTCATGGCAGCAGGGCTACGGGGCCGAGGTTGGCCCCGGCTCCGTTTTTATTAGGGTACGTGCATGGCAGTACCTTCCCAGTGATGTCCAGGCAGATCCGTTGCACGAGAGGACTTTCTGGGCATCTTTAGTCATCCACATGGGGCCGCACCGTCTGTCGCTTGCCACCACACCGTTGTTCGGAGGCGGATAGTACGTGTGTCACGCGCACTGACCCAAGTATCATGTCGGGTCGTCAGGGAGGTAAATTGAAGCCGCTGAAGCAGCCGAAGAAGTCGCAGAAGGATCTCGACGAAGACGTACGTACTCTATGTGCTTACCATGCAGGACTTGGCCTTCAAGCAGAAGCAAAAAGAAGAGGCTGCTGCCAAGAAGGCAGCCATTGAGAAGCTCAAGGGCAAGAAGAAGTAACATGGTGTCTATGTAGAGCAAGGCTACGTGTGCTTCTCACGTTGCTCCTGCGCACTGCGCAGTAGGGCGTACATACTCTGCAGACGTGGCATCGAGGCGCCATGCTTCTCGCCAATCCGGATAGCATTGCCGATGATAGCATCCAATTCCAACGCACGTCCTGCCTCCCAATCCTGGACCATGCTCGAGCGACTACCAACGTTGCGCTCGGTGCTGCGTAGAATCGCCTCAGGAGTCGCAAACTTGTCCGGCAGGGGCTGTCCAAAGATCTTGGGCGCGGCATCAAGGACTTCGTGCATGCATGCCTCAATGTGCGCACGCAGACGCGGGTCCTGTACCATGTCCGCATTCCCACGGTTGCCAGCCAGGACACCCGACACGTTCATCGAGGCATTGATGCACAGTTTGTGCCAGCGGACCATTTGCAGGCCCAGCGCATCGTACGCCTCGGCATCGCGGATCCCGCCGCGCGTGAATAGATCGACCAAGTCCTGCACGCCTGCCCGGGCGCGCGTGTAAAGTTCATGCTTCTCTGGTGTATCGGTGCTCCCCTGCAAATCGGTGTAGGGCCCCAAACTGATACGTGTCCAGCGGTACTGCACCACACAAGAAGGCTGCGTGAGGGCCAAGCTTGCCACTGTCACTGCGCTCACAATTGGAGTGCGTGGGAAGTAGGTACGGTACGGCGCCTCAATTTCCACGCCATTTTGAATCAAGACAATGGTCGTGGATGGCTGCACCACTGGCGCAATGAACTTCGCCACATTTGAGTCCATAGACAATGCCTTGGTCGCTACCACCACGTAGTCCCACGTCGTGTCCTTTGCCGCCTCCGTGGAGGGGAACACAAAGTCCGGCTGGAAATGGTAGTTGCCGAAACTGTGCGTCTCCAAGTTCACACCCTCATCATGCACAGCCTGGTAGTTGGAGCGGCATACCAAGCCAACCTTGGCATGTGTTCGATCCAATTTGCTCGCATAGAAGCACCCCACAGCGCCTGCACCGACCACGAGGATGTGTTTCGTCGTCATGGTGCACCGAGAGAGAGGCGTGCGGAGGCCGCGTACGCCCCACCTCCACCCCATGTGGGGTCGCAGGCCCTGCCGCTGCCGCTGCCGCTGTTGCCACCGCGGCCGATGTGGAGCCCATTCATGGCGAGGTCCACAAACGACAGGCGTATACATGTACAGCTACGAAGGGACTATTCACGGAAGAATTCAATCAGATCGCGGACGGCCAGCATCGTCATACCGCCCTTCGGGTAGCAAATATAAGTGGGGTCACGGACTGTGCCGAGCTTCTCACGGAAATCGGACTTGTTCTGCAGATGGGACCGGTCGGCCACACTGTTGTACACGCGGGAGAGCATCTTGAAGGCAATGCCGCTCAGGCCATGAACAGCCTCGACTTTCGATGCCGCAGCGGTACCGAACGTGATCGGGTTCGAGCCGGCCATATCAAGCGCATGTAGGATGGTCATTTCAATTGCACCGTTGGGCGCGTTGGGGAAGCTGATGGCCCACTTCACCTGGTAGCCATTCGACGGCGCCAGCTGCGCAAACACGACCATACAGCACACCTTCTTGTTCTCGTCGCGGGCTAAATAGTAGGCGCGGTGCTCTTCGTCGACCCACGGACGCACATCCGTCAAGTGCACTTGCATACCCTTGCGGTTGCGCTGCCACTCCTGGATACGCGCGTCGCACTCCTTCTTCACGTCCTCCGGCACCGTCTGGTGGAACGCCACTTCCTGAATCGACACACCCACCTTGTTCGCATGGCGGATCTTGCGCTGGATTTCGTGATCGTTCTTGGCAGGGTTACGACGCACGTCCTTGATACGCTGGTCCGCCGTACACGTCAGCGTGCACCAGCCATGACGACCACCCAGGATGCCTTCTACCGACTCACTGACCATGAGCCAGATCGGCTTGCCTTGCAGCTCAAGACGGCAGAATTCCAGGAACTTGCTAATGACATTCTCGTACTGCGAGTGGTCACACAGCGGGTTGCCGACCACGAGAATGTTGTGCTTGCGCTTGGTGTAGCCCACCGCCGCACCTGTGTCGGGATGACGCCAGACCTTGATACGGTCGTCGAGCCAGGACGTGTTGGTCGAGTCACCGTAGTTCGCAATGAGGTGCTCCAACGGCTGCAGCTCCTTGGGTGGCGGCGGTGCGTTCTTGTTGCGCGACTGCAGCCACGGCGGCGGGTTGGTACCAGCGTCAGGATGACGCAGTTCCTGGTGCGCCTTCACGGCAAAGCTCTTCGGGTCACGGTAGAAGAGCGACGCAAGGCGAATGTCGTCTAGGTTCAGGTAGAGCATGACCAGGCGCTCTAAACCAATACCACAACCGGCATGCGGCGGCGCACCCAGACGGAAACCTTCCAGGTACTCTTCCAAGCCCGCCGAGTCGATGCCCATACGGCGGATGTTCTCTTCAAGCATTTCAGAGCGGTGGATACGCTGGCCACCAGTACAAATCTCCTGGCCACGCACAAAGATATCAAACGTGTTTGTACGGCGCTCATCCTTGGGATCGCACAGCGCATAGAAGGGACGCGCATTGCGGGGGAACTTGTCGAGCACATAGTAGTCGGTGCCATACTTCTCCTTGACCAGCTCACCGAGGCGAATCTCGGCCCGCGTGTGTAGATCTTCAAACTCGTCCGGCTCACTGCCGTCCTCTTCCCTGTAGCCTGCCTCCTTGAGCATACGAATACCCTCTGAAAAGTGCAGGACCAGCGTCTGGTCGAGCCATACGAGCTCTGGGACGTTGAAGTGTTTACGCACCTGCTGAATCGCGTCTTGGCACTCGTTGTGGAGCACCTTGAAAATGTGCTTCAGCATGCCATCAATCACCGAGAGCGCATCGTAGTAGTGGTTGATCTCCATCTCGATATCCAAGCCTGTGTACTCTGTCATGTGACGCGGTGTATTGGAGTTCTCCGCACGGAACACTGGGCCAATCTCAAAGACGCGCCGCATGTCTGACGCAATGCACATCTGCTTGTACAACTGCGGGCTCTGCGCAAGGAACGCGGAGCGGCCAAAGTAGTTCACTTGGAACACGCTGGCGCCCGATTCCGACGCGCCGCCCTGCAGCTTCGGCGTGTGGATCTCCGTAAAGTCACGCGCATTCAAAAAGTTGCGGAACTCGCGGCAGATGACCGACTGAATCTTGAACGTTGCCTGCATCGTGGGCGTACGTAAGTCAATCAACCGGTTTGTCAGACGTGTACGCTGCGTGATAATGAGCGATTGCGTACCATGCTGCACCGAGCTACGCTGCGACGCTTGGTCGGGCTCCACCTCGGCGGAAGCTTGGTCGCTTGCCGCGTCGTCCAAGTCCTGATGCTCCTCTAGGCGGCTGTTCACAGAGCGTTCTGCGGCGTAGACTGTGAACGGAAGCGACTCGGTGATTTCCGACACAACGTGCACATGCGTCAGTTTCAGTTCCAAGTGCGTAATGTCACAACCAGAGATCACTTCCACCGGCTTTTGCATCACACCACGCACAAACAGAAGCGTCTCGACTGGCAAACGCATCACCCAGTGCATCATGTGTGGTGTGATACCCGTGCCACGCTCGGTCAGCACAGCCTGCATGGTAATGCCATGCTCACGAAGCACCACAAATGCCAAGTGCGCGCTCATATTACGCATGGCATGAATGCGCACACGGAACGACCAGTGCGAGCCAACGCATGCCTCCATCACCTCCGGGTCCGATATGGCGAGGCTGTTGAGTTTACGCACATCGTCCAAATGCTTCCATTCCTTGGGCTCGGTATGGTAAACATCCCACTGACCGTAGCGGGCCTTTTCCTCGCAAGACTCGATCTCCTCTGCCTTCTGCGCCGACATACGACGACGCATCTGAACTTCACGCTCGAACGCCCGCAGCACTTCATTCTTGCGTTCACGTTCTTCTTCCTTCGACGACGTCCCGATGGAGCTGTTCGACGAGTGCACAGACTCGCTACTGCGATCCGTTGAGCGCGATCGTGCAGGGAGAATTGCATCCAGAAGCCTCTGGTGCGGCAGGCGACGGCTCTCGAGTGTCTCGCTGGACCTGATGCTATCGGCTCCAGCTCCCATGTCGCCAAGATGCGTTTGGAATGAAGATCCACGGAGTGAAGGTTGACCACTGCATCATCACACGGGTCGCATCACGTGCTGACATGCAGGTGCCGGTGTCCTTGAGCTGGATGCAGAGCGACGTCATGGCTTTGGCGCTCCACTCTGTGCCACGTCGTGATGATTGTGCTGGCCCTTGTCGCCCAGGGCAGTGAGGTACTTGCCGAGGCGCATGAACCGGAGCATGATCGATTTCTGACGGCCTCCGAGGCCATCCTGGCGAAAATCGACCCTGCTACGTCGCGGCTGTCGTATGCCTACGAGCAGTGGCTGTTTCATTATATGGTCCACGATCACCTTGTATACTTGGCCGTCGCGGATGCCGACATGGGACGACGCATTCCGTTTGCCTTCCTAACCGAGCTCCAGAAGGCGTACGCCGAGGTGCCGTCCAGCGAGACCATTGCCTCGCTGCGCCACAAGTTCAATCAGGACCCGGAGGCGGATCCTATTCAGCGGGCCCAGGCCGAACTGGGTAGCGTCAAGGACGTGATTACCAAGAACGTGGAACAGATCCTCACGCGTGGCGAGCAAATTGAGCTCCTCATGGACCGCACCGACTCGGCGGCCCACCAGAGCTTGGCGTTCCGTCGCCGCGCTGTGAGTCTCCGCCGCGACATGTGGTGGAGGAATATGCGCGTCCTTACATTGATGGGCGTTTGTGGATTGGTATGTACTGGACCTATATACTAACGGCGCCAAGTCCCTGTTGTTCTTTGTATATCATGCACTGTTTTCATAGACAAGCTCTTTGTGCGAGACACGCGTCGCGGATGCTGGCGTATGCTGTGGCGCCGACGGCAGCGTCGTCGCTGCTGGCTCCTGCGCCTGCGCCTGCTCCTGCGCCTGCTCCTGCTCCTGCTGCTTCTCGATCGTCAAGGCCTCCAGCTCGGCTGCGAGCTCGTCTTCGTCGATGTCGGTGGGCGGCGCAGCGGTGGTCATAGCCGTCTGTACGTCGTCCTGCATGGCGAGGGCGTCTGAGAGCGCGTCCATAGTCTTCTCGACGCGGTCCTGCTGCAGGGCCGGATCGGAGAGAATGGCACGCAGCGTCTTGGCCGACGTCTCGTACGTCTGCATGATCGCAGCGTCGCCCACGGCCTGCTCGAGCTTGACAAGCAGCTGCTGGACGGTTTGCAAGGCGCCTACGCGCTTGGTCAGCAGCTCTTCCATCTGTTTCTTCGTGCGCAAGTACGAGAGTGCGACGCTTTCCGGCTGCTTGGTCTGCACGGCGCGCTGGAGGGACGCGCGTGCGTTGTCCAAGCGCGATTCCAACGTGTCAATCTGCTGCGACAGTTGCTTTTGCGCCCGCTTCAGCTCCATGATGCCATGTTCCTGCTCGCCGATCGTCGGTGTGAACGTCGTGTGATGAATCCACTTTATCGTATCGTCCTGGCGGACCAGGGCCTTGGCATCGCGCTCCAAGTACGTGCATAAGAGGCGGATGTCCGTGGGTGTCCATGGGAGCACTTGGCCGTCGTGCGTCGTGAGCGTACGTATCTGCGCCTCCAGATCCGCCTGCGTCATGACCGCATCCACCAGACTCGTGGGCGTGGCGCATTGGGCCAAGTACAGATGCGCCGCGCGCTGCGTAAGTCTCTCTACGACGTACCTCGACATTGGCGCGAATGACCCAGTCGCCTACGATCTTCGGCCACGTAGCCTCGTCATCCTCTTCGTCCCGCGCTGTAAGCCATCGCCATGCGGGGCGCACGACGTAGGTACGCAAGGTCTGTGTCCATCCACGCGCGGCCGGCCGCGTAAGAAACTCGTTCACACGAACGTACTCGCCTTGCTGTGCGAGTGTGTCTACGACGATCGACAGGCATACCGGCCGTCCGATCTGCGGACTAGCCCACCGCGTCGACGTGTGGTCGTCCATGTGGGCTACGAGCACGCTCCCAGCGCCTTCCACGGCCTGCCAACTCGCCTCCGCGAGCGTATCGCGCCACCATGCCACGCGCGAGCGGAACGAGGCGGGATCGCTCGCTTGCGGCCCACTCAAGTCCGCATACATCGACGCAAGCACTTCATCGTCCTGCGCACCAGGCCGCGTTCGTGCAAACGATGCCAATGGCCCTGTCATCACCCCAGGGGGCCTACGGCGCGCAAAACGACGTGGCCGTGCGTGGTGGAGGTGGGACGCAGCTGCGACCACGACCATGGCCTTTTGGAAGCCAGGCGCGGAGCGCCCAGGTACGTGGCGCGACACTGACCTTTAGCGAGTGCCCTGGACCGCCCAGTGCAGGACGAGGTGGCGCTCGACCCCTCGTTGTACGTCACCGACACGAAGCGGACACAGCTCCCTGTGTACCGCTACCGCACATCGTTTCTGTACATGGTGGAGCGATACTCTGTGGTCGTCGTCGTCGGTCAGACGGGCAGTGGCAAGACGACACGTACGTGGGATGTTTCTTACCACCAGAACTGCCGCAGTACTTACTCGAAGCTGGGTGGGCCGCCGAGGCACAGCAGATCGTGTGCACACAGCCGCGACGCATCGCTGCGACCTCGGTCGCGGCCCGCGTCGCGCAAGAGACGGGCACGCGATTGGGCGACGACATCGGGTACGCGATCCGCTTTGACGAGTGTACGCACCCTACGCGCACACGTATCCGCTACACGACGCCTGGCATGCTGTTCCGCGAGTGCATGCAGGATCCGCTCCTGCAGCGGTACAGCGTGATTCTCATCGACGAGGCGCATGAGCGCGGCGCTTATACGGACCTACTTATGGCGCTCCTGAAAAAGTAGGTTTCATCGTACTTACACGCCAGAATCCGACGCAAACGCCCCGAGCTGCGTATTGTGCTGGCCAGTGCGACGGTCGATGCCGAGGCGCTGGCCACGTACTTTGATCCAGCTTTCGGTACGCCGCACGCCAACGCATCGATCCTCTCGATGGAGGCACCTTCGTACCCTGTCTCGTTGGCGTACACACGCGAGCCCGTGCCCAACTATGTCGACGCGGCGGTGCATACGGTATGGTCCCTGCATCTCTCTGAACCGAAAGGCGATATCCTCGTCTTCTTCCCCGGGCGCGACGATATCGAGACCGCGATGCAGGCGCTCGCCGACCGCGAAATCGAGGCGCCGGCAGGCGCTCTGCCGATGCATCTTGTGCCGCTGTACGCGGAGCTGGACGCGGACGCGCAGCGTGCCGTGTTCCTGCCTGCGCCGCGCGGCACACGCAAAGTCGTCTTGTCGACCAACGTGGCGGAGACCAGCTTGACGATCGATGGAATTCGCCTCGTCGTCGATACAGGGTATTCCAAGACGCGGTACATGGACACGCTCGTCACCATACCCACGTCGCAAGCCGCCGCACAACAGCGCGCTGGCCGCGCGGGGCGCACAGCGCCTGGCAAGTGTGTGCGTTTGTACCCCGAGTCGCAGTGGGCGCACCTCCCGCGCGCAGATACCCCCGAGCTGGTCCGTATCGACTTGGCCATGTACCTTCTCCAACTCAAGGCGCTGGGCATCGACAATCTGGCGCGCTTCGACTTTGTGCCGCCTGCGCCGCCTGCCGCGCACATGTGTCGAGCGCTCGCGTACTTGGCCAGCCTGGAAGCGATCGACGTGCAGGGCCATTTGACGTCGCTCGGCGAGCGCTTGGCCGAGGCGCCCTTGCCGCCGATGATGGCACGCTCGGTACGTCGTTTATGCCCCTAACCACAGCTCTTGTACGCCGCTCAGCATGGGTGTGCAGACGAAATGCTCAGTATCGCAGCGATGATGAGCGTCGCCTCGCCGTTTCGCACATCGTCGTCGCACGGCGATCTGCACGCGGACATTGCACGACGTGCATTTATCGCGGAAGAAGGCGACGCACTTACGCTGCTCAATGTGTACCAGGCCTTTGTCGGAGTAGGCCAAAGCTCCGCGGCGTGGGCATCGAAACACGCACTGCACTATGCGACGCTCAAACGCGCACAGGCCATTCGCACACAGCTCGCAAAGTACGTCACACTGCATTGGTCGTTGCCGCTCGCGTCCGCGTACGATGCGCGTCTCCTGCAGCAATGCTTGGCCGCCGGCTACTTTAAGAACGCCGCGCGGTACCAGCCCGATGGCACGTACCGTAGCGTAGAGGGCGTCACGTTGCATGTCCACCCCACATCGGTGCTCTTTGCACGCAAGCCGACGAGTGACTATGTCGTCTACGCCGACGTGCTGCACACGTCGCAGGCACACATGCGCGACGTGACGGCCGTCGAGGAGGCATGGCTACGTTCTTTGGCGTACGTATGCACGTTTCTCACCGCAGACCACATTATTACGAGACGCGTCTACGTCCTAGTATACAGTAGCGCCGTACCTTACACCTTCTCCCCATCGATCACCTCGTTGCGGAGCGCATGGACATGCGCTGCGCCGCTGAGCCCTTGCGCAAGGAACTGGCGCAAAACACGGAACCGCTTGGTACGTGTCGTGTACTGCCCCGCCAGGCTGCGTGTCGCGAGCGGGAGAATCGTCGTGCGATCGCGCGTCGCCGCCATGTGGATCGTCTGCAACACCTGCGCCATTTCGCGGTCCACATCCTGGTAGCTGGCATGCGCCATGTACATATCCATCGCATTTTCCGCGGCCTGCCGCGCCGACGGGGTATCGCGCTCCGCCGCGTCGCTTCGTCGGTCCTGGCCCGCCTTGCGTTTCTTGTCTTTCGCATGCGACGAGGCCTTCGCCGCGGCAATCGCACGCTCCTTCTCTTCGAGGCGCGCTACAAACGCAGGGTTCGTCGCTTTCTGCCACTCAAAAAGCAGCTCATCGTACGGCTTCGACCGGCCTTGGACATTGCGCTTGGCGCCCATACTGTGCGACTTGCACGTCAGCGAGCGTGAGCATGGCAGTCCCTTGTTGTTGATCACACCACACTGACGGTCCAAATTGATCGGGCCGCGGTTCTTCTTGCCACCCCCCATCTTGCGCCGGAGGGCCAGCGCAGCATTCGCGTCCGCGCCCATCCCCTGGCCGTCCGCCGCGCCACGCACATCTTTCAGGATCGTAGGCGACGTTCGTCCATCGGCAATATCGCGTGCCAACGCACAGTTTTCTGCGAGTCAATAAACCTGTACATACTGGTATGATAGGTATACGCTTCACGAAGCACGGGTTTCTGGCACGTCTCACACGCCACGACGTCCACCTCGTCGCTCAACGGAAATCCGCCAAACTCCGTCACATCCGTCTCGTCCACTTCCCACGGCGGCTTGGTGGTCGCGATCGGCGTCGTGGGGCCTAGCCACAGTCAGTCTCCATGTACATACGACTGTGTGTCTGCTCGACAATCGCGGCCCAGTCGAGTGCCGCGTCGTCGACCATGTCGTTCTTTTTCGTCGTGGAGGCTGTCCACACGCGGAGGTACGCAGCGTCGGTGGCCAGCGGCTGTCACGTGGGATCGCATCTGGCCGCCCTCCCTCGCACCTACCACCTCGCGCTGGATGGACGACGCCTCGGTGCACACCGCGGCTGCCTGGGTGGTACGTACGTGGTGTCTTACTTACCTGTAGCGCGATACCACGTCGCGCCTATGGGCCTGGGGACGTACGCAGGCTCACCAGCTCACCGAGTCCCTGAATGAATACGGCCCACCTACGGCCCTGGAACATGCACGATCGTACATCGCATCGTCGCTCGATCAGCTGCCGTCGTGGACCGCATCCACTACACCGCCACCACCCCCACCCCCATCGCGTCGTATCGATACGTGGATCGCTTCTCTCCCTGCAGCTTCCACCATGGGCTGGGCGCTGGGCGGTGCGACAGCTCTTGGTCTAGGCTACGTGTACGGCCCGCGCGTCTACACGGCGTGGACGCGGCCTAGGACACCGCCCCAAGGCGCTCTCACCACAGACGGAACACGTACCCAGGCCGTGATTGTGCTTGGCGCCGACTCGCCTCTCGGTCGTGCATTGGTCCTCTACTTGGCAGAACGTCGTTTGATTGTCTTGGCCTCTGTAGCGTCCGACGAAGCTCGTCACGAGCTCGAGCGCGACGTCCCAAGTTCCAGTCAGGGATACGTACGTGTGTTCTGCTTCGACGCAGGCACCGCCAACGAGAACGACGAGACGCAGTTCATTCACGCCCTCCATTCGACCCTCTGCTTGCGGTTCCCCCTCACGCAGACAGGCGATCCCTATTCACGGCCTGGTGCAACAATCGACGTGCTGGGCATGATCAATGTGCAAAGTCTTGCACGCAATGTCCCACAGACAGCACTCGATAGCGCTCTGCATCAGCATGTCACAGCGCCGCTACGCACGCTGCATCGGGCCTTCGGGCTCATGACGCACGCGCCCCACCGCATGCCGTCTACACACCGACCTGCTCTCTTTCTCTCGTTCATCTCGCGCTCAGATGCGCAAGTCACAAGGCCGGACCATGGCGCGGAGGCGCTGATTGCGAACGCCGTGCAAACGGGCATGGATGCGCTGCGTCGCGAATGGCAAGCGTCGTACGTATCCACACGGACGTCCCACTCAAAGGCCACGCCAGCGCTACGGCCCATTACCTTCACGACCTTGCAAGTGGACACCATGGCACCTACTACGTCGGTGCTCTCTACGACCGCAAACCTCCTCCTTTCGCCGCCCAAGACGGTGGCACGTACGTACAAACTGTACAGCCTCTCGTTCTGGCGACGCATCCTGTCACGGCTGTCGGATCTCGGTCTACTGCTCTTGCCCACGTCGTGGGTCGATATCATCGTCACGACCAACGCTCGCTTCACACGGTACCAACGCGAGGCATCGAAACGACGCCCCGCGTCCAAACATGATCCACCGCCACCATGCTTACGGCCAGGGTCGTGTTCCTAGATTATGGCTATAGTACAATGTTGTTCTTTAGGCATCCGCCGCCGACGTAGACGTAGGCGCTTGGATCGGAATACGCACCAACGTATCCGGCACTTGTCTCGTACCCATCGCTGACAAGGCTGAATCAGGCGGCTGTGCCTCGGCCTCGGCGGTGGACGTCGATGGTTCGTGGCTGGCGGCCATCGCGGCTGGGGCATCAGTGAGTGACCGTAGGTACGTACCTTGCGCAATTTGGATCGCGCGAAACACACCTTGCCAACTCGCCATGACAGAGGCAATCGCTACATGGTCAGTCAGCTTATCACGTACCTTGGCCACCACTGGCCAATGTATCTACACGCTCACTGAGATGGTGTAGTTCTTGCATAAGGTGTGCGGATTCAGCACGCAGTTGCTGCAAGGCCTGCAACTCTGTCTGCTTGGCTGCAATGCGTGCAGATGCTGAGCCTGAAACACCTCCTCCCGAAGGCGCCATCGACATGCGCGACCGCGACGCCGCTTGGAACGATGGCGGCGCCATGCTGGCACGGTGTGAGGGCCCTACCATACTCGGTCAACAAAAGGCAAGACCCACGCGCGTGTCATTGTGGAGCAGCGACGCGCCTTCGTACCTACCACGTGGGCTGCCCCTGCCTCCCTCCCTTTCCCTCTCGTTGACTTGGACGTCGCGATGGCCGTGGCGGCTGCTACACGCGGCGCCGCGTACGAAATGGCATGCTTACATACCCTAACACCCTGGCTTTCCATGCGCCTGCATCGGACTGGCGGCGCAGGCGATCGAGGGATCGACTTGCAAGGCTGGTGGGATGTGCCCCAGGTAGCACAGTCCACCTCTACCTGTGGCAGCGTACGTGTGTTGGTGCAGTGCAAAGCGGAAAAGAAGGCCATTGGGCCCTCTGTGGTACGGGAACTGGAAGGAACAACGTTCCGTGCTATTTGTGAGAATCAGGGGCGTGCGGCAGATCTAGCAACGTCCCTACCAGCCTCGTCGGTGACTACACCTGTGCTGGGCCTTTTGGCTAGTTTTTCAGGGTTTTCCAAGCAAGCCATTCTCCATGCGCGGTCCAGTCGCGTGCCTCTTTTGCTCCTGCACTTATGTACGCCGTCCCCCTCGATAGAGGAAACGGAGCGTCTCACATGCCGTGGGTTCGTATGGAACGATGCCCTCGCAGGCCCGCAAGGTCTATTGCGAGGCCGTTACGAGGCCGTATGGACGTCCACCTCGCCCACATCCTATACCCCCTCGCGCCTATCTCTCTACTGTGATGGCATTCGTGTAGCCTAATACCCCACGTCTCTTCCTTCATACCCCAGGCACACTCAGAATTTACACACAAACATAGACAAGCAAGTAATGCAAGTATTTTTTCATTGAGCCGAATCCAAGATAATGTCAGGCAATGAACTATGGCTCCGGAAAGAATCGCCAACGTAGCTTGGCATCTTGTGTATGATATTGCCACAGATACAGATCGTGCATCGTATCCAACATCCTTCCACAAACGCACGCTAGCGACCTAGCTCACCCGCTGGAAAAGAGACCAAGCTGATAAACTAGAAGATATACTCGGTGGATAGGCGCCCGACTCGCCAGTGCCACACTCATGTCGTATACATTTTCACGTTTACTTGTCCGCGTTCGAGTTCATGCGGCGCTTGCCACCCGGACCAGCCTGGACGTTCACGAAGCTGCCTATGTTAGTCGAAATGTTCTCCTACGCCGTGTACATACCGGCGGTTGTACAAAATGCGCTTCTTAGCACGACCCTTCGGAGTCTTGGGCTTCTCCTGCTTCTCCACCTTGGGAGTCTGCGACTTGACCTTACCGGCACGCGCGAGGGAACCGTGGACCTTACCCATCTTGCTAGTGTGCGTTAGTTTCTGTTCATGCCACAGCAGGACGACAGCCCCTCCTACCTACCTTCAAATGTGGTTGTACCGAAACAGTCTAGAGCGATTGCAAGGGGAAAAGGCCGCGCGACGCCCATAGGGTCACGTGGAATTACCAAAACTACTATGATCACGTGATTTGACGAAGAACGCGGACGGAGGAGGCGCCTCTACTGGCAGACCCGCCTGCGAGTTCACGCTTCCACAACCGTCGCCATGATCATTTCGAAGGAGAACCGTCGCACAATCTACACTGCGCTCTTCCAGGAGGGTGTGCTTGTGGCCCCGAAGAACTTCGAGATCAAGCACCCTAACCTCGATGTGCCGAACCTTGAGGTCGTGAAGGCTATGCAGTCGCTCACCTCGAAGGGCTTCGTGCACACTCGCTTCAGCTGGCAGTGGTACTACTACGTGCTCACTGATGAGGGTCTTGAGTACCTCCGTGAGTACCTGCACCTTCCTTCGGAGATTGTGCCGGCCACCCACAAGCGCCCGGCTCGTCCCCAGCGTGCCGTTGTCGGCGACCGTGAGGGCTTCCGTGGCAACCGCGGTGGTGACCGCGAGTACCGCCGCCGCGGTGACTTTGAGAAGAAGGGTGACGCCCCGAGCGGTGGTTTCCGCCCCCGCTTCGGCCGCCAGGAGTAAATCTTCTCCGCGGTCCGCATGGACCTGTATGGTGACGCGTGGGTGTGACCCTATCGTCCCTCTAGGTTTTGCTGGACGCACGCTTTGTTTTTGACAGGTAGCGCTCTGGTGAAACTGACACCCTATGGTTGGCACGCGAATCTTATTTTTCCTTTTCGTCGCGTCGAGCTGGCGCTCTTAGCCATCATCGGGTCCAAAAATACCTTTATTATAGATGAATCTATTGCCATTCCTGTGCAGTTCATACATGTTGATGTGCGTCGCGACCCTTTTTATCTAGATACGTTAGTACGCATCCAGCCGCGCTGGATCCGCGGTGTCGACACGACCGCGAGGCCGTGGGAGAGCGGCTGGCTGACTGGCTTGGGAAGATGATTAGTCATCGACGCACTGCTCGTTGCGATGGGCCGGCGAGGCCTGCGAATGTTCACGTAGGAATCGCCACGATGGGTCTTTTTGGTGGTAGCTCAAGCCCTGCGCCAGCTGCATCGTCGGCCCAGCTGGAGGCAGCTACAGCTGAAGTGTGTATATGGAGTGCTAACGTTTTAGCTTGACATGATTACCGATGTGTTTAACCGTCTTGTCGAGGCATGCCATGCCAAGTGCATTAGCCCTCGTTACGCTGAGCCTGATCTGAACAAGGGCGAGAGCGTGTGCATTGATCGGTATGTATCCTTTTTCTATTCTTACATCCAGCTGCGTGAGCAAGTTCTTCGCTGTGAACGCCAAGGTCGGTGAGCAGATGCAGGCTATGGGCCAAGCGGCAGGCGCGTCTGGCGCTGCCGGTGGCAAGCTGTTCGGCTAAAGAGTATATCTAGATGGGCCTCGAAGTATTCATTTCATCTCGTAGCATCCTTTGATAGCGCTGGTAGCGCTCATGCATGGGAGCTATGCCAAGCCCTTTTTGCCTGCGCAAACACATGTCGTCTGCCTAACCGTATTCAATTTTGCGCTATAGGAAGCCCTTGTCAGGCCGTAGCAAAACGAAGGCTGTGCCTTGTCTTGGCATAATGTCGTTGTTGGTGGGGCTATCTGACACCAGCCCCATGCCTAGACCTCTGGGTGTCGAGCGTCACATCTTTCAACGGTGGCACGTTGCATCTGATGAGGTCAGCGGGGGCGGAGAATCCCACTGGACGCCCACCAAATTTGACCCTGCGTCGAATCACGCTTAAGCATCAGGGGGTGGGCTATGCGCCCTGCCATCAAAAAAGATATAACTCCGCTATTCGCTTCTTTCATCGCATCCATGATCCCACGTTCTTCAGCCCTTGCGATTGTTGTTCTGGGATACGTGGCGGGTGCTCAGGCCGCTCCTACAGGTACGACAACCTACGCGGAAGCCCTACCGACGCCCACCCGTGATGCTACCAGCTTCAAGGTGCCCATCCATGTGAACAAAGAGGCGCTGCACCCACGCAATCAGCGCATGACCATGGAAGAGTTGGATCAGTGGCTGAGTCGTGAGCATGAGATGCTGCGGATTAAGTACACACATCCTGACGACCGCAATGCGTCTTGGCATGAGAAGCGTCAGCAGGTAGGTCTTGGCGACTTTGGTACCGACAGCTACTACTTTGCGCCGATCGGTATTGGTACGCCGTTGGAGACGATGAATGTCGTCCTGGACACGGGCTCTGCGGACTTTTGGCTAGCAGATGCACAGTGTGGCGTGCAGGACAACTGTGACACCGACATGCCTAAATACGACGCTTCGGTGAGCAAGACCTACCGAAGCAGCAACACGCCGTTCCAAGTGCAGTATGGCTCTGGCGCTGTCCGCGGCACACTGGCTACTGAGTTTGTATCATTAGCTGGCTACAATGTTTCTTCGGTGACGTTCGGTCAAGCGAGCCACCTGGCGCAAGGCACGATCAATGCTCCCGCCTCGGGTATTATGGGCATGGGCTTTGACTCATTGTCGACGACTGGTACTATGCCATTCTGGCAGATCTTGGCCGAGCGCCAGAAACTGCATGACTACGTGTTTACGTTCCAACTCCGGAACAACATGGACAATGTTAACCACAACAATATGGTGAACCCTGGTGGTGTATTTACGCTGGGTGTGTTGGACTCGCAGCAGTATTCGGGCGACATTACATGGACGCCTTTGTCCAAAGGCTTTGGTCCCAACGGCCTTGGCTATTGGGCATTGGATATCCAGGAGATGCGTGTGAACAACCAGGTCGTGCAGCTGGACCAGTACAATGTGGCGGCGATCGACACGGGTACGACGTTGATTGGTGGTCCACCGAAGGTGGTCCAGGAAATTTACCGCATGATCCCTGGCGCACGTCCGTACCAGGGCAACAGCTACTTTACCATTCCCTGCAGTGGCGACTTTACGGTGGACTTGACGTTTGGCGGTAGGAAGTGGTCATTAAAGAGCTCGGATTTGATCATTGCACCTGTGTCTTCGTCACAATGCCTTAGTGCCATCTTTGTGAGCCCCACAGGCTCGCCACGTATGCCGACGTGGATCATTGGTGACTCGTTCCTGAAGACCGTGTTCTCTGCGTTTGGCTCTGCCCCTGCCAACATTGGCTTTGCCAACTTGCCGTCAGGTGGTGCCCAGGCCATGTCGCTTACGTCGGTTGCGATGAACAGCGGACGTGGTAGCGGCAATGCTGCTTCGAGCTCTGACGGTCTTCCGCTAGGCGACGGTGGCCAAGGCGGTGGTGGTGGTGGCGATGGTGGCGGCTTGTTCTCCTACAATTCGCCACAGCAAAACACCGATCAGTCGTGGAAGACAGCGTCGGTTGATGTCCCCAACAATATCCAGCCTTTAAGTGCCGAAGTCAGTGGCGGTGACGGGAGTATGTTTGGCAACGGCGTGTCGCGCGCATGGCCATCGATCCCTGTGTATGTGGGTATGGCACTGGCTACGTTGGCGTGGCTTTTGTAATGTGTAGCAAGTAGGAAAAGTATATAGCAAAGGGTTGTGTATCTGATTGATATCTAAGTCTTATAAATCGGTATGCGACGGAACCCCCCAGAGTTGGTCGATGACACGTCGTTGCTCGTCGTTCAGCTCCGGAAGCACCACGACAAAGTCGACAAACAAGTCGCCATGCTCTTGCCCACCCGCTGCCTCACGTTCGTCGTAGGGAATCGGCATCCCTTCCTCAGGTATGCGCATGACGTAGCCAGGCTGCGTCACAGACGAACGCACGACAGGCACTTTGTGGCCATCGTAGTGAGTAATAAAGTGGTCAAAGCCAAGGAGGGCATCGCGAAGCGATAACAGAATCGTATAATACAAATGGTGCCCCACGCGGCGGAAATCGCCTGTCTTTGGCGTAGAATGGACACGCACGACCACATCGCCCGCATCTACATCGGGACTTTGATCGGACATGCCTTCAAACACATACTCGGCCCCTTCCTTCGCACCCGGCTCGATTTCCACCTCAATCTCCGTCGTATCCGCCAAGACTTTTTCGCCACGGCACTTGCTGCATACCTTGGCAATCGTACGTCCAGCGCCATGACAGTGTGGGCACGTCACTTGCATATTCGTCACAAAGCCCGGCATTAGCTGCTGCCGAATCACTTGCGAGCCTGAGCCCTGGCACTGGGAACACGTATGAATGTGCGCCGAGGAATGCGCGCCGGATCCGAAACAGGCTGGGCACACGACATAGCGGCTGTGCGACATGGTAAACGAGCGGCCCATATACAGGTCGCTCAGGGACACATCCGCCTGGTACGTCTTACTTGGGCCTTTGGGCGTCTGATCGGACGCTGCGCCGCCACCAAAGAACTGACGGAACACATCAAAGGGGTCCCCTGAATGGCCATTGTCTTTTTGGGCCTGCCGCTGCTTGGCCGCATCCGCACCATACCGATCGTAGATCGAGCGCAACTCCTTGTCAGAGAGCGTCTGGTATGCCTCGGTGACTTCCATAAACTCTTCCGCCTTGTCAGGATGCTTGTCGGGGTGCATATGACGCGCCAGCTTGCGGTACGCCGACTTGATCTCACGCTCCGAGGCGCGGCGGCCGATCCCCAGCACCTCATAGTAGTCACGGGCCGCACACACCAAAGGCAAAATACATACTATGAGTGCCACAGCAAGGACGTAGATAGATGCACGACCTATCATCCCTGAGGGTGCGCTGCACAACGACGAGGCGAGAACAGAGGGGCAGACGACGTCACGGCTCGGCCGTCGTCTGCCTCCACGTCGAGCGATCGACCCACTAGGTGGAGGTGGGCTTCACGTGCTCTCCACGAGACGTATGATTTCTGGCCAGTGTGGCTGACAGACACACCACAGCATCCCAACCATGTCGGGCCTTGGGATGAAGACGCCGTGGGTGAGTGGCGAAGAGCTGGATACCTATGTGAAGACCACTCTTCCGTTCTACTACAATGACAAGCCGCGCTTTCTGGACGCGTTCTCGGACAAGGCACTAGCTCTCGCGTTGCCTGTGCTCATTTACTGGAGCGCCTCGATGTTTTACCATGCGCTCGATGTACACCGTCCTGCCTGGTCGGAGAAGTACCGTATGCATACGCCAGATGAGCTGAAGAAGAAGAACCGTGTGAGCAAGGAACGTGTTATTTTGATGGTCATTTTGCAGCATGCGATTCAGACCTTTTTGGGCATCGTCATCATGTATGATACGCCCGCCAACCGTTTCCACCGTATGGATGTCAACCCAGAGAAGGACATTGCAAGGATTCTGGCGTGGGTACGTGTGCTGCACGACTACGTTGATATTCGTGACGTAGTCCTGGTCCGTGCTGCGATTGCGCTGTACTGGTGGGGCATTCCGTGGCTGCAATTCTGGTTCGCATGCTTTGTGATGGATGCATGGGAGTACCTGCTGCATCGCACCATGCACGAGGTCCGCTTCTTGTACCGCATGCTACACTCGCATCACCACCGCTTGTATGTGCCCTATGCGTTTGGCGCGCTGTACAACCACCCGCTGGAAGGTATGCTCCTCGATACGTTCGGGGCCGAGATTGCACGTGTGGTGAGTTTCATGACGCTGCGTCAGACGATTGTCTTCTTCACGATCTCTACGTTCAAGACGGTGTGTGACCACTGTGGGTATGCGTTCCCGTGGTACTACAACCCTATCCAAGCCCTCTTCCCGAACAATGCAGAGTACCACGACGTGCACCATCAAAGCCAAGGCCTGCGCTTCAACTACTCGCAGCCCTACTTTGTGCACTTTGACACGATCTTCGGCACACGCGTCGACCCAGCCGACTTCCGTGACATGCTCGCGAAGAAGGGCCTCAAGTTCGAAAAGGCCGCGGCGATCAAGGCAGAGGTCGATGCCCAAGCTGCGCCGGACAAGACGGAGCCGGACTTGGACGATCGCTCCTGCATCGAAAATGCGCGTGGGCCAGTCGCTGCACCGCGCCCCAAGCTCTTGTCGGTATACACAACGGCTAGTATTTGGTCCGTCTTCCTATTTACTGGTATTCTTGTTGTCCCGGTGCTTTCATATTCAATGATGTAGATTAGGCAGGAAAAGGAGGGTATCTCAAAAAGGTACGAAACACCGGCAGTGCGTGCCCATCTAGGCGCCTTAGAGGGGCGGGGGGGCATCAAGCGGGCGATTTCGTGAGGAAGGAGGGAGGTGCAAATGCCGAGCGACGCGCGAGGTGCGGGCGTCGACATGCTCGGTAAAGGAGGCCAACAAGCGTCGAGGGTTGCCTGGCGACGTGGACGACAGTGCCGAGGGCATAGGCGAGGGCGCGGGCGACGATTTGGCGGTAGCCACACCGGCATGCAAGAGATACTGCATACTTCCCCATTCGAGGATCTTGCGCTGCAGCCATGGGAGACTCACAGGCTTGTTCAGGTAGTCGTTGCACCCCGCCGCCAAGGCCTCCACACGATCCGAGTTCAGGACACTGGCTGTGAGGCCTACAATGATCACCGAGTGCCGCGTCGCCGAGGCGGGCAACGGCTTCTCATCGGTCTTGGTGGAGGACTGCGCGAGTTTTTCGAGCCGCCGAATCTCCTTGGTCGCCGCAATGCCATCAAGCACAGGCAGCTGAATGTCCATCAAAATCAAGTGGAAGTCGCCTTCGCGCCACTTTTCAATGGCTTCACGCCCGTCCGATGCCACGTCGTATGCAATATGCTTGCGGCGCAAGAACGTAGCGAGAATACGCTGATTGATGACATTGTCCTCCACAATCAGCACTTTGACAGGCGGTAGATATTCTTCCCGCAACGCGAGTTTGCGCTTTTGCAGGCGGGCACTGGCCCGAGGGGAGAGTGGCACCTTTTGCGCCTCTTTTGGGCGAGTGGATGTGCCATCGCGACCGCCAATCATCACGCCAGCCTGCGGCTGCGTGGCCGTCGGCCCTTGCTGGGCGCGCGTAGGCAGCTGCTTAAACGGCGTAGGCCGCCCTTGGTGCGCCAAGTCTGCGGAGGGCGGTGGCGGCGGGAGTGGAATGGACGTCGGCGCGTTGGGCCGCGTAACGTGCTCGCGCTGGCTAAACGATAAGGTCGAGATCGGCAGTTGCGACGCAGGCGTGTGCGAATCGGCATCGGGCAGCACGGACAGCTGTGCCTCGCGCAGCTTGACGCTGCTTGGGTACGATGATGTATCCGGGTTGGTCAGCGAATCGCGTCGCTCCGCCGGCGGCGTAGGCTGGCCAGCACTGGATGGCGTATCGCGCGGCTGGAAGTACAGGCCGGTAGGACGTCCATCGGCGCCATGCACGACGCGACCGCCGGCCATATTGGCCTGCGTCGCCAGATGCGTGACAGCGCGCGTAAAGTAGTCGGTCTTGGTTTCCTGCGACGTCAGCGCTTCGTTGACCATCTGTGCCTTGACAGTAGGGCTGATGGTCGAGGCATCGCTGCCCAGCGACGAGACGGTCGTTAGAAGGACAGGCGAGGGAAGTGCTGCGCCTGGTACGGCCAAGTTCGCTTTCGCCGCGGCGACGCGAGGGAGGATCGTCGTAGCGACGGGCGTCGGCAGCTCTGGCGAGGCTGTGGAGGCGACAATGGTCGCAGCAGGGTTCATGGCCGTGGCCAGCGTACTGGCGCTGGTCGATGTCATGGACTGCGACGCGGGTACGGGCGTCTCAGCGCCAGGAGCCGTGTCCAACATGGGCGTGGCCATCGATGACGTGGACGGCAGCGGCGTGGATGGCATAGGCGAGATGGCAGAGGCCGACGTTGTGGTGGACAAGGACTCGGTCTCGTCTGGCAGCGTGAGAGACGAGGATAAAGAGAGGACGCTGGAGGCTGAGGGCGAATCGGAGGTCGATGCGAACGCTGACGTGCACGGTGTAGTGGACGTCGTAGGAGGCACGAGCATCTCACGTGCCATATCCGGCAGCGTCGACGAGGATCGATTGAGCTCCATCATTGACTGGAAGCGCTGCGAAAGCACCGTAGGATCGACACTGGACGACCGTCGCTTCAAGTCTTCAGGCGCCGCGGGCGGAGAGAAGGGCGAGGGCGAGACGGCGAGCAGGGGAATCTCGGGAGGACTTAGGACCTCTGCCGATACGTTCTTATCGTGCAACAGCTTGATAGCACAGTACAAGCCATGCACAAACCGAGTGCGAGATATGGGCTCCGTCACAGGCACGACTTTCTCCGGCAAGATCTGCTCGTTGGCCAGGTGCAGCACTGTCCCGAAACAGATGCACGGGATGCCACGCAGGACGTACGGCCTCGCTACTGCCACGTTGCGGCGGACCATGACAATGTCGGGCTTGTCGTCTACATTTACAGCCACGCAGCCCCAATCGGTCGCGTACTCCAGCACCTGCGTGAGCAGCGGATCGTCCATCGCTATGGCCACACGTGTATTTGCCAGCAGCGGGACCACCGTATTGAGCGGCAGATTGTTCGAGATAATGGGCCACGCAGGCGCCACGACCGTTTCACGAGCGATAAGGTCCGTGGCGTCAGGGCGGGTAAGTGTGAGCGTCAGGCACGTTGGCGCGGTTGCTGTGGCCAACGGCTGGATCATACGATGCCCTGCGGCTTCCTCGGGTGTCAGAGGCGCCTGCTCGATCAAAATGCCAAACTCTTCCAGCATGTATTGCATATCCACAAACGGCCCGAGCCACGACGGCCACGTCGTGCCCTCGACCGTTGAGACGGTCGCGTCAAAGTACACTTTCACGCTCGACTTTAGCAGGGACTTGTGCAGAGATGCCAAGACGACCATACGTGAATCCTGCGCAGCAATGTGAATGAGCCAGGAAAAAACGTGGATCAGCACCGTGATCACTGCAAAGGGATAGTGCTTGCTGGGCGACCAGATCATCTCGGACCGCTCCGTGTCACTGTAAAATGCCGGATTGGCCTTGTTTGCGAGATCCTGCGGCGTGCCCCAATGGTCCAGGAGCGAGATCAGGTACACATCGACGCGCGCCGCTTCCGCTTGTGTCGCCACCATATCAAGGGCGACTTGCGTCACGGAGGCGACGTGCGGCGAAAGTTCATGGCTGTTCATCGGCACCGTCAGCGAGTTGGCCTCGCCTTCCAATGTCAAGCGCGATTGAAGCCATTGCATCGCAAGCGAGGTGTGCACCACCGCCTCGAGCACGGGACTGCTTACCGTCAACGTCGAGCAGGCTGGATTGGGCTGGTACAGTGCCAGGAGCGTAAAGTCCAGACAGTTTTGCAACGTACGAATCACTTGCTCGTACGCTTTTGGACGGCCTGGCATGCTATCGTCCGCGCGCGTTCCTTTTTTGTGTCAGGCCGTTTTGGGGGTGCGAGCGACCGAGCGACCGAGCTCTGTCCAACGCGACGTGGAGGGCTGCGGACGGACGAAGGGACCGACCCTCAGCGCCACGCGGTCGGTGCGGGGCCGGGCGGCGGCCACCTCCACTGCTCCCAACCGACCTACGTACGATGCCGACGGCGCTGCGCGCGTCGCTTACGCAGGCGCTCGCATCGCTCCCTGCGCCAACCGCCCAAACCCTCGATGCGAATACACTGCAGCGTCTACGTACCTGTGCCGCGCTGGGCGCTGCGCTAGCGCGTGTGCGCAGTGCTGGGGCCGTCGACGCCGACTTGGCTCGCGTCGTGTATGCAACGTACATGTACCTCGTCCATACGCTCGCCGCCGCCACGCACGCCATCCATGAGGCCGATCGGTACTGGACATGCATGTATCGCAGCCGCGTACGTGCGGGCATGCTATGGCTCCAAAGTACGTCCTTCCCTTCGACTCACCGCCAGCGCTGCCTGCGCGCATCGCCACCAGCACCAGCCACGTTTTTCGACGGCCAATGCCAGGCTTCGGCGTACGCACGGGCATCCATACCCTCCAGCGCGAATCTCACGCAAAGCATGTGCGTCTCCGTCGTGCCGAAGATGCGATGGCCAAGGCCCTAGGCACGTTGGCCCTCGCGTGGTACGGCCGGGCTACCGACGCGTCGCTCCCACAGCAGATCCAAGCGCTGTGCGAGGCAGGGTGCACGGCATTGGCATACAAGCCAGGGAAGGCGCCCCAACACAGCACGCCATTGCAAGCCGTCGCCACACTCCTTGATGCCGTGGCGTACCATGAAGCGAGCGTCGCGCGCGTCTTGCAAGTGTGTGGGACGCCCAGTGTGCTCACGCGGACGTGGCCGCTGCTCGTCACCTACCCGCTTATTTCCTGGGCGGCGACACACTACTTGTACCTCCACTGGACGAGTGTCTCTGCGCAGGCGACGTGGGCGTGGGATACCGTGCGTGGCTTGCTCCTCGACTGGGTGTACGAGCCTACGATGCGGCTCCTACGTACGATGCGCATGGGCCGCGCCGAGCGCTCGATGCTCGTACGTCGCGATAGTCTCGCTGCCGATGAGCAGAGTCTCGAGCGCATGGTCCTGGCCATGGGACGCGATACGTTGCGGATGAACGACCAAGCGCTCGCGCAGCTCGCAGCGCAGACGCGCGATGGCAATCTCACGGCGGTGCTGGAAGTGTACGAGCGAGCGCTGGCCTCGCCCGTGCGTGCGACGCTCAGCGGTCAGCTCATACGCACGATCCTCATCCAAGTGCAAAAGGCCAAAGTCGACTTGGAAGTCGCGCTCTCCGCCATCGATTGGCTCCTGCGATCGCAAGAACTGCTGATTGGCGTAGCGGGTCTAGCGCCAGCGCTGGGTCTGGCGTACCTGCTAGCATGGGGCGTAGGCCGCGTCACTAGCTGGGTCTGGCACCGTCCTGCGTCGTACCGAACGTCGCGCCGTCAGCGCCAGGTCGATGCATGGGAAGCGCTGCGTCGTGTCGACCAGCTGTGCATTGAAGCGGACGACAAGGCCAGCGCCGAGCTGGCGTACGGTCGGTTCCTCCTGCACATTCGCATGCTGCGTACGTCGTTCGAGGCGTTGCTGCCCAAACTAAGCCGCGGCGATCGAGCCTTGCTCCAGCGCTTATCGCACGAAGCGGACCACGACCTGATGGCGTTGGAACGTGTCGAGCCCCTCCCGACCTCGACGGCGCATGCGTGGACGCAACGCCAGGCGGTCGTCGCACGTATGTGGCGCTCCTGGCACCGCCTCCTGGCATGGGATATATAAATGTGGACCGTCTATGTAGCATTACACCATCACCACGCCATTCCCGGAGCCGTAGACACTCGGTGGGCGTGGCACCTCCGCGTCGTGCGCCGCAGGATCGTGCTCCTGATCGTTCGCACGCGCGCCCAGGCCGCCAGCCACAGGCGTGACGCGCCAGTTGAACAGGTAAAAGTTGAGGAAGCCATCGCCCGGCCCGAATTTCAAGTCCGTAACAAACATGGCATTGTCCATGACTGTGAGGCAGTTGACGACGTCGAATCCTTCGTTGTTCGCGAGCACCAGCATATCCTGCATGAGCGCTCGCAGACGCGCCTGCAAGCGCTCCTTCACCGCGCGCGGCTCCGACGACCATGTCGGCACACCTTCTTCGTCCGCCGCCTCGCTCGAGTCCAGCCGACTGCACGTCGTCCGCTGCCATGCCGCAAGGCCTTCCGCCATCGCCCGCTCGTTCGGCGAGGGGCCGTGCTCGTCCGAGGCTGGCGGCAATGACGACGCAAACGCCGACTCCGTCGCATAGTAAAACAGGTACGCTGCCTCCAGGGTCTCGTACTCACGATGGTTCAGCACGGACGAGGGCAAGCTGTAAAACGAGAAAAAGTCGGTGATGCGGCCCTCCGTCTCCACGACGTACGCCCACGTCACCTTCTCCGACTGACCAGAGAGGAACAAGTGGCGCACCTCGGCATCCGTAAACCGCGGCGCCATATCGTAGCGCGCCATGTACCTGCGCAGTAAACGCGCGACTGCCGGGACATCGTCCGCCTGCAGCACACGCAGACCAGGCAGCGAAGTCTGTGTCGGAAGCACGTACCGCGCCTCATGCTCCGCACGGCTCATGCCATGCGGCACAGCACTAAACCCAATGTCGACCAGCTTGCTCGCCCGCAACGTGCGGTGGTAGTAACGCGCACAAGACATCGGCGTCGGTAACACTTGGCCCGCCGTGTAAATCGCCTGGAAAATGCCACGAAGGTTGCACCGCCGCGTCACCTCTTTGATCAGCACAGGTGCAAGTCGCTTGCTGCGCAATCGCTTGTGCACACACAAAAAGTTGATCTCCACGACTTGGAACATCTCGTCGCGCACACGCAGCTCCTGGGGAATGCCCGCAATGAACGCCACGAGTTTCTGCGTCGACTTGACACGCACACCGACATGCCATGACTTGTCGTAGCCAGGGTGCCGTAACGCCCACTGCAGGAACGACAGCGAGTACTTGAACCGCATCGTCGCATCGTCGTCTTCCACATAGTGCATCGTCAGCAAATGGTACACTTCGCTCAGCTCCTCATCCTTGTCAACATCGACCGTGACCCACTCAAAGTCAGACGGCAGCGGCAAGGGCTCCTGCCGCACCTTCTCCGGAGGCACACTCGGGGCAATCGCACCACGCGGCAACGAACGGCTGTCCCCCGGTTGCGTCACGGGCTGTGTCTTCCAAAACTTGTGCTCCGACGCCGGCTTCGACGTACGATCCTCCGCGCCCAACATCAACAAAAGCTTCGCGAGGTTTTTCATACTGTCTGACGCGTCCTCAGACGCTGCCTCCTTGTTCGACTTCGACATGGTAGACAACTGTCCAACGAAAACCTAGGGGTTCCTTACGGTGGGGCACGCCGCCGCCCCTCCTCCACTTGGAAGGCGACCATGGGCGCCACGTGATGCGACAAAAGGCCGCCACGCCTCGCCTGTCGTTTCGACGGTCGTACACCCTCCTACACACGCAGGGCCTCATGGTACGTACGCAACACCACTTACCCTAGTCGTACGGCTTCCTGAATAAACAGGGCGCAGCCAGTGCCGGCTCCGCCGATGCCGATACACCGATCCTGTGCGAATCGTGCTTGGGCCCCAATCCATACGTGCGCATGTCGAAACAACATCTCGGCCAGGAATGCGAAATCTGTGCACGGCCATTCACCGTATTCCGCTGGAATCCAGGGAGCGGCATGCGATTCAAAAAGACGGAAATTTGCACGACATGCGCTAAGCTCAAAAATGCTTGCCAGTCGTGCATCCTAGACCTCCAGTACCATTTGCCGACACAAGTGCGCGACGCCGCGTTGGGCTCGTCGGTCAAGATACCCATGTCCGATATCAATCGGCAGTACTTTGTCAACCGCATGGACGCGCTGCTGGAAGGCACAGATACAGAAACCACGATCGGTCCTACGCGAGCCCACCCTGAATGGCTGACCAAAATGGCCTCGCACGAGCCTGACTACAAACGAAATCGACCCCCTGTCTGCTCCTTTTATGCACGAGGCACATGCACACGAGGAGAAGCGTGTCCGTACCGCCATGAACCTACAGGATCGTCAGCCCCCACGTCTTCAGTGCCCCCCGCATTGGCGCCACCGCGTCCCAAAGCCGAGGCCCCTGCTCTGCGACTCCAAAAGGCCGCGGGAGCCAAGCCGTTGGCTGCGCCGGCGAACCCCAGCATCAAATCCATCTTTTTCACAGGGCTCCCAGATGTCACGGCCGAAGAGTTGCAGGCTCTCTTGGTAGCCTCCATCCCACGACTCACCGCCGAAGATGTGGCCGAAGTGAAAATGGTCAGTGCATCGCACTGTGCTTTTGTGGTGTTTGCAACGCGAGAAAAGGCCGAGCAGGTAGCCGAGGCCCTCGCTATGAAAATGGACATAAAGGGCAAAGACGTCCGTGTGGCATGGAGCCGCAAATAGACAAGAAAGCAATGTATCATAGAGCCATAATTGAGCTACTCGTTTGGACGAGGTGACGCCACCAACTACTTACGACCTTTGCCCTTGCCCTTCTTCGCCTGCACAGGCGCACCAGGGCGGGCCTCACGGCCACCACTCATCCAGCTCAGATCATCTTCATCAAACGAGACAGCGGCTTGCGCACTCGCTGCCGCTTGCTCCTCGGCAAAGCGACGGCGGAAACGACCAAGACGGCCAGTATCGTCATCCGCAGCGGCATCACTGCGGCGGTCCATCGCAGGATTCCACAGTGGATGGTTGGTATAGTCACGGGCCATGCGGCTCAAGTACCGTGGCGACGTAGTAGTAAGTCGCACAGACGAGCCATCTGCCAAAATCACAATACTAGGGAAGCGTGGGACGGGCCGAGGCAAAGGCACTTCATCCTCCTTGGGTGCAGCCATCGTACTCCGACCTGTTGAAAACGCACGGATCTGCTTATTTTTACCCTTAGTCCGCTGAATCTCAGATAGCGAAGGCGCAGGACGGGCCTGCTTAATGGTATCGTTCGAGCCAAGCTCAGTGTGCTCTGTAAAACGAAGTTTGTACGTTCGCTCATCTTCAGGATTTGCTACACCCTGCACGACATTGTGCTTGAGCATATGCGTCACCTGCTCACCCATTTCGAGACCTTCGTCAATCTTCGTAGCGTCTTTTTCATGCTTCGCTTCGGCAAAACGACGACGCGTTTCATCGCGTGCTGCGGCAATGGCACGAGCATCATCGCGGAATACCTGGCGCGTAGTACGTAAAAGTGAGCGATACAACGCTGTGGCGCGCTGCCGCTGCGCGGGAGTGAACGCAGAGCTCATTCTCTCGCCAAGAAGAAACGCAGCGTCGAGGGCAAATTCAGCACGAGGCTGCTGCGACCGACGAAGCGGCCATCTGCCACGTGGTACAGGTGGAGGATACCTACGCAGGCCATGTGGCGCGTCCAACGTGTACCTATTAGCCGGCAAGCGTGGCTGTGGCGGGTTTCTACGAGGGCGTGCGCCGGGTTCGTCTAAACCGTCTCCGACCGCTACGAGGCTCGTAAGGCTGGTTTTCTTGCCCCCCCGCTTTCCTCTGACGCACTCGGAAGCATGGTAAGCTCCGCTGCGCCTGGAAGACTGTACGTACTGTATGACTAACTGGAAGCTCGCGAAAAGTGCGCATTACCGTAGTGGCTGCGGATGGCTTATCCAAGGTATGTCTCACTTGCACAACGTCCCATGCTAATGCCAGCGTGATGTATTCCGCCTGCCTGACCCATTTGCTATTGTGACAGTAGATGGAGAACAAACTCACACAACCTCTGTGATTAAAAAGACACTCAACCCATACTGGAATGACTCGTTTGACATCACAGTCACAGACTCGTCGGTCGTCGCCGTGCAAATCTTTGATCAGAAAAAGTTTAAAAAGCGCGACCAAGGATTCTTAGGCGTGATCAATGTTCGGGTGGCCGATGTCATCGACTTGGAACTCGGCGGAAAGGCACTCTTGACACGGGATCTAAAGAAATCCAACGATAACCTTCCGATTCACGGCAAGCTTATTATTGACTTGAATACGAACGTCTCAACGCCGTTGCCTAGCCAGAGCTCGACAACAGCAACGCCTGTATCTCGTGTCACGAGCACTGCTTCGACCACGCCCAGTGTGCCAACCACACGTCCTGCGGAGCCTGCGGCGCAGCATGCCGCTCCGATGGCCATGATGGGGACGTCGAGCACGCATTCAGCTCAACGGGAGCCACAGGCAACCCCTGCGATCGTTACTTCTGGTGCTTCTATGCCGGTCCACACCAATGCCCGGCCTACACTCGTCTCTACGGGATCGTCTACCATGCTCCCCAACATAGCTGGGCCGACTACGCCGACCACGGCGACAACACCCTTGGTACAATCCGCCACTGCGTCACCGCATGCGGCGGCAAGGACTATGGATAGTCAGTTTGAAGACCAAAGCCCGCTTCCCATGGGCTGGGAACGTCGTACTGACCATCTTGGTAGAACGTACTACGTCGACCACAACACTCGCTCGACGACATGGACTCGGCCATCCAACGACCCCTCTGTACAGCGCCAGAATGTGGAAAATGAGCGTGCTCGTATGAATAATGTGGCGACGGCAGATGATTTCCTGGGTGTTGACGGTACGTCGGCACCTGTATCGAACCCTGCCGCGACACCAGTGTCGGCTGTATCGAATGCGACACAATCGGGTGCAGGACCGTTACCTAGCGGCTGGGAACAGCGTACCACAGCAGAGGGCCGCCCTTACTTTGTGGATCACAACACGCGTACGACAACGTGGGTCGACCCTCGTCGCCAGCAGATTCTGCGCATTATGGGCCCGAATGGTAACAACTTGAGCTTGCAGCCTCAGAGTGTGAGCCAGTTGGGCCCTCTTCCAAGTGGTTGGGAGATGCGGCTTACCTCTACAGCTCGTGTGTACTTTGTGGACCACAACACAAAAACTACGACGTGGGACGATCCTCGCTTGCCAAGCAGCCTCGACCAGAATGTGCCGCAGTACAAGCGTGACTTCCGTCGCAAGCTGATCTACTTCCGCTCGCAGCCGGCTCTGCGCCCTATCCCTGGCCAGTGCCACGTAAAAGTGCGACGCACACATATCTTTGAAGACTCGTATGCTGAGATTATGCGTCAACAACCGAACGATCTTAAGAAGCGCCTGATGATCAAATTCGAGGGCGAGGATGCGTTGGATTACGGAGGTGTATCGCGTGAATTCTTCTTCTTGCTGTCGCACGAGATGTTCAATCCGTTCTATTGTCTGTTTGAATACAGTGCACATGACAATTACACGCTGCAAATCAACCCACATTCTGGTATCAACCCAGAGCATTTGAACTACTTCAAGTTTATTGGCCGTGTACTTGGCCTGGCCATCTTTCACCGTCGTTTCTTGGATGCTCACTTTATTGTATCCTTCTATAAGATGATTCTTAAGAAAAAGATCACTCTCTCTGATATGGAAAGTGTCGATGCCGATTACTACCGTTCGTTGCAATGGATGCTTGATAATCCTATTGAAGGTATTATGGAAGAGACGTTCAGTACGATGGAAGACAAGTTTGGTGAAATGGTGACCATTGAACTCAAGCCAGGTGGTGAGCATATTGATGTCACAGACGAGAACAAGCGCGAGTACGTTGAGCGCATGATCGAGTGGCGAATTGTGAAGCGCGTGGAAGAACAGTTCCGTGCCTTTATTAGCGGCTTCTCGGAGCTTATTCCACTCGATCTGATCAACGTATTTGATGAGCGTGAGCTCGAATTGCTCATGGGCGGTATGTCAGAAATTGATGTGGACGACTGGAAGCGCTTCACCGACTACCGTGGCTTTACGGAGCAGGACAATGTGGTGCAGTGGTTCTGGGAGTGTGTGACAAACTGGCCGGCGGAGCAGCGTTCGCGCCTATTGCAGTTTGCTACAGGAACGTCGCGTATCCCTGTCAACGGATTCAAGGATCTACAAGGTTCTGATGGCCCACGTCGCTTCACAATCGAAAAATCGGGCGAGATCAACCAACTGCCTAAGTCTCACACGTGTTTCAACCGTATTGATCTACCTCCTTACCCATCCAAGGAGGTATTGGAAAACAAATTAGTTCTGGCGATTGAGGAGGGCATGCGATTCGGCAACGAGTAAATAGTCAAGGATGCGCAGACAGGTAGCGATACGATATTTTCTTTGCGTTATACTTATGTAACATCAATAGAAAGAGAATGGACAGACACCTTTATTGACTACGGTACAATTGCGAGACCCATTTATTTTACTTCGACAAAGACGACCAAGAGTACATACATGAGCTATGGAGTAGCCGATTGCTCTGCAAATTGAGAAAAAAAAAGCCTAAAATGTAGTGCTAGAATAAGAGCCATAGAGATGGATACATGATGTGTGTATGCATTGTATACGCGAAATGCGGAATCCCACAGGAAACCCTTTACTCCTCACCCGGAATAGGGTGCTCCTCATCAGGGAGGAGTACAGCAGGTGGCGCCACCACCTTGTTGAAAACGAAAGTACCGTAAGCCACCATAGCAAAGCCCAATGCCTGCACAGTACCAGACACTGGCTGCAGAACTTCCCAGCCAAGCCAGAGACTCACAGCACAAATGCCAAGGGTACGAGACGTGTCAATCGTGCTGCGGGCTGTGGCACTCATGAATTTGGTCACATTCAGACCGAAAGAGTTGTACAGCGCAATGCTCAGGGCACACAGGACCGCACTGAAACGCACAGACGGGATGCCGAACGTCTGGTGGAAACCAGTGTACATGTCAAAGAAGCCACCCTTTCCCTGGGGCGTCGAGCCGTAAAAGTAGTGCATCACACACATAGCAATTAAGATTTGGAACATGCCAAACACACCCTCCAGTCCGACAACCAGAAGAGGCTCCACAACGTGGTCCTCCTCCATGACCTTTTCTTCCCAAACAAACTGCATGGCAGCAAAGATCTGCGCACCCATCACCATGAGGATACCCAGCAAAGTTTTGGCGGCAGAGTACTCCGGCGCATTAGCCAGCATGACAATGGCAGAGGGAATACTAGAAGCGGCCTTCTGCTGAGCCAGAATACTGCTCAGGCCAACAACACACACACCCATCATAACCATAAGCAAGCTCATCCATTGGTAGAGACGCAAGTGATGACGCAAGAACATTACACTGAACAGACCAACCCACATGACAAGGGCACCACGCGTCATCTGATGAATACTAACAGGCATAATAATAAGGGCACAGTTCATCAATGTAGTGGCGAAAATGTCCATCGAAGCAGGAACAAAGAACTTGAAGGCGGTGGGCCAGAAGGGACGATCCAAAATAGATTCACGACCTACACTGATCATCGATGCATTCTGGTTGGTTTGGTTCATCGTCCCGTAGCCACCAGCCGCCGAATTCGACGCAAGCAAAGGACCGTCACCATTCTCAGCCGCCTCAAAGGCCTTGAGCGCCTGCGCTTCCTGATAACGCTGGTACATTTCACCCAGAGCAAACATCAACACGCACACAGCCTCACCGGTGAACATCTGAAGTGTCTGCCACACAGGCTGCGAATACAGCACAGGCTTCTTCGAGCTGTTAGGCTTGCAATGCTCCACACACTGCATATCTTGCCTATATGTGTAAGTGAATCAGGCAGAAAAAACGCACCATTTCATCACGATCGAGTTCAGGATACCGGTAATGAACATTCCAACAAGAAGGAAACCACTCCAAATCCTCCTGCGCAAAGAGCGCTTCATAGTTGGGAAAGGCGACGGCAAAATGGGTTGATACATTTTGCTGAAAGAGGGTTGGGAAGCCGGGAAACAAAGTTTGACAGGGTCCGGAACAAGACAGGATGGCTCGCTCGCTAAGCTTGATCGGCCGAATTCAGGATAAATTTTTTTCTCAACTGCGCAGGCCAAAATGCCCTCGTGCGGAAGGCAGACATTTGCAGTCTTTCAGCAACGCACTCGCAGACAAGGGCTGTCACGTGGCACGCAAGGAGAGACACCATCTATCACGATCCCAAAGTCTGCGTTGAGCGCGCCATACGGCTATTGCATTAACTTGTAAAGCCCATCAACCATGGTCGTGCTGGCGTATGACGCTTCGGATAAGTCAAAAGCTCCTGATATTCCAACCTTTTCAAGCGCTCCCTTTTTTTACGATCGGACCAAATACAATAATGACGGCGCGCCTGATTTAAATCCAGGCTCTTTACTAGCCGATGCAACCTCTGTTCAGGTACGTCAAGCATAGAGGTACTGACCATAGTCTCACTTTAATCCTTCAGTATCGTATTATTTCCCTCTGGGTGTATCTGATTATGTATGTCTTATAACGCACTGACCAAACAGCACTATGGTGAACATCATCCTATGAAGCCTGCGAGATTAGCACTGACAAATCGCCTCGTACATGGATATGGACTTCATAAGTATATGAAAGTATTTTCCCCTCGGTGGGCTACGCGAGAAGAACTTGAAATGTTTCACGACAGCGACTATGTCGATTTTCTTAGCAAGACCACCCCAACCACCCCTATTTCAGCCGCATTTACAAGATTCAATTTTGCAGACGACTGTCCCGTTTTTGATGGTATGTATGAATTTTGTCGTGCATTTGCTGGTGCATCACTCGCGGGAGCACGCCGTTTAGCCTCAGGTGCTACGGATATTGCTATAAATTGGACAGGCGGCCTTCATCATGCGAAGAAATTTGAAGCCAGTGGATTTTGCTATGTGAACGACATTGTACTAGCCATTATTGAGCTTTTACGAACTTTCCCTCGCGTTCTGTATATTGATATCGATATCCATCACGGAGATGGTGTCCAGGAGGCATTTTACATGTCAAATCGCGTATTGACGGTGTCATTCCATAAATACGGCAATGACTTCTTTCCTTGTACAGGAGATATTACTGAAATTGGAATGAACCTCGGCAAGCACTTTTGTTTGAATGTTCCTTTACAAGATGGCATTGATGATAGTGCCTACGTGTCACTGTTCAAGAGTGTCATCGAACCTTGTATTCATACATTCCGACCAAGTGCTATTGTTCTACAATGCGGCGCGGACTCTCTTGGTCTTGACCGGTTAGGCTGTTTTAATTTAAGCATATCAGCACATGGTGAATGTGTTGCTTTCACAAAAGCTTTTGGGTTGCCTCTGCTAGTTCTTGGTGGTGGCGGGTATACCATTCGAAATGTTGCGCGTTGCTGGACCTACGAAACATCTGTTCTGACGGGTACGCTTGTACCAGATGAACTACCACATACCCCTTACGATGCTTTCTTTGCACCTACGTATCGCCTTCATGAACCTCTTTTGGCACGAGTTGAAAATCAAAATACGCGTGCCAGCCTAGAGAAGATACGTGTACAAATATTAGAACAACTCCGATACCTTCATGGTGCCCCAAGTGTTCAGATGGAGGAACTACCACCTGACCTTTCTGGAGGTTGGGTAGATGAACCAATTGAAGAGAATGATTGAGGTTGAACAGGGGCCAAGATAGATAGATCTGTGGAGTCTATTGCACATTATTATACGATGCATATTGGAGTTCATAATATGCAGGGTGCGGGAGTCCCGTGGCTGTTCCTGATTTTAGACAGCTAGGCGTATTAGAACAATGCAAATATACCAATGAGTCAAGTTATTCCCAAATTATGACACAGAAATGGAGGGTCTATTCAACTATTCGCTGGCCAGCCAAACGACATGTAAATTCCAATGCGCACGCGTAGCTGAAATTTGATTTGTAGTTTTGACTTAAAGCAATTTGAACCTCCCGGGTGAGATGAGAGCTAGATATATACTCTATTCAAATTCAGATTCGGCTTCTCTATCTTACCTTTACCTCCTCGCCCCTCCCCTGAGAGCACAACAATGAAGACCTCTATTGTTGTTGCTGCTATGGCATTGTCTGGGGCCTGTGCCCACCTTATTAACGTGGGCCACCACGACCGCTTTGTCCGAGCTCTTCCTACAGGCGAAGCCGCTTACGCTAACATGAAGAGCGAGAAACAACAATGCAAGTACTACAACGCCCCTGAAATTGAGACCATGACAAAGAACAACCGCCTTCCGAAGGTTAGCCATGTCGCTAACATCCTTGAGGGCGACGATGAAGCTAACCAAATCTGGAATGACATTAAGAACTCGGGTATCATTCCCAAGGGCATCAATCCAAAGGCAGACACCTCAGGCGGCGAACATCAGGGTACAGATGCTGACGCTTCGAACTACAATGTTGAAAAAGACCCTGACTGTTGGTGGACTGCTTCAGGATGTGTGAACCCCAAGCACGACAACATCCCATCGGATTTGGACACTTGCCCGGAACCTAACACCTACGGTTTGACTTTTGACGACGGTCCGAACTGCACTCATAATGCTCTCTATGATTTCATGAAGGAAAAGAAGCTCAAGGCGACCATGTTCTATATCGGTACCTATGTGGCTACCTGGCCCTACCAGGCTCAGCGTGGCATTGCTGATGGCCACGACGTTTGCATTCATACTTGGGCCCACCGCTACATGACGACATTGTCGGATGAACAAGTGTTTGCCGAACTGTTCTACACTGCCCGTGCTATCAAGGCTGTTTCGGGTGTGACACCTACCTGCTGGCGTCCTCCGTTCGGTGATGTGGATGACCGTGTTCGTGCCATTGCTACTGGCCTTGGTCTGCGCACTATTCTGTGGAAGGAGGATACTGATGACTGGAACATTCAGCCTTACGGTACTTCGACGCCGCAGAAGATTGAGGACAACTACAACAAGATTATTGCCAAGGGTGGTAAGGAGAGTCCCATTGTTTTGGCCCATGAGCTTTACAATGAGACTATGAACATGTTCATGAAGAAGCAGCCAGAGATTTCGGCCGCTTATAAGAATGTGGTCCCAATTTCGGCCTGCTACAACATCACAAAGCCCTACGTTGAGAATGGCATGACATTCCCTACCTTCAGCCAATTCATTACAGGCCAAGGCGTCCAGGGCTTGCCTGATGGTAACTCTATGAAGATTGACGCAAATGTGAAGATGAACATGACGCCAATCTCTAAGGCTTCGGGTGGCTTTGGTAAACCTCAGCAGGACACTCAGCAGAGTACCAATGGCTCTAGTAATGCCGCAAACTCTAGCACCCAGAATGGCCAGAGCGCTGCCGCAGCAGGTGCCAGTTCAAATGCTGCCGGTAGCGGTAATGGTTCGAGCAACCCGGCTGACTCGGGCAACAACCAAGCTGCCGCTACCAACAGCCCTAACGTGAAGAACGCGAACAGCAACTCAGCCTCTACCACTGTTATGAGCACTGGCGCTGTCCTGATGGCTGGCCTTGCCTCTGCTCTTACTCTCTTGTAGAAAGTTCGCTTCACATTCCCTCTAGATTTCTCTTTCCCGATGCCCCCCTGTAGGTTCTCTCCTTGGTAGATTATTTCCTCTCTTTTATGTGGCTGTACATTCTACGATTGCAAGCTCTACTGGACCCTATGCCAGGAACTGTGATTGGAAGTTGCGCAAGTGAAAATGTGTCATTTACTAAAGGAAATGCAAAACCTGGCATAAGAGTAACAACTTGGTACCTAAGAATAGCTAATCATGCATAAACTATCGGAAGTGGGTGTCGATACGGGCATATAAGGAGTGGCGGTGTTCAAGTCGTGTGCTTCGTCTACTTCACCACCATGCAACTGACTGGGAAGTTC